ATATTTCTATACCGCCTTTCTCCCGTAGGACTCAAGAAAAATATAGACACACAAACATCATAAAATTGCTAATTAAAATTATTACTTAGTTTAATTTCAGGCACACATAATATATAATTAAACCTTGTTTCCAGATATGGAATTTGCAAACTGCCTCTTCTAATGACTTTAGCCTTCTGGTCATTTGCCAAGGCTACTGTATTTCCAGATGCTGGATCCAATCTGTAAAACAATGTAGAATTGTTAACAATTGTTTGACTTGCCCCACTGTCAATCAACCATTTGTCTCTGTTATTGCAACAGCCAATTTGTGCAACACCAACTTGTTCATCTTGCAATTGTCCTTGCAAACAGTTCCTGTCTTGCAAATAATTTCTTCCTTGCAAACAGCTTTTTCTTTGCAAACAGTCTCTCTTTAGATGTGTTGTTTCACCACAAATGAAGCATGTCCTCTGTTGCTGTTCTTTCTGCTTGCAAAGTCTTTGCTGAGCTGTAATCTGATATCTTCTGCTGCTACTTATCTCTTTACAGACATCATGTCTGTTGCTAGGCTCCCTGGAGACTAGTCTATAGCCAGTCTATGGAATCTTCCTGTTGCATATTGAATTAGGGTGAGCATAGGTTTCACTTAGGTTCGCCAATCCGGCAGGAAAATACTCAAACCTCATTGGCCGACCCGTCCGACAGCTCCCTATAAAAAGGCAAGCAGTCAGACAAGCCAGCTGCTGGGTTGCACCGATCTGCCAATAAAAAGTTGTTGTTGCTGTTAGCATTGAGTCCTGTTTCTTCCATCGCCCGATCTAACACTGGTGACGAAGGTGGGATCGGAAGAGCAGTGAACAAAAAGAGCTTAATTAGATCGCAATCCCAATGGAAGAAGGAACCACCGGCAGGCATCTACAGGCTACAACCGCAGCGGCTGAACTGCATCAACCATCATGATGACTGCTCAGGCCCTGCCAACTCTGTTCAACCCAGCCACGGACAATTGGGACTCATACATGACCAGGTTTGAGTGCTTTATGGAGGCAAACGACCTCCTGGGGCTATCAGACAACCAGAAAAGAGCATTGTGGAAACAACATGTTTGACACGACCAAGGCACTCGTCGCACCAACTGCTGTGCAGACGGTGCCCTGGGCCAATCTCCAGCATGCACTACAAGCACACTACGTTCCAGTGCAATCCAAGTTCATTCAATGGTGTGAATTCCATAGCAGAATGCAGGAGGAAGGCAAATCTGTTAACCATTATATGGCGGCGCTGAGGAAGGCCGCAGCCTACTGCGAGTTTAGAGACCTGGAGGACGTGTTGCTAGAGCAGATCATCGGTGGAGTGAGGGACATTAGCTTACAAAGGCAGCTGTTAGCAAAGCCTAACCTCACTCTACAGACAGTGCTCGATGAGGCCAGAGCAATGGAATCCTTGCACAAATCTGAGGCAGCCCTACAAAATGCAGAAAACGCCACGGCTTCGCACCAGTCCTCCACAGTCCACCAGGAGAGCCCCAAATTAATCGAGTCATCAGAAGATGAAAATGACATTTGCTGGCTACAATTGGAGAGGGAGAAAAAGAAGCGATACCCAGACGCAGAGGAAAGACAGCCACTGTGTGCAGGATGTGGGGGCAAGCATGCCAGGCAGCGTGCAGGTATAAGGAGACAGTGTGCCAGAGATGCGACCACAAGGGGCATTTCGCTAGAGTCTGCTGCGGTAACCAGCCAGCCATATTCTGTCATGACCTTTAATCCAGCTAGCAAGGAAAAGGCATTATTTTAACCACTTTTCCCGTTCCTCTACAGTTTCTCATATTCCAGAAGATAATTAGAGCAAATTTTTATAATAATTTTAATTACCATATTTTTCGGAGTATAAAAACACACCTTTCCCCCCCCCTAATAGAGGGTGAAAATTTGGGTGCGTCTTATACACCGTATGTAGCCCCGCCCAGTCTCTGAAATGGAGGTTTCAGAGGCTGAAAAAAGCCTCTGAAACCTCCATTTGAGAGGCTGAAAAAAAAGCAAGTCGCAGAGCTCACAACCAACGAACCTGTTGCTAAAGTTCACCTCTGGGAACAGCTGATTGGGGGTATTTCAGGAGGCCGATCCACCCCCAATCAACTTTTTTCTTATTTTCCTCCCCAAAAACTAAGGGGCATCTTATACTCCGGTGCATCATATAGTCCAAAAAATACGGTACTTCTAAAAGCAGATCTATTTCATGAAAAGGACGTTTTTAAATGAGAGATTTATAATTATCCAGGTAAATGGCCTCTACGTGGATATAACCAATATTATTTAGTACCATTATCAAAGAGGACTATTACTTCACTATACTTGAAAATAAACTTCAGCAGGTTTTCTACATCTTTGGAGAGTCCAGGGTTTGCTTTCTGTTACCAACCACTCTGTCTACAAGGGTCTCTGCCATAGATACATTGTTATATATGAAAGCAATTTGAGGACAGATACCTTTTTTCTCTTCCTTGTACTTCCTTTCATCTGTTTCTATTCTATTTTTGATGTGGGTTGTATCTAGATATGTACTTGGGATGCTCAAATAAATAGAGTTTGTTGTCAAATTATTTAAATTTGATAAATGTAAAGTGTTTTTGTCAAATCAGATTTGTCTCCATTCATGCATTTGAGTAAATTAATTTGATGTAGTCTATGTGATATTATATTACTTTTTAGAATTTAGAATTTTAGCTGTTCCAAAATGCAGTTATAAGTTTTCTGACAAATGTGTTTATTCAAATCATTGCTACGCATGCTTCTAAGTTTGGCTTGTGGTCACTCCTTCATGCACATAATAGTTTCTTGGGTCATGCAGATCTTGTAAATCCCCCCCAACTTTACACTTTCTATCTAGGTTTCCAGACAGAGTCTGCTAGAGCATACAAGATACACAGCCCTGGTCAACATCTAGAAAATAATTATATCCAAATAACTTTCAAACCAAACACAGAGGTACATCAGGCTTTTTTGGAATCCACAGAAAAATCCAATGAATTTAAAGTAGTAGCAAAACTTTACTGGTTACAACATACACTCTTTCTCACAGTCATAAACACAGACTTGTCCCCACACCCCTACTTAGCCACATGCCTTTCAACTAGGCTGCTAGGCACCACCTAAAGGGATAAAAGATGCCAAATCCAGATATAGAACAACACAAAGTTAGGTGAGAGAGGGAAGTTCAGGACATATTTTATTGTTCTCTTCTCTTGAGCCTTTTCTAGAGAACTAGATCTTTGCATAAGTAGGATAATTTGAACCTGATCATTTGTGCTTCAAGTGAGAACTCTGGGTTGATTTGTTTGATAATCCATTGTTTGTTTTCTTGGCTATCTATGATATTTTCATGAGTCTTCTCCAACATCAAAGTTCAAATGTATCTTCCTATCTTGTTTCAAAGTCCATCCAACGTTTTCTTTCATAGTGTTACAGAGAAATTAATTTTAATTTATTTCCTACCTTCATTATTTTTACAAATAACTCAAAGTGGTGAACATATCCAACACATCTTCCTCCTATTTTCCAAACAACAACAATCCTGTGAGGTGAATTGGGCTGACCAACCCAAAATCACCCAGTTGGTTTTCATGGCTAAGGTGAGACTTGAACTTACAGTCTCCTGCTTTCTAGCCTCTGCCTTAACCACTAGACTGGTCAGCCATGGAATACTGGGGCTTACATGGTTGAAGATATGGAAATGGTGGCTAGCTTCTGCATAGCTGCTCAACAAGTGCTAGTCTGCGACATTGTCAACTCGGAATTGAACCTGTCTGAAGCCATCTTGTGCTGCTTCACAGTTGCCACACACTATGGAGGGAGAATGAGGGGGAAATAGCTAGACCAGCTCGTAGACAAAATAAAGAGTGCTCCCATGGGAGCCAAGGTCACCCAACAGGTGGCAGTTGGAGGAGGAACAGAAATGATTGAGGAAGCCCGCCACCTGCTTTGATTGGACAATGTGACCTGTGAAACCTGGGGAGGGAAGCTTTTGCTCTTTTAACTACATGGTAACCAGAGTTGGTTTTTACTAGCTGTGCCGATATGATGTGTCCAATAAATATGTTCTCTGGGGAACATTCATGCCTTGGATTTCTGATTTCTTTGGATGCATTACTCAGAACATTGACAGGCATATTTCTTGTCTGCTTCTTTCTTTACTGTTGACAGTTGACTCTAAAAGGCAGAAGCTATCCACCACTTCCTTATCTTCACTATTACTTATAAGGTTGGTTTTTGTAGCTATTGACCTTAGTATGATATCTTTATATTTAATTTAGTCCTCTTTTCTTACTGTGAGATGTTTTAGGATTTCCATTTTTTTTGAGCATATGACATGATCAACACAATCATTCTCAATAATCAATAAATTTCTCTTTGGCTTTCTTGATTATCTACCATGCATCAACAATAATGTTTCACGTTCTGCAGCCTTTTTAAAAGGCAGATCGAACATCTGACATCTTCTTTTCCATGTAAGGTTCAAGTCTACATTGGATGATCCAAAGGATCATTTTGCTAGTGTGTAAAATTAAGGATATTGTACAATGCTTTGCACGCTGTTAAGTTAGGTTTCCTTTGGGTGGGTGGGTGGGTATTGGAATGTAGCTTAACCTCTTCCAAACAGCCATCCAGATTTGTTGGCATAGCTTGGTTAGAATCTTTACTGATTTTTCTCCTGCTACTTTTAGTTCTACAGATGGTTTTCCTTGTATTTGTTTATTTTACTGCGTAAATTTAATAATGGCTGCATATAAGTAATGAACTGGGATACTTTTAATTATCATATTTGGAAATATTTGTCTCTGCAGAAGTCTGATATATGTATATCATATATATGAATTAATATGGTACATCCATTCGAAGTATGTGTATCATCCTATTGGATAAAAATATATACGCTATATTGCATATACAAATAATTAAATGAAATCTTCAAATATATATATTGCTGAACATCTCTTTGTGTATTTTATTTATTTGCAGGACCCTGCTGATTTGGGATGGGAGCCTTATGTCAAAACATGGCTGCAAGGCATTTCTGAAATAATACCAGAAAATAGTATTGAATATCTTGAAAGTTTGTTTCACTCAAGTATAAAGATAGGGTTATCTTTTCTAAATAAACATAAGAAAATGCAAGCATTTCCAGTACATCAGTTGGGGATAGTAATGAACATTTGCAGAATTATTGGTTCATTTATTCATGTAATGAAACTAAGTCAAGAATCACAAGATAGTAAGTAAACTTTAACAAATGTTTATGGCATAATTTTGTATGAATTACCTTGAAATATGTTTGACTTTGAATTCTTAGAATTCTCAGTAATGGACATGATAACTGGGGAAATGCTTGATATCCACACATCTTAGAAGTGTCCTCCAAGCAGGGGAAGAATGAATCAGAAATCATATTTGATAATTTAAATAAGAATAGTTGTCCCATTAGGAAAATCCACTGACCATAATTGATGTTAATGTAAGTTAACTTTAATTACTTATTTTATTCAAAAAAGTTAAAATACAAAACTTCAAAAAATGTTTTTATAAAAATGAAAACAAAACAAATAAGACGTTTAAAAAGTGCTTTAAAAAGGATACAAACACATATATACATATTATTAGCCCTACTTGAATACTGATTATATATGTTGCAGCAGTAGTTTCATACCCCTTATGAAATAGGCCCAGAAATTTTTAAACTTACAATTCTATTTGCAAATTATTGGCCTGTCATCTATCTACTATATTAATGACAAAATAGTTAACAGGTAGAACAACAACAACAACAACAACAACAATAATAATAATAACAAAAGATAAGATTAAAATTTCAAAACCCTCTGCTAACAAACTATTATTCTATCTATCTCATAGAAAGTTTACCATGGGTTCTTATCTATCCCAAATCATTCAGATAGTTAGCTCTGATTCATTCTTGATCAAATTTTCTCATTTACTTCTTAATAACATCTTAATAATGTCAATTGTGGTATGGTTAAATATAATAAATCCATTCTCCAAAATCGATCTATCTTCCCAAAAGTCCAGACAAAATTGTTTTTCAGCTGAATGTAATAAATCCATTCTCTAATCTCCTTCACTCTTCTTAGAGGAAATCAATTTATCACTTATCAACTCAGTCAGTTATAAGTCTATAAAATCCATATTTCTTTCAATCTTCCCCACTGAATCTGCCAGTTTCAAACCAAGTTCCTTTTGTAAATCTGGTGTAACTGCTGTTACATGCATCTGGGCATTTTGTAGCCATTATTATTTTGTCAAACTTTTCAAAAAAAATTTCAAAAAACTCTTCAAAGACAGAGATCAAAGACTGTTGAAGTGATATCCCTCAGAGTGAGAAAATAGATAGAGAAGCAGGGAGAATATTTTTTTGAATATCTTGATCCAAAATTAAAAGAAAATTTACAAAATAAGTTCCAAAGTTTTTGCAAATTAATAAAATGAAAAATCTCTGTAGTTAAAGTCTTATATTAATGTAAATCAAGTCAAAGCACTTTCACTACAACATGCTGTGACTTGCTTATGGAGAAACAAGAGTTATTCAAAACAGCAAAATAAATCAAAGGAAAGAGACAAAAAAAAAAACCAGATAAAGTATAGCAGGGGATAAAATAAATCAGCATTTAACAAGCTTTTCAACTTAAAAATAAAAAGCAAACTTCAAAAAATGTAGGCAATATTAAAATAAACAATATGTCAAGAGGAAAAGATGGATGGATGCCTAACTTTCCAGCAGTCCCCAGTAGGAACTGCAGTCTTCAAGACTGAAACAGCTTTGACAGCAAAATTAGCAGATCATGGGCAGGAGGGAAAAAAATCTTCCTACCATTCAGCAGTAATCTTGGGGGAGGGTTCCCAATGTAACCGAGCATTACAGTTTTTAAATGGATGTTTCATATCTCAACCATATTCAAATTCTATAGCATTGTTCAATACAAGCTTCCAGAGTAATATTTTTTTCCAGCTAACAACAATTATGAGGGGATCACAAATGTAAATGACACTTCGAGGAACACCACAAGGGAAAAAAATTGATAACCCCTACTTTACATGGAAGAAGAAATTTTCAGAGCTAACACTTGAAAGGGATAGATAATAATAAATAATACACACATAACACATGTTAAAATTTATTCATTAACTTTCTTTAAATATAATTTGTGTATGGAGGAAGGTGGAATTTCAAGGAGCCCAAGTAGCTAAAGTAATAGAGGAGGAAACAGGAAGTTTTCCTTTTGTGAAAGTTACTCCAATCACCTTAAGACTGAAACCAATTTAATCAACTTGCTCACATTTATGCATCTTTGCTTTGGTTATAGTAACTTGGCGATGGGATTCTACAGGATTTCCAGCAAAAAGCAGAATTATATTTTGTTACTATTCTCTTGTATGTTTTCTGTTACATGTTTCTTTAATATCTAATGCAAAATGTATTGGGCCAAAAATTGGTAAAAATAATCATATGTTAAGGGAGTATTTAACTGAACAGTTAGTGTAATCTATCCTATGTAAGCAAATTGCATTGTCTAATGCAACTGAACTAATCCTGATATGTTAGGAAAATCACACACACACACATATTGCATACAAATAATATTGAAACACTTTATACACTGAAGGTGTATCTACATGACTTATTTTCTAAATTATCAATGACATTTTGATGTTTCCCAATGATTACATTTTGAATTAGATTAGAATCAAAGTAAAATGTAGTCACTCTAATCAAAATGTAAAATCAATTAGAGAGGATAGTATAATTGAATTGTACAATGTATTCAACTATTTCTTGAAAGAGTATAATTAGAAACATTATATTAAAGGTAAGAAAAGACGACAAAGCAGCACAGTGAGTTTTTCAACAGTAAACCAGAGGGATTCTCCACAATTTTTTCATTCATTCAGTTCATTCAGTGGAACAGTCCCATCAATAATGAAGAAAAGGTCAGTGAATTATGAGAACATGAACACTTATTCACATTCCTGTTGAAATAGGTTAATGGCTCTTCTAGCTCAGCATGGTGTATAATAGTGGTCAGCTACATGCATTCAGGAAGCTTGCAAATATGATGCTAGCATCTGATGTTTAAGAAATGCTGTCCATGATTTAGAAGATAGTAATCAACCATCAAGACCAAGACACACTGATCCTCCATGAATTTGCTTAGGTTCTTTTCAACTATCTAAATCATTGACCAATTTGTTTGCCAATGTTTGAAATCTCTCTGCATCTAGTTTTAATGGCTAACACAATATTCTTATACAATGAAAGTGGGGTAAATCATTTCATGTATGATTTTCTACATCCTATTATCTTTTGCCTTACCTGCTTCCTCACCAAGCTAAAACTCTAAATCGTATTCATGTATATTTTTAATCACTTGAGATTTTTCATTTGTTTTTTTTGCAGTTGAGGGTTTATTGGTTTTTTAAAAACATAATGCTACTCTGCTCATTTCCTGCAAAAAACATAATACCAGTTAACTAACCCAAATTACTTCATTAAAATCATAACAAAATACTAAACTATCATATCAGACCAAATAATAACACTAACAATAATTTATTAAACTTGTATTCCATCTAACTCTCAATGACTATGGGTAGCTTATAACAATCTAACAAATTATGATAAAACTGGCAAACAATAAAAGATGGCAAGCAAATCTTTATACCTTAAGTCTAAGACATATAACTTACAAAATGATAAATACAGTGTCTTTTTTTAATGAAGATTTTGTTAATGTGTCTGATGGTGATTTTGTCAATGATTTATTAAACTTGTATACCATCTGGCTCTCAGTGGCTGTGGGCAACTCATAACAAACAGATTACAATGAAATCAGTAAACCACAAAAGATGGCAAGCCGATAAAGTGTGGGATCTCACTCTTCCTCACCAAAAGCCTATGTAAAAAGCCAGTTCATTCATAAATAATAAAATATTCAGGTTCTTAAAAAATTAACTTTCAAAAGTATAAATATAGTATCCTTTTTGAGGTTTAGCAACAAGTTTGTATTAAGATAACTTCTTTTATTCATTAATTTCAGGGGCGGTGAGATATGGTTTTGGGAAAAGGAGCCTAATAAAATGCTTGTATTATTGGGGAAAATTTTCATATTTGCATTTACTTGGGCTGTTGGAGGAATTTTAAAACGAGAAGAAGAACATGAAGGTGAAACTCTCATTGATATAAACACTAGCCAAGATGAACTTGCACATGTAACATGTGACTTCAATTACCTTGTTCGTGAGTTATTTGACAAAAAACCACCTACTAGTAAGTTCTAAATTTCTACTGCTTTCACAATATAGTTATTGTATATATTCTAATTGCATTAATTGAATAAATATTTATATTAAGTAACAAATTAGTGGAACAGAAAAGGGCCAAACATATAATTTTATATTTCAATGAAGTTGAACTACATAGTTTGGGTTCCAAAATAATGCAGCTGAAAAATATATCTACTTATCTATAACTTCATGTGTATATAGGTATGTAAGTAGCATCTGTGTGACTGTAGATTTTGAATACAAAAGAGATTCCAATTGAATAAGCTAGCTGAGAAAGACAAGACATGCAGAACAATGGAAAAGTCGGATGTTTCATGTAAAAGGACCTGAGATTAGGGCAGGGGAAAAGCCTTGGAAGTTGCTGCTTGTCGGCAATGCATAGACTAATTTAGTTAAATTAGCATTATTGCAATATGAATACACATATGAGAAGTCAACCAATTAGCAACAGAACCATTAATATAAATGTAATTAGATTTTTTAAAAGAAAATGTTTGAAACATGCTTGTAGAGTTGTGAGTTTACTGTTGTGTCCTTTCTTTGTATGTTTTTAGCTTAAAAGAATGCTAATCTGAGGACACTTTTGCCTTTTTTCCCAGGCACATAGGCACAACAGACATGCTCTTAGATTTGTCTCCTGCTAGACTAGAGCAAGCTAGATGTTAAGCTTTGCCTATGTGTTTCCTAAATATAAATCTCCTATTTGTTGTAACATTATATAATTATATTGTGTTCTAACATAGTTTTGTTAATCCTTGCTCAGGTCAGATTCCTGCTCTCAGGAATGTTCACATGCACACAGTGAATGTTTCACCTCCAACAATCTGAAGGGGAGCTGTATTTGAGCTTGCTTGGAAATAAGTACAGCTGTTAGCAGGCTCTAAGATCCAGGTTTATTTGGTCCCACTCCCCCTGTTTTGACTGTACATACATTTAAGCCAGTGCAAGGGGTGGATAGGGTGGGGTTATATGACAGAAACATATCTGCTATACACTTTATAGAAAATATGCACTATTCACCCATTAATTTTACACTATTTATGTAATAAAACACGTCTTTCACTTTTTGCTTTCAGATATTCAGATGCCATCTGGAGATAAAACTGTTTTTGATTATTTTGTGGATTTACAAACAGGAGAATTTGAACCATGGGGACATTTAGTTCCTAGCACACAATTTCTTATCCAGAAAGGTGAATATAGTTGCAACTGCTTCACGTTATTAAATTATTTTGAAAGTCCTGGAAAGCATTTAATAGGTTTAGAGTTTAGAAACACACACATTTCTGAGAGATGAGGTGAGACACTCAGTGTTTGGAAGGAGAACAATGCTAATATATCAGAGATAAATTCAATGCTAAATGCTGAAGCCTAACTCTAGAAATTAAAGCATAATACTGTATGATTGAGAATAGATACCTAGACATACAAGTAAATTTTGAGCCACTAAGAGCTGAATATGTCATTGTCATCATGTGTAAAAAGAACCTGTGATGCATGTCTTTTCTGTTCATATACAGCCATTATGATTTCAACAAACGTAAGTTCCACACAAAGCTCAATATCACCTAATTCTAACTAGTAAATTTTTACCAGGATTTATATAATTTCTCCATCTGCTTCTATTTATCTGTACTTTCAATCATCTCTTTTTTCCTGCTTGTTCAGTGACTTGAAGGTTAAAAGGCAATATGAAAAGGCAATTTTTTTTCTGGTAATGTTGAATGTCATAGTCTCATCTATTTATCTATTTTTTTCATCTGGCCATGATTTACAATATTTTAACAATTTTTGATATTTTAAAATAATTATTGTAATCTTTTAAACTTCAGAGACATCAGATCTTTCCGATTCCGATAATAACATGTTAGAAAATCAAGAAAAGACAATAGAGACCTCTGCATTTATTCCTAATATTGATACAATTCGTCACAGCTTCCTAGCAAGTCTTCTTTTATTGTCAAAACATCCAGTACTGATTATAGGTAAATTCATATTTAAATATTGAAAAACAAAATAGACTCTTATCTTGTACAAATACTTGCAATTAATTGTTGGATTATTTTGGTATAATATTTTCATTCTATTATTTGAAAGCCCAGTCAAAAAGATAACTATAGAACTCTTGTGCAAATAAGTTAAAATCCTATGCTGGTTTACTGAAATTTTTAAATAAATCTAAGAACTGTAAAACATAGTACTTTGCATTGTCTAAGAATAGTTGGAATTTAATTGTTATTTTCAACACATGGAAAGTTAAGATTGAAAAAAAAAACCCTAGCTAAAAACCCTATGACAGATTTGACCTATGGAATCCAAGAGTTGTAAGCATATAACATAGTTATGAGTCATTTAATCCAGTCACTTTAATTCCATTTATTTACAAGTTATATTTATGCCTTCTAGATTTTTTGGGAAACTTTCCTCCTCCCAGTAAGTGACAGGGGCTTGAATTGCTCCTCTTGATATTGTCAAGAGAATTGTTATATAATTCTCATGCAGAACATAGTTATCAGATTATCAGGTGATTTAGGAAGATAGAATCCTTTTTTTAAAATATAGTGTACAATGTATTGTGAAAAAATCAACACAAGTTGAACCAATATCTATCCTTGTTTGAAATCTGACTGATAATAATAATTTTAATTTTTAGCTTTAATTTTTATCAATTTAATTATTTAAAATATAATTTCATTATTTTAAAACACTTTAATTATTATTATTATTAGTTTTAATATTGTAAGAACTTTATTTAATTAAAGGGTACCTTGCATAAAGTTTACGTGCCATAATGAGCAAACTAATAATGCAACAAGTTGCTGGATCAATTTGCTTACTTTTGGGCCTGTAATAGCATGTCCCTAGTCTTCCAGTATCTACATTACTCAATCTTTGGGGCAAAATGGCTACGTATATTTTAAATACTTCAGGGAATATCAACACCACTATTTGTTTCTCCCCTTTTCAGCTGCCTCTTTAGGTTTGTTATTCTTTCAAGGGAGGTGACAAGGATTAAACATTCTCTGTTGATATATAAAGTTCTAGCACAACCTACTTTTAAATACTGCCATGCATTGTTCTTCTGAAACTACATGAGAAATAATACTATCTAATCTCCATCAGTTTATAAATTCTACTATTTTATAATCACATTTAGATGATTGGAAGTTTATGCCATTTTGCTTTTTCTAGGCTTTTTCTATCTCATGCAAGATCAACGATGGAATCTGGCTGAAACACTCACAGTTTATATTGCATAATAAATGTACAAAATATAGTGCATACATTTTGATCTTTTGCTCACTTGAAAATACATAATAAATTACAGTGTATACAGTATTAATTTCCCCATAGTAATTCTTGTTAGAATAGTTTTCTTTTTTTTTATTGAAAAAGTTTTCAAATACAAATTTCCCCCCCTTTTTTTTCCCCTCCCCCTCCCCCTCCCTAACCCCCCCTCCCCACCCATCCCCCCCGTGACTTCTTCGTAACAAAAAACCTAATTCATAACAGATTATTTGCTCCCTCCTCTAAATACTGACCTTTACTTACTAAAAATATTATTAATATTATAACATCCCCCTTTATCCATACATTCCAAGAAAGAAAGAAAAAAGACATTATACTATAACATTGTAAAATAACTTCTAATTTAACATAATAGTATTATAACTCCCAATTTGGCAATAATCTGCCCTTTTTTTTCTTTTCCCAAACTTATATTTATATATTATTACAACGATTCAAAACCACCTTCCACTTTAAGACTATACAATAAATCCTACTTTAACATTTAATCTTCTGTATGTATTACTATAACATTTCAAAGCGGCCTTCCCCATAAAATCTAATTTAACATTTATTCCACTCTATCCATTTCCTCCACTCCCCTAAATATATCACTTAAGAATCCCTTTTCTTAAACTAACCAATCTGCAAACTAGCTTATTCACCCACTGTCCTGCAAAATTACCATACACAACAATTCTTAATATCTTTGATTCACTGCCCACGCTACTTAAAAATATATGTATATATATTCCATTATATCTAAATAAAAAAGAAAAGACAATGACTTTAAATTTATAGTCCATATAATATCTTCTTTAAAGTCTTTCCACTGGATTGTTGGGACCATCATCCATAATAGGGTAACATAGCTTGCTGATGCAACAGTTTATTCAAAATCTTCAGTCGTATCTGCCCCCATCAGTAGTAAATATCCTCTGATACGTATAAAAGTAAAAACAACCACCCGAGTGACATTATAATTATATTCCATATAGTAATAATTGTGGCTTTCATCAGGATTATTGATTCCCATCATCGTAGTGGGTAACAGCCTGATCTTCTGCTTGCCCCAGCATAATTCTCTTGCCTTATGATTCAAAATAATTATAATATATTTGTCAGCACAAAAAAGGATTCCAAAGTGGATAATTCAAATCCATCAGTTTAAGGCTCTTTTCACATCCCAAGATTACGGCAATGCAGAGATCTATCACTATCCTCAGGATAATATTAATCAATACGTCGCCTCCTCTATATTTTCACATACTCATTCATTTTTTAAAGTCACTGGCTTCACTGTTGCTTGATTTAGAAATTTCTATTTTTATATAACCTATTTCTTTTTTTTCTTTTCTTTTTGTGGGTTTGATTTCGATCCTGGTTTCCTTTCTACAGATTGTGTATCAACTAATCGGTTTTCATTCTGCTTTGTAGATTGGTCTTGTTGGTTTTGTTTTTGTGTCTCATGTTTCTTTTTTATCCCTTGTATATCCCCTAATTGGTTTCCATGCTTGTCCTTGACTTGATAAGTCATCACGTTAAAGTCAGATGCCACTTCTCTCAAATTTGTAGATAATCCAGCTGGGGTATCCGAAAAATCCAAAGACAATTTATCTGGTACAGTCTCTGTAATTCGATATTTTCCCTTTATTTCCAGCTCCTTCTGCTTATCCTGTATTATACCTGAAGATGTTAAGTTCATTTTCAACCTGTTTTGATAAAATTCTTCCGCTCTTTCAACAGTATTTAGCTGGTATCTTTCTCCTTGATATCTCAATATGATACCAATTGGGGCGTCCCACCTAAATGGGATATTTCTCTTTTTTAACTCAGTCACCAGAAAACCAAATTTCTTCCTTTCCGTTAATATCTTAGGTGGGAGTTCTTTGTAAATCCAAATCTTTCTTCCATACAATTGCAAATTAGAATTGAAAGAATTTTGCACAATATTATTCCTAATTTCTTTATCTGTAAAATAAATCACCACATCTCTAGGCAATTGCCTTTGCTTAGCAATCCAGGAGTTTATTCTGTAAACTCTGTCAATCCTACAAAACACTTCCTCAGGTTGAACCTTTAAAATCCCAGCTAGAATTTCAGAAGATATTTTCCTTAAATCATCTCTATTATTTTCCTGCAAACCTCTCAGTCTTATCGCATATTCTGTGAAATTATATTGTACCATTAGAACTTCTCTTTCAATCCTCTGTTGCAGATTTTCTACATTACCAGACTTTTGATCAGCCTCCATTTTAGGTTTTTCTTCTGAGCTATTATCCTGAGTGTTTATCAAATCATTTTCAATTTTTTGGATTCTATTGTCCAATTTATCTTGAGTTTCTTCCATTTTAGACTCTAGTAAATTAGTATTTGTATCCAACTTTGGCCCCCACTGAAAGGGCTCGCAATCTGGGAGTCCTCCTGGATAGGCAGCTGTCTTTGGAGGAACATCTGACGGCTGTTACCAGGGGGACCTTTTATCAGGTTCGCCTGATTCGCCAGTTGCGGCCCTTTCTTGATCGGGATTCCCTGTGCACAGTCACTCATGCCCTCGTCACCTCTCGCCTTGACTACTGTAACGCTCTCTACATGGGGCTCCCCTTGAAGAGCACCCGGAGGCTCCAGCTGGTCCAGAATGCAGCAGCGCGGGTAGTGATGGGAGCAACATGGCGCTCCCATGTAACACCACTCCTGCGCGAGCTGCACTGGCTCCCGGTGGTCTTCCGGGTGCGCTTCAAGGTGTTGGTTATCACCTTTAAAGCGCTCCATGGCATAGGGCCTAGCTATCTCCGAGACCGCCTGCTGCTACCGATGACCTCCCATCGACCCGTGCGCTCCCACAGAGAGGGCCTCCTCAGGGTGCCATCAGCCAAACAATGTAGGCTGGTGGCCCCCAGGGGGAGGGCTTTCTCTGTGGGGGCTCCCACCCTCTGGAATCAGTTGCCCCCGGAGATAAGAAGAATCCAGGACCTCAATGCCTTCCGTCGTTCCCTGAAAACCTATCTTTTTCAGCAAGCCGGGTTGGCTTAAGAAGAAATTTTAAAATTTTTAAATCCTTTTAATTAGTCTGCGATTTTTAATTTTTTGGGCCAAATTTTATATATATTTTTAAATGTTTTAATATTTGTATTCTATGTTTTTTATCTTGGCTGTACACCGCCCTGAGTCCTCAGGGAGAAGGGCGGTATATAAATTCGAAATTAAATTAAATTAAATTAAATTAAACTGTATCATAAATTCTGAAAAACCATTAGCCACTTTTAAAATTTTTCGCTCCAAAAAATCAAACTTAGATTTCACCAATTCTTCAATTTCCTGCTTAAATTTTTCAAAATGCTGATTCACAATCTCATCCCTTCTTTCAATGTCCTCTAAGAGAAATTCTATTATATTGAAATCAGGTTTCTGAGACTGGAGAGTTAAAACTTGTTCCTTTAAATTGTTAGTGGGGGAATCCCCCCCCCACTACTTGTTTGTCTGACTTTGTGAGTCTCAGTGCCATGTTTCCACCCAGGCAAGCTTTGTTAAAAGGAAAAAAAAACCAAGAAAAAAGACTTCTTTCCAATCAAAAACAATATCAAGTCTCCAGGGAAAAAAAGAGAGAGAAAGACACAGGAGCGAAGTTTTGTCTGCAAATGTAGCCAGTGGTATTTATTCCGCTACATTGTAATAATAGAAAACGGAAGGACTTTCCCTTTCAGCCTCTTCTCCAGCCACGGCAGACGCCATTTTAAAAGGGCTTTTTTTTTCCCCCTTTCCTTTCCTCTTTTCTCTTAAGTAGTTTTTTTTAAAGATAAGTAAAATACTTGCGATTCAGTATTACAGGTCCAGCTCACATTTTCTTTGAATAATCTGTTAAATTCGCAGGCTTGCTCTTGACGCCTGGCTCTGCATTAGCAGAGGTCTCCCAAAGCCCGGAGCAGCGGCTGGGGATATGGGGCATCTCATCCGCTCCGTCCCAAAAGTAAAAGAAAAACTTTTGGGACTATGCAGAGAGTTCTACCCACCCCTGCCGGCTCTATCTCCGTTTCCTCATGGAAACGGAGTTTTTTTCGAGCCGCCATTCCGCTGTGAAGGCAGCTCTAACAGGCAATGGAAGCTGATGATCCCGAGGGAACATCTGGCGGCGGCCAGCAGCAAACCGGAAGTCCTTGTTAGAATAGTTTTCAATTAAGATAATTTTGGTGAGGTTTTTTGTCTGAAATTTATTTTCTTAATTACAAATTATAAATTAATTACAAACCCAGCTGAATGTTTTTATTCATTGGAATTACAAATTTTATAATTTCTTCATCTCCTTCATTATAACTATAGAAGCCTGATAGTCTCTTCTATAATTTTAGGCGATCCTGGCAGTGGAAAGACTACTATGATAGATAATATGCTTGGAAGACTCCAAAAAGATGGATTAAATATAAGGAAGAAAACAATATTAGGAGAGGTCTTTTACTACAACCAAACTAAAATAACAAGGTAACTGCTAAGAAATTTAGAGGGCAATTCAAGCTCTTTCTTGAATATATTGATCCTAAATATTTCAGCAATATCTGACTAGTATGTTAATGATAAAACAAAAGTGAGAATATATCTTTTCTTCCCAGTGGCATTGTTTAATTGAGTCTGATTTGGGGTCATGGTAGAGGACTGGAAGACTTTTGAATCCTTTATATTTACATCTCCAGTCTCCAGTTTTTTTCCTCCTTTTTTGATTTATGACTTCTCAATTCGTGGGAGGAGTCACTGGGCTTCTATAAAGCTAAATCACAGTCGACCATTCATGTCTGATGCGATTCAATGTCTTTTCTTTGAATAAAATTGTTAATGTTGATGACTTATCTATATAAATAAATTAACAATAGTATAGTAATAATAGGTTTAGTTATATACTGGAAAATTCTAGAAAGTAATAATTCCAACCAAATTTTTTTTGATGATTTTGTGGGAGAACTGGCAATCTTGTGATTTCTTCATTCTGTGTTTATGTTTTACTGTCTAGCTTGATGAGGAACTACAGTATACTAAAAACAGATCAATTTCGTAGCTCTTGGAAAATAACACATTCTTCAACCAAAGAATTACGTATGTCATTGATTTTAAAGAAAGAAGAAAATGTTTTAGGGTTAGATTTTCTTTTTTAAATGAGAATATATTAAATTTTAAAGAAATAAGTTATTTAAAGTCCAGATTATGCCTAATGTTAAATACTAAAATCACATCCTTAATGAAAAAAAAAACCCCTAAAGAGATTAAGATTGGCCAAATTTAAAAGAAAATAAAAAATGGTTCCATAAAATAGCTAAGAATTTTATTCCTTTGACTTTATTTCATTTCTCTGTGCACATCTGGATTTTTTTTTAGTACATATAGAAAGCATGTTGGTATCTTTCACTGTCAGTCTAATATACCAATTAATTTATAAGAATTATAAATTGACTCCATAAAGTTTTAAATGGTGTATATAAAATTAATAACATAATCCGGTAACAATATAGAAAGGGAAATCAATTTATGGCATATTCTTTTGAACCTTCTTACAAGTCTTTTAAAACATTGATATCAGTGGTGGGTTGCTCCCGGTTCGCACCGCATTGGGCAAACCGGTAGCGGCAGCGGTGCTTTTAAAAAGGTTTTAACCTAAAAAGGTTAAAAATTATGTAAAATTTTAACAATTTAATTTGTTAAAGTTTCAGCTCTCAGCTCAATAAGAGAGGATTCTGATATAGAAGAACCATCTTCAGGGCCTATCATCTGTAAATTACAATTAGGTGCCCATACAAGTGCAGCTCAAACGAAGAGTTTGATCACCCAGAAATTAATACTGAAAAGTAAAGATGTCATGGGTGCTCCACAATCTAAACAAGTAAGAACTTTAATGAAAGCTTATTTGTAACTCACATACATAATCAGTTTATTCAGTCTTCATTTCAAAGAAATTGATTTGATCCACAATTAGTCTAATGCAAGAAACAGAACATATTAACTTTTAAATTTTTCAAGAACTTCAGATGCTCATGGTCTCTAGAGGTCCAAATTAAAATATAAAGTAAAAATTTACATTTCAGAAAGTTGCCAAATCTCAGAAAATTTCTGAGATCTTGCAAAATCTAATGATTTTAGGAAACCTGAGCCATTTTAAAGAACATCCAATTTTTAAGTGTTCATTGCTCAAAAGGGTGCTGATCTAGAGTGCAATTTTTGGGATCCAGTTCCCACTGCCATTGGTAAATATTCAATTGATCTGGAGTAAAGGCGACTGTTCTCTTTTCCTTTGTATTAAAAATTGAGCATGAATAGAGAAGAGGATCTTTTAATCATGAGTGTTCTCATTCACTCAGGTTGATGATTACTACTCTTACTGGATAGGAGCCACTAAAACTTTAGAGGAAAAAAATGAATTAATTCTACTGCTACCATTTCTTTCTTTCTTTCTTTCTTTCTTTCTTTCTTTCTTTCTTTCTTTCTATCTATCTATCTATCTATCTATCTATCTTATCTATCTATTTTTAGCAAATAAAACCCATAGCAAAACAACTCTCGAAGTGGTAAAATTCAACAATAAAATAAACATTTTTGAGTAATGCAATCCTGACAAAAAAAATAATTGAATAAATGGAAGTTTGAGGTATTCGAGAGATGAACCATTCTCATCCTTAGTCACCACCAGTGGGGGTGGGGAGTGGGGGGTGAGAGAAAGGCTAAAATTATGACACTGGAATTTGTCAGCAAAATTTAGCAATGCAATTTGGACTCCTTTTAAAGTTGTGTTTTGAATGCATTGGTAGGAATTGTAGTGGGAGTACTCTGGGAGTAGTATTGTTCTGTTATCATTTTTAAATCCCTATACTGATAGTCTTCATTTAGCAACCACAATTGGAACTGACAATTCAGTCAACAAGTGAAGCAGTCATTAAATTGAAATCGCAACTGTGCTTAAGATCTTACTTCAGTTCCTTTTCCTTTATAGAACTGCAAAGGTCATAAATGTGAGGATTAGTCATAAAGTTACTTTTTCATCACCGTTGTAACTGAGTATATTTGCTAAATGAGATAGTTGCTAAACAGGAATTACATGTAAGATAACTGAAAGCCACAAAAAAGTATCAAAGGTTTCAAACATCCTCCTTTACTGACACTATCAGAAAGCTTTTGGCTCTCAAGAAGCAAGTTGTGTTCTCCAGCCTAGAACAAATTGTCTATCTCTGTGTTATACAGAAAGGAATGAGGAAGAAAACAGGAAAAGAGTTATACAAAATTAACAACATCCATCCCACCACCAAAAAACAAATTTTCGGAGAGAGAGAGAAGGAAATGGGTTACAATTGGGCATGTATTTCAATATTTCTAGGCTCAATTATATTACAAGCTGCATCTGGAAAAATGAACAAGAAATGGATTTACTTAATATGTTCCATTAATAGTGAAAAATAAAACACCACACATGCAAACTTTGATTATTGCATAGAATAGTCCCTTCAAATGCTAATCCTAATTCAGATAATTTATTAAGAAACTCTTTGTTGGAGCCAATTATTAATTCTGTGAGTATTTAGGGTGATTTAGGATGATTTTCTAAGCCACCTCTTCAATGACTGAGTACAATATATACTGTAGAATAGAATAACAGAGTTGGAAGGGACCTTGGATGTCTTCTAGTCCAATCCCTTGATATATATGCATAATGGATCATACTTATTATATGTAAAAACAAAAATACACAGATAGAAATTAAGTGTCTAATGTTTCTGTTAATATACTTTAGATGTGATAGTCATTTGTGGTTTTTATTATACTTATTTCAAGGCACTACTGTTTATTGATGATCTGAACATGCCAATCTCAGAAGAATATGGATCCAAGCCACCATTAGAGTTCATCCGTCAGTTTGTGGAGTTGGGAGGATTTTATGACATTAAACACCTTGATTGGAAAGTATGTTTAATATCGGTAACATTTCTTTTGTTATTTTTGATTTTTGTTAAATTAAGATCTTTTCATTAAAAATTTGTCATGTAAGTATAGTATTCTGGATCAGTTGAAATTCATTCTCATGTTAGATGGTCTAGATTCTTAGGCACATAGGTTTAGGAGAGAAATTAGGACTTTTAAATTCATTTTTAAAGTACAGGTAATCCTTGTGCTACAAATTTAATGGAGCCTTCCAATTACATTAATAATCCAAGGATTTGTTAATTGGAACTCATTGAATGAACAAGTCTCATCCCTCTTCTCCCCAAAGGATTTGTTAATTGAATATGCGGGTCGTTAAGAGCACATGGGGTACATCAGGAGTGGGGAAGACCATGGGAGGCTGAGTGCAGGGGCAAGACCACTGCCTCCAGCCACCAAAGGCCTCCCCCCCACACACTGAGAGATCCCGTGCTCTTTCCACCCCTTGGGGTCCCAAATTGCTTGGGCCTTCCCTCCTCAGCCCCTCCCCAATCACTCACTCACCTTTGGTGCCACGTTTACCTCCTGTGCAGCCTTGGATGCTGGAGCCCTTGTCCAGCCAGGGGGAGAAGTGCTGGGCCAGCCTCTCCCCTTCCCCACAGAACCCCAGCATCTCTCATAAGTGCCCCTCCACTTGCTGGAGTGCTGAACCACCTGGATTTCAGCAATTGTGCTACCATGAAACTGGAGAGCTTGGTGCGTCCTGGCTCTGCACCTCTCACTCCGGCGGAGAACTGGTTGCCCCCGCCCCCAGGGTGACTGTTGCAGCCTGAAGGTGCCTTCCTGCCTGCCAGATCTCTTGCCCTGATTTCAGAAATTGCATACTGAGGAGCTACAGAGCTTGGCACGTCTCCTGCCTGCACTCCTCCCTTGCCGGACGCACATCGCAAGAGGGGTTCCTAATCAAACCTGCCTTCCAGCTCTGTCTCATTTCTCCATGCAGCTCAAGATGCTCTTCTTTCGCTGGAGAAATGGAAAAGCTGTGTTGCAAAAGGAAGAAACATATAGGGAAACTAAGAATCATCCAGAGTCATTGCTTTCCCAATGCAGATCAGGAGAGACCAACCAACTCCATGAGGCAACTTTCATGAGAAGTTGGAAAGGCTGATCTTACTTTTTGTTTTTTTAGCCTCACAGAGAAAGCCACCAGACAACGGACTTGGTTATTCCCAGAAGTTGTCTTGTGGAGTTGGTGGAATTTCTCCTTATTTGTAGGTTGGATCTTATTTTAACAAGCTTCCACACTTCTTTCCCTGCACTCTAGTGCCTTAGAGAGCAAGTCTTTGTGACAGCCCCTCAAATAATGGAAGGCAGTTATCAATGTCTCCCCATCTTTCTCTTTGAGAGGCTGTACATATTTAGCTTCTTCAACCATTTGTCATACGATTTAACCTCAAAGCTCTTTATCATCTTTGTTGCTTTTCTATACACATTTCCAGGGTCTCAATATCTTTTTTGTATTTTGGTGATCAAAGCTGGATGCAGTACTCCAAGTGTGGTCTCACCAGCATGGTGTAAAGTGATGCTATCATTTCTCATTGCCTTGACACTATCCCTCTGCCTAGAACTGCATTGGCTTTTTTGGTAGCTGCAGCACACTGCTGGCTTATACTTAAGCGGTGGTCCACAAAGACACCTAGATCCCTCTCACAATTACTACTGTTGAGCCAGTTACCGCCTATTCTATATGTATGCATTTGGTTCTTACTGCCTAAGTGCAGGACTTTACTTTTCTCACTATTGAACTGCACCTTGTTGGATAGGATAGGACTCGGTGCTCAAGAATGTATTATCAGTTCATTATCAATCATCCTGAACCAGTAAAACAATATTATAAATATGTTGATTTATAGGGCTTTTTTTTTTAAAAAAAATGCTATTTTGTATATTTTTCTAACAGCATATTCAGGACATTGCCACAGTTGCATGCTGTACACCTCTAAATGTAGGAAGTAATGAGATTAGTACTCGTCTTCTGTCCCATTTTTGCATCTTAGTTTTGCCTGCAACTTCCTTACAGTCTTTGCAACGTATTTTCCAGGTAACTGTCCCAAAACATTTATTTATTTATTTATTTTTACAAAGAGCAAAAAAATGTAATGAAACGTAACTGAAAATTATAACAATAGCAATAGCACTTAGACTTACATATCATTCCATAGTGCTTTACAACACTCTCTGGGCAGTATACAGAGCCAGCATATTGCCGCAAACAATCTGGCTCCTCATTTTACTGGCCTCAGAAGGATGGAAGTCAACCTTGAGCTGGAAATAATTGAATTCCTGGCTACGGGCAGAGTTAGCCTGCAATACTGCATTGTAACCAGTGCATCACCAGGGCTTTTATAGAAATATCCTTATATAAAAACGGAATTGAAGACTGAAAAATTGCTGAACACTAGAACATTGGATAAAGATGGCACTTACAATCAATTTAGCAACCTTTTTGGAAGTATGCAATTATGGTCAGCTAAGAGAAGAAGAATTACCCTTCTCTGAACAGTTGTGAGAAAGGTTTAGAAAAGAAATTGTTAAGTCATCTCACCACAAAATCTAGAAGACAGCAAAAGGGACTATTTCTAGCAGCTAATGGGGCAAAGTTTATCTTCTGAAATATTGCTGAATTGTCCTTCTAACAACAAAAGTGGCAAATATAACAGGCAAGACTGGAATATTTGCTGCTTGAAATATTGCATTGCATTACCTTTTTTTTTTTTTTTGCAATATTTCAAGTTCGCTGACAATGTTGTGTTCCTGTGGAAGACAGGCTTATTCCTCAATTAATGGTTATCAGCTACTATCTAACTGCTGGGCCTGACAGATCCTGGATTGACACAAACACTGATATTCTTCGTGTCTTTAGCAAAAGTTAGTTCCTCTATGAAACAGGCTTTTTGGGATGGATATAATGGGGCTATTCTCCCATATTATGTATTTAGCAAACATTCTCTGCTCATCCCATAAAAAAGCTTTTACTAATTATTTATTTAAAATATTTATATGGCCATCCATCTTAAGCAACTCTGTGTGGTTTACAACACAATACTAAAACAGTAAAACAATAAAATATTGAAACAAAACCTTGTGCCGTAATAATCCCTCTGGGATGCCCCACAGCAGGCTCAATTACCCTTCTTCCATATTATCTTCCTATATAAATTTAGTTTACAGATTTCCAAAATCAAAATAATGAGCAAAAGAGTAGTCAGATGAAATCGAAAGGCAAAGAGCCTATAGCAGGTTTGTCAGCCGTTCCAGGTTCAAAGTCACAATCATGAGGTCCAAGAGTCAAGGCACATGAGCAGTGGTCATCAACAGGGGACTTGAGCTTGCCACTCTGTTTTAATAGGTGTTTCTTGTTTAGCAGGGTAAAACTCCTTCCGTGCAAGCAGTTTTGCAGAGTGCCTTTGCTGTATTCTTTTTGCAAGCCACCATGTTCTTCCATTGGGATGGAGCAGTAATTCTGCATCTTCATCTTTGGAATACAACAGCAGCTGTGTCTGCTGGTATGTTGACCAGTTCCACCTTCTCTGCCTCTCAGACAAAAGTCCACCTGGTGACTTTAGAGCAACTGCTCATGATCTGTTACCACATCTGGAGCTGGCTACTTGTCATTGGTTTCCTCCTTTGACTCTGAATCAACCATAACAATCCTATCCAGTGCCTCAATAAAGAGCCAGGTTTTGCTAGCTTTCTAAAAAGATAGAAGGGAGGAGCTCTTGAATCGTTGGTAAGAGGATGTTTCACAAGGTAGGGGCAGCACAGAAAAAGTATATTTCCAAGGTCCCATTAGATGGCATGATTTCAAGGAGGGGACCTGGAGCATGCTCATCCTATCTGATCTAGTGGGATGGACACATATCCTTAGGGAGAGGCAGTCCCACAAATAATTAGGTCCTGTGCTATGCAGAGTTTAAAAACTAATAACCAGCATCTTGAATTGCACCTGGAAGAATCTGGGAGCTAGAACAGTTCATGCAAGAAATGTGCAATATGGACAAACCTATGGATATCCAATACTGTGTGTGCTGCTGCAATCTAGACTGGTTGTAACTTCCAAGTTGTCCTCAAGGGCAGCTCCATATAAAGCACCTCCAAGGTGACTAAGGTATGAATGACCATGAACAAAGCCTCCTGATCCAGGAAAGACAACAACTGGAGGACAACACAGATCTATGCATCCTACCCCACCTCCCAGCCACAGTTGCCACTTGCTCACCAAGAATAAGCCATGAAACTAGAACTCTTAAATTATGCACCTCCTTGGTTTGGGGGAGTATAACCGCATAGGGACAAAGAGGCTTAGTGGCTAAGATGCTGAGCTTGTCGATCAGAAGGTCAGCAGTTCAGCGGTTCGAATCCCTAGCATCACATAATGGAGTGAACTCCTGTTACTTGTCCCAGCTTCTGCCAACTTAGCAGTTCAAAAGCACGTAAAAATGCAAGTAGAAAAATAGGGACCACTTCGGTGGGAAGGTAACAGCGCTCCATGCGCTTTCAGCATTGAGTCGTGCTGGCTACATGACCATGGAGATGTCTTTGGACAGTGCTGGCTCTTCAGCTTAGAAACGGAGATGAGCACCGCCTCAGAGCCGGAAACTACTAGCACGCATGTGCAGGGGAACCTTTACCTTTTTAACTGTGTTCAAAATCACCAGACCCTGCGGGGTATCAAAAGCCCAGTCAAAGTCAGCTCATCCCCATCAAGACCCTTACAACCTCCAGATGCTCAGACAGCCTTGCAACAGCATCAAATGTCCAGCCAGGGTAGAGATATATAGCTGGGAATCATCAAATACCAGTGATCACATACAGTGATCCCATACTATCAGGTGACTTCACCAGTGGTTTCATACATATATTAAAGAGAAAAAGGAGAGACCAGTGACCTGAGGCACCTAACTTTACAGTGGCTTAGAACTCTACACCTCCTCACCCATCCTCACCAACTGACCATGGAGAACCATCACAAAACCATGCCTTTTTTTTTTTTAATTTGATTTATATGCCGCCCTTCTCCGGAGACTCAGGGCGGCTTACAATGCGTTAAGCAATAGCCTTCATACTTTTGTATATTTTATACAAAGTCATCTTATTGCCCCCACAAACTGGGTTCTCAATTTACCTACCTTAGAAAGGATGGAAGGCTGAGTCAACCTTGAGCCTGATGAGATTCAAACTTACAGTAATTGCAACTTTCAATTCCCAGAGCCAATCCTCAAGGATAGCAATGCAGTATCAAAAGCCACTGAGAGATCCAGGACAGCCAGGACAGTTGCATGACCCCCATCCTTGGCCCATCAAAGATAATTAGTGTCAGGGTTCCAAGTAATACCCCCAACGAAAGAAGACTCTGAGGCTAGAAGTTCCTCAAAGTTCCATTTTATTAGAGATGTCATATTGGCACATCTGGGAAAACCCGAATCTGAAAGCTTCCAGGTTTTCCCCACCCAGTTTCCCACAGCACTAAATGTGGCAGCCCTGAAGATCCAAAGAAAAAGATGGCTTCCAGGGCTGACAATAAACACATGTAAGCAATACTATCTCAGTGCTGTACCCTAAACCAAGACTGAAAATGGTCCAGATATTCTACTTCATACAGGGTCCATTGAAGCTGCATACCAACCACCCTCTCAATAACCTTCCCCCAAAAGAAAAGGTTGGAGACTGGATGAAAGTTGTCCAATGAAGGCAAAACATTAGAAGTTCTGCCATTGTTGAAGGCATTGAGGAATATAGTAAGGAAATATCTCTGAATCCATGACCCTATGGGTCAGGGATTGTCCAGTATAATTCTGTAGAGCAATTGATACTGCATTTAGACTGATAATTATAATAATTATGATTGCTTGAATGTTCTCAAGCAAGTTCTCTGCTTTTTTAAGTGTACATTTAGACAGTTTGTTACGCAGTGCTGTTTCCATAAAACCTGTTTTATTACATTATGTAAAATGCTTACAATTCAGTTTGCAAATATTTCTAAAATAATGTAGTCTAATATAACTGTTAACAACAGTTTCTTTAAAGTAATGTACATAGTTTAGCATCTTTATTATTAAATTATATTAAATGGAAAATATTTACAATTTTTAAAATGTATAAAATATTTTTTGTAGGTACGTCTGGGAACATACTTTTACATTAATAGATTCTTGGTTGAAGTTCAGAAATGTACAGATAATTTAACATGTTGCTGTATTGCACTATACTATAGAATGCTTCATAAAATGCTTCCAACACCTGCTAAATGCCATTACATATTTAATCTACGAGATCTTTTTAAGGTTTGTATTTCTTGATTTTTCAATTGGTTAATGGTTAATCAGTGAAATATAGGTAGCTTCATTTGATGACCACATTTGGGACCCACAAGTCAGTCACAAGCAGTTGCTAAGTGTTTAGTAACTATGCTTATGATCTTACTTCAGTCCTCCTTTGCTTTACAGACTAAAGAAGGTTGTAAATGCAAGGATTGGTCATAAGATTACTTTTCAGTCGTTCACTATGATTCCTGAACAGTCACTAAAAAAGACTACCTGTATTCCATAAATTAGAGAATAGGAAAGCAAAAATACTTTTAAATAGAAAGGTTGCTTAAAAGAAATACATAAATAGATTATGATCAAAACTGTCAAAATGTGAAGAAGAAAGGAGGATTTTAAACCAGGATTATACATTTTACTGAATAACCACAAACTCCTTTTTTCTTTATCATCTCTCTGCTTGCTTTTACTTTTCCTGCTATGAACCCTATATCATCATACTCAATAAAACATATACATGAATAATACTATATAAACAAAGAATGTTCATGAGTTAATAATTATTAGTCAATATGCACATAACGTATGGATTTAAAGTAACAAGAAGAGAAAATTGGGTCTATGTTGGTTAAAGCTTTAGTTCGGTCCTTATCAAAAAGGGATAACTGAGAAAAATATATCAGTTACTATAGTTGTCTGAAATTTTCTAAGAAAGAAGCAAACATTTGCAAAATTATATGACATGTAGCACTCTGTAATGACCCAGACAGGAATTCTATGGGCTTGTTCTGACATGAGCTTCAGTAGATTTTCAGTAGATTTTCCTTCATTTGCCCTGAATATTGCTAACTTTTTGTTGTGATTTATTAACTACACCAAATGGAGAAAATACTTATTTTCCTTCTGAGGATAGTTTGGATTCAATATCGTTGAATATTTTGTAAATTATTCAAAATATGATCCATATTAGTAAAATAGATAACATTTGTACAGACATTATTTATGGGATATCCTAAGTATTATCAATTTAAGATTATTTCAAATTTTATCCATCCATAGAATCAAGTTCACTTTTCTGAGTTGGATAAGAAATGCATTTCTACATATTCATGGACATAATTTTAAGTGAATAGTAATAGTTGGGATTTTTTGTTTGTACTAAGGTGTTGCTGCCATTAAGATTTATTATGAATATGTTGGTATGATTAAGATTTATATTATCAATACCCATGGAACTAAAATTTTTTTGAAGGTTAATTCTGTCATCTAAAAATGGAAATCATTGTTTCTTTTATTAATATCTGAAATGGATATCCCACTCTTCGGGGCTATTAAGCACCATTGTAAAATGGCTAAAGCAACCATGGGGTAGCATAGCATGATAAAAAAATTAAATCAATTCAGAAGGTATCTTAGAAGTTTTAGTAACTTCAATAATAATATGAATATAGCTTCAATTGAAAAAGTTACTTTTAAAATTAATACTATAGGTACTTGAAGGACTACTTCAAGCCCACAAGTCAGTCATTGTCTCAAAAGAAACAACAGCATTATTGGTTATGCATGAATCTACTCGAATTTTCCATGATCGTCTAGTTGATCTAGCGGAGAAGGAGACATTTTATCAGTTTCTTTCAAATGAGCTCAACAATTATTTTAAAGTAAGTATACTATAGGTATGATACATATATATATATATATAGGATTTCTTTATCATAGACATGGAATGTTTCATGTTCAGTATACAAAATTGACTAGTAATTGATGATGCCAAGGTGATCTGATATATATTTGTGTGCCCTTTCTCTGCCTTTCCATGAGGCAGTATGTCCAGTTTATCGTCTAAAACCTGCCAGGTTTCTAGTCATTCAGTATCTGAACATTCTTAGACTTAGACATTAATTTTTTTCTGAAGGTATTACAAATAATTTAAAACAATTTAAAATAGTGAAACAATAAAAACACCCACAAAATAAATAAGTACAAACAGCAGTCATGATGATTAATCATCTAATGGAAAAGTCAAGTAGCTGGGCCTTAATACATTCCAAGTCCCAGATCAGATGCATATCCAAATTTTTAAATCTTTGTGAAAAACCAACAGGTTAGGAAAGAATATTCCAAGGAAAGAATATTCAATAAGGCAGGGGCCACAGCAGCAAAAGTCCATTTTAAGCCTGATACTCTTTGGATGATCAGATCTTCAGCATGACCAATCTGTTGGCCAGGATTGGATAAGTAGGAACTCTTGGAGAAACTCTTGGAAAAAGAGGGTTTTTTATATATTCTAGTGGATCTCTCTGTCACTGTTGGTGGGACATAAATGAGAATACATATACACACATGCATATATACATCTCAAAATGCAGTTCCATGGTGACTTTTTAAAGTTTGTCTAAAAAGACAAACTTTGTTCCAATGAAGATTTCAAATTACAAAATTATTCTAGATTTTCTAGATTCCACCATACCTGTAGATAAAAGAACTTGTATTTGAGAATTTGTATTAACATATTTCCTAATCTATACATCTCAAAATGCAGATACATAGTGGCTTTTAGTTTGTCTAAGAAAGATCATTATCCTAATAAAAATTTCAAATTACAAAATTATTTCTGTAGATTTCCTGGACAAAGGAGAAGTTGATGGAAGAGTCTCCTATATTTGTAGATTTTCTAGATTATACTGTACCTGTAGATAAGAGAATTTATAGAAATGTCACTAGCCAGAAGGTTCTTCTTTTGACATTGGAAGAATATTATGTGAGAATGCAAACAAAAGAGTCAGAGGTAATTTTTGAAATTCTGTTTAATATCGATGTATTGTAATTGCTATGTGATGTGAGCCAATACTGTATACATGTATCTTAGGTGCTAGATGTCCCTCATAAAAAAATTTATGACACTGAACAACCTGCTTTCCTCTAGTTTTCCCCTATGCACAAATAGCAGGACATAGGTAAGTGAATTTGAGCAGCTAAGTACTGTAGTTAAATAAAAAATGTCACATGGGTTTATCATAAATTCCTCCTCAAACTGCAAGTCCCAGCTATATTCAAGAAAGATGAATAACAAGGAAAATTAGAATGGATAATATAGAATTGATAATTAATAAATAGTTTCTTCCATCTGTTAGTTCAGGATCATCAATATGCAGATAACACTCAGCTTGATTTTTTAACTGTGTTGGTCTGTTCCAGAAATGCTGTTGAAGCTTTGTGCCATGTCAAGGCTGTAGGGTTCTGGATGTGATGAAACAAGTTAAAACTTGGTTGGTTGGTGCTTAGAATCAATTTATGATTGAAATGTCATATATATACTGTATGAAAGATAAATTAGCAAAATTGAACCCAAACAAAATGGAGGTGCTGTTTGTTCACCAGTTTGTTCATCAGCTCTAATATTATCTCTCAAGTGATATGGGGGGTGGTACTGCTCCTAAAAGAGCAGGTACTTGACTTGAGGACCCTCACAGCTGCTGCTGGAAGTGCAGATGAAGACAGGCTGGAAGAACCTTTGCTCAGCTATGTCTACTACCTCAGTTGCCACCTTACCTGGAACAGGAGGACTTGGCTACAGTGACTCGTATCTTTATTGCCACTTGGTTGCACTTCTGCAATATGTTCTATATGAAAAGCATTTGAAGATCACCTGGTTGGAGCAGTCAGCTTGATTGCTAAGCCAGATAGGATTTTAAAAGGCATACAGAAAGTTACTGATAATCAGGGCAAGGTCCACAATATATGTGTAATATGCTAATAGTGACGCTGTCAGTCAATGTGGGTCACTGCAAACTGCTATGTCTTGTAAAATCCTATCTGGCTTAGCAACCAAATTGCCTGCTCCACCCAGGGTTGACTCATCTGAGGCAATACTTTTTGGAAAACCTATTGGTACCGTAGTATCCCATTTTCATGAGGTGAGGCTGGCTGGAGCCAGGAAATATTTTTTTTAGTTATGATGTCAATGCTTCAGAACCACCTAGTCTGGAAATAAGATTGTTTTTTTCAGTATTAGTCTTGTCTGGAAGCTGGAAAGCTGATGAAAACACAACTCTTCCAGACAGCTTTCATTGACTGATATAATAACAATATGTATTTATTTTTCTCCATTTATTTTATTTGGTTTGTGGAAGGATTGTTCCGTTTTGGGCTATATTTATTGTAGATATAGATGTTTCTGTTTTCTTATTCTATGGCTTACTTTTTTAAGCTCCTCATATCTGGGAAGATTGAGCAGTATACAAATCAATAAAGAAATAACTGCAGTTATTTTTATGATGTAGTTCAATATTTCCTATTTCAAATTTCTATCTGCAAGATTAATTGCTTATTTTTCATCTGCATTTAGTAGCTAAGAGATTCCTGATTTATAAAGATTGAGGATTGCTCCTTTTCCAAAACTTTTTCTAGTTCATCCATTACAGATCTCTGGGAAATGAGATTATCAGGCTTTGAACCAATCCAGAAGATGTTCCAGCTACTTGTATGAGAGAGAGAAAAAACAATTAAAATGAGCTAGCTGTTCTCTGTTTGAAAAACTTACCTGAAAAAGGAATAGTCTTGGTCCTGAATATCCCTTTAGCATTAGTTTTCCCAGACTCTTTTTATGCAAGATCCCAAGATAAAAGGGTTAGATTTCGCTTGTCTTTTAACTCTTTCATATTTGAAGGGCATTTTGGAAGGAAGTTTCCCCCTATTCCCTACATTTCTGCTTTCTGTTTCCTTAGATCACCATGGTATTTTTCAAAGAAGCAATACAACATGTAATTAGAGCTGCAAGGGTTTTTCGACAACAAGATAGTCATATGACACTGGTAAGAAACTTTATTTTTAATTGGACATATTATATAAGATGTCAATGGTGTGTCTTTATTTAAAAGTAGCACGCCTTAAATCAAGGTAAATTTTAAATACCATATGTCATTAAAACATTTGTCACTAAGCCGTAATTATTATTATCCTGCATTCTAAAAATTATTTAGAAATTTTAATATATGAAGATCTGCTTTAGTAAATCATTTTTTCTTACATGATGTTTATCTAACATGTTTAATATTTATTAACAGATTGGATGGAATGGCAATGGAAAAGCAACCTGTGCATCCTTAGCCTGTTATATATCTGAATGCAGTATCTGTAGGTTATCTACTTCCTATAGTTACACCTTTGCACATTTTCAAGAGGATATTAAAAAAGTCTATAAACAAGCTGGAGCAGAAGGCAAGAGGACCGTTCTTCTTATTACAGATTCAGATATAATTCAAGTAAGCCTACACAGAATATAAATTAGTATACATATTAAATGTGTATCATGTTAATTAAATTCTTGCTAAAAATTTCCATCTCTGTTTCTCCCCTTTCTTAATCTTAATATATCTGGATTGTCTTCAGAGGTTAGAGGATGATTGGGAGCTGACTTTGTTTGTATTTTCACCAGTTTGCTAATAGTTATTAAAATAGCAACTATTAAACAGTTGACACAAAATAACTTTCACTCTTAATGCTTAATGCATTGTAAGCCGCCCTGAGTCTCCAGAGAAGGGCGGCATATAAATCAAATTAAAAAAAACAACAACAACTCATAGCTGGAGCTCCAGTAAAAGTGTCTATAAAAAACTCATTTTGTCAAAATGACAAAATCTAGATTGCTCTAACCCAAGGCTATGGAGATAATTAATTGGTATTATTTTTCTTAGGAATCATTTTTGGAAGTCCTAAGTTGTATTCTGAAATCAGGACAAGTGCCCAACCTATTTGAGAAGGATGAGTTGAATAACATTATTGAATCACTTACATCAGTTTCTGAAATGACTAAGGATTCCAACAAATTGGATGATATGTATTCTTTCTTCTTACAGGTATGTACTAGTTTCCTGTGAACAATATGCTCTCTCAATGAAATTGCTATATCCATTCCAGCTTGAGTTCCACATTAACAGCAGGATCCAGAGTTGTGCTCATTGAATTTAATTGTCCTATTATTAATAGATAAATCAAGCCAGGAATGTGGCAAGCTGTTATTTATAGATATATTGAAGACATCCATGTCTATTTGACTCTTGCCCATTGTGGTTTATGAAGGCAGAGTAAGAAATTTGATTTAATGAATGATAGAAATTTTGATTATTTCCACCAAGGATGGTTTTGTATCATCTGGTATGAAAGAAACCCAAGTTAAAAATGGACATTAAATTTCACCTTTATGAGTACTAACTGATATTTCTCTGTGCTGGAAGCTGAATTAGTGAATTGCCTGAATCCATATTATTTACATAATTGTACAAAGTGACTCATATTTGGGGGCAAATATTATCTATCATTTAAATATCTACTTGTATCACTCTACAATTTGCAGTGCAATTCTTATTTCAATAAAAATTATTTTTGCAAGTATGTACAATTATAGCCTAATAAATGATAATCCAAATATTAATGCATGTATATTTTCAAAGGAATAATTATTTTACTAGAGTTTTCACACAATATTTTTTTTTCTAGAGAGTACGCCACAACCTTCATATAGTTTTGACAGTAAATCCTACAGGACTGGTTTTCCGTCAATATTTACAGATATATCCTGCCCTTGTGAATTGCTGTACAGTAGACTGGTATGAAAATTGGCCTGAAGAGGCACTTTGCCATGTAGCAAAAAGTTATTTTAGCCAAAGTGAGACATTTAGAAATGAGGTATGATGTGAATATATTTTATCAAAATGGAATCTATAATATGTTATTCTCACTTATGAACTCTGATCGACTGAAACTGTTCATGAATTGTGATAACTCATTTTAAAGACTCTGGGAAAACATTTCACAATCAGTTTCAGTAATAATAACTAGGTGGGGTTCTAGGGTTCATGGAGAATGTTGGGGAAATCGAAATGCCAGATACAACCACTGCTTTGCTCTGAGCAAGCACCAATTATCAAATCACCATTATATAAAACCTACAAAATTTGGCTCAACTGCTCCTTGTCTGGATTTGGCTAGCTGGAAGGTAGTGATAGCAGCAGAAATTAAGTGATTAAGTATAGGTTAATTCTCATTCCATTTTCAGATATACTTGTTAGCGGTATAATAAGCGGTATTGCAAAACCATATTCTATAAGAATTTCATTTCTCTGCTGAAAAATATACTCTACCTCACCAAATAAGGCTATGACTATTACTGTAAATTGCAAGAATTCCTAATTTTAGAACAGATGCATTTAACTGGATTAGATTTTTCATGAATGAATGTTGATGGTATACAAAAAAAAAACCCTGAGAATCCCAAAATATTTCTAAAATGTGAGTTCTCACTATAGTAAGAGGAGAACTCAAGCATTACAAGTAAATCTTATCCCCAAGGAGTTAGAACTTTTAGACTCAGCACCCTCACCTTCCCCTATGGAGGGAAGAAAAGGAACAACAAAGAAGAGAGAGCCAATACAAAGCGATGAGTGTGAACAAGAAATTACTGAGAACATTACCATACATTTCAATTCTTAAATTGAATTGTACTTTGTATAAAATGTGTCGTCTTTTCATTTGTCTTTACAGAATTTAAGAGATATTCTTATCCCTATGACTGTTAATATTCACAAGAACGCATCTATAATAATTGAGAAATACTTGAAGAAAACTAAAAGACACTATTACATCACTCCCAAAAGTTACTTGCAATTTATAAATACTTTTTCCACAATATTGAGGACCACAAAAGAGAAAATGCTGAGTGAAAGGTAAATACAGATGTGTGGATGTGTCTGTAAAACAGCACTACAGAGAAGTTGTCAGGAAGGATACTATTTTATAGAAATGTTTCACGTGGATTAAAACATTTAACAATTAAGTGATTTCATTAGCATCCCAAAGCATAGCAACAATTTTGTTAAAAGTCAGCTGCAACCACTGGGTAGGTTACTACACTCTTCTTGGAAGAGGAGAATTTTTCCATGAAAAATTTCCAAGCAAATTTGAGTATTTCACTGGCAACAGATTCATGATAGGGTGAACTTTAGCCACAGTGTGATTTGATTATTGTGCCATTTATCCTGTGGTTAATGTATATATTATACATTAATCTGTGGTTAATGTCTAAGATTGTTGAGGAGTTATTCTGTCAAATATCATAGAAGCAATGGACTTAATATCAATAAAATATTTTATAAATTATCTATCTATAAAGTATATATAAGATATTCACAATTCTGATCACAGTGCTTACCATAGTTTATTCATGATAGACTTCATAAAGTTGACATGTATAGCTTTACCAAAAGGCTTCTATGCACTTAGCACTTAATATAAGGTAGTTTGTTTAGGTGATAGGATAGGATAAGATAAGGTCAGATGATAAGATAAGATACCCTTTATTTTCATTTTTTTTACTGTGAACATACTGGCCCACATTAAAAATGAAATTCTGTTGCCTGCTCTGTTTCTGTTCAAAAGAAAGTATATATCTACATAAATATGTACCTGCACTCATATACAATGAGGGAAAAAAGTATTTGATCCAGGGGTGAAATGCTCTCGGTTCGGACCGGATTGTCTGATCCGGTAGCGATGGCGGCGGGTGGTTCGGAGAACCAGTAGCAAAAATCCCTAAGCCCCCCCCCACTATGCCCAGCTGAGCCGCACGATCATCAGAGGCTTTTTTTCTTTTAAAAGCATTTTTTCTACAACCTCTTACGATGAAAAAATGCTTTTAAAAGTTAAAAAAACAGCCTCTGATGATCGCACGGCTCAGCTGGGGTCATCAGAGGCTTTTCAAAGCATTTTTTTCTGCAAAAAAAAAATGCTTTGAAAAGTCTCTGACAATCCCAGCTGAGTTCCCTGATTGGTAGAGAGGCATTTTTTAAAGCGCCTCTCTGACGATCCCAGCTGAGTTCCCTGATCGGCAGAAGACATTTTTTAAAGAGCCTCTCTGACGATCCCAGCTGAGTTCCCTGGTTGGCAGAAAGGCATTTTTTAAAAAGCCTCTCTGATGATCCCAGCTGAGTTCCTGATCGGCAGAGAGGCTTTTAAAAGCATTAGAAAAAATGCTTTGAGAAGTTTAAAAAAAAAAGTTGGCCACGCCCACCCAGTCACATTACCCCCAAGCCACGCCCACAGAACCAGTAGTAACAGATTTTACATTTCACACCTGATTTGATCCCCTGCTGATTTTATATGTTTGCTCACTGACAAAGAAATGATCAGTCTGTAATTTTAGTGGCAGGTTTATTTTAACAGTGAGAGACAGAATAACAAAAAAATCCAGAAAAATGCTTTTTCAAAAAAATTATAAATTGATTTGGATTTTAATGAGTGAAATAAGTATTTGATCCCCCAGCAAGATTTTTGGCTCCCAGGTGTCTTTTATACAGATAATGAGCTGAGATTAGGACCACTCTCTTAAAGAGCTGTCCAAGGATGTCAGGGACAAGATTGTAGACCTACACAAGGCTGGAATGGGCTACAAGACTATCATCAAGCAGCTTGGTGAGAAGGTGACAACAGTTGTTGCGATTATTCGCAAATAGAAGAAACACAAAATAACTGTCAATCTCCCTCAGTCTGGAGCTCCATGCAAGATCTCACCACGTGGAAGTTCAATGATCATGAGAATGGTGAGGAATCAGCCCATAACTACACAGGAGGATGTTGTCAATGATCTCAATGCAGCTGGGACAGTATGAACCAGCAGTATTCAGCTGGTTCTATCCGGTTCGGGCAAACCGGTAGCGGTGGCTGCTGGAGGCTCCACTCACTTGCCCAGACATCATCACATCCAGTTTTTGATGCTCTGCGCATACGTGGAAGGCTCTGTGTGTGCTCACATTTGTGAACCGATAGCAAAGGTAAATGAATACCACCCCTGAGCTGGGACCATAGTCACCAAAAAAACAATTGGTAACACACTTCGCCATGAAGGATTTAAATCCTACAGCTCAAGAAAGCACATTTACAGGCCCGTCTGAAGTTTGCCAATGAACATCTGAATGATTCAGAGGAGAACTGGGTGAAGGTTTTGTAGTCAGATGAGACCAAAATCGAGCTCTTTGGCATCAACTCAACTCGCCATGTTTGGAGGAGGAGGAATGTTGTCTATTACCCCAAGAACACCATCCCCACCATCAAACATGGAGATGGAAACATTATGCTTTGGGGGTGTTTTTCTGCAAAGGGGACAGGACAACTTCACCGCATCAAAGGGATGATGGGCCGTCATATCTTGGGTAGAACTTCCTTCCCTCAGCCAGGACATTGAAAATGGGTCGTGGATGGGTATTCCAGCATGACAATGACCCAAAACACACGGCCAAGGGAACAAAGGAGTGGCTCAAGAAGAAGCATAGGTCTAGCCAGTCTCCAGACCTGAATCCCATAGGATTAAAATCTGTGGAGGGAGCTGAAGGTTCAAGCTGCCAAACATCAGCCTTGAAACCTTAATGACTTGGATAGGATCTACAAAGCTGAGTGGGACAAAATTCCTCCTGAGATGTGTACAAACCTGGTGGCCAACTACAAGAAATGTCTTGACCTCTCTGATTGCCAACAAGGGTTTTGCCACAAAGTACTAAGTCATGTTTTATGAAGGGGTCAAATACTTATTTCACTCATTAAAATGCAAATCAATTTATAACTTTTTTGAAATGCATTTTTCTGAATTTTTTTGTTGTTATTCTGTCTCCCGCTGTTAAAATAAACCTACCATTAAAATTACAGACGGATCTTTGTCAATGCGCAAACATACAAAATCAGCAATGGATCAAATACCTTTTTCCCTCACTCTGTCTCTCTCTCTCTCTGTGTATACATACACACACTCATATGAATCACTGTCCATTTTGAATACATAGTGAAAAGAAGTAACTTGAATTAATATGCTATGTGACTATGGCCTATGGTATAAGTAGATTTTAACTCTTATTTTTTATTTTAGAGCTTGCTATCATTCTGGTCTGACAAAAATCTTGGATGCAACTTCACAGATCGCAAATATGCAAAATGAATTGCTTGTCCTTGGACCTCAAATAGAGTCAAAATCAAAGGTATATTTACTTTGTAAGTGTTCTTCCTACGCCCTAAAAATATTGAATAATTTCCTATCAGATCTCAAGTAAGATGTTACAATTCATAAAATTGAATTGACAGTGGTATAATTGTTTTATAAAAGTTACAACAGTATAAACTATTATGTGAATTCAGTTTATGGCACATTAGATATTTTGGAAGAACAAAGAAAAAGACTAAAGGAACCTAAGTTGGTGTAAAAGAAATAACATTCAGAATCCATTTATGATAATACTCTGTAGTGGAACAGCTGATTCCATAATGTAGAAGTCTGGAAATCTCAAATACCTTCTCCGAGAGGGCCTCGTGGTCTTCACATACCGGTTCTGCCTCCTGCTCTATTGTATTGTATTAGCTTCTCTAGCCCTACAGCTATCATCTATCATTCAAGAGTTGCCTTGCACGGCAAATTCTCCCTAGCCACATAATTTAAGAAAGATAGCGATCTCACTTTTCTGGTGATAAAAAGATAAAAATCTTTTTATCATAAAAATAAAAGAAGTAAAATAATTTTAATAGTACAAAAATCTGGCTGTCAGCACAGAAGTGTGTGACTAAAAGGTTCGTCCCTTTTCCCCTTCCTTGGGAGACAGACCAAAAATCTATTTATTCATCTATTTATTTAGTTATGATACTTAGAACTCTGAGTGGTCAACAGAAAAACCACATAGAACACTAAAAAGATCTTTAAAACAGTTTAAAGTGTTAAGGCATTGAGAAGATTCACATTCAAAATAACTGTTCATAACTGGCAACTCAAAAGGAAAGCTTACTACAAATTTTGTTTGGCAGGAGATGTTGCAACTGATATTTCAGACTAGGAGATTATACAACAAATATCCACTGCAGCTTGAATTATCCATAAAAATTGAAAACACCCATAGTTCACTAGCATAGGCAGGGACTGGAGATAATCTAACTTCATACCGTGTGTAGTAACAGAGAATACTACACTTATACAAGAGTATAAGATGTCTGATGGAAATGTCTCTGCATCTTATAGAGCGAATGTTGCCAAAGCCCTACCCCCCTGCCGCCGCCCACCCTTCAGCTTCTGCTCCCAGCAATTTGCCTCCTTGCAGCAAACAGCCATGTCAGCTTCAGCACAGCCTGATTTAGCATGAGCAGCTGATTGGCGGTTGGATCTGCCTCCCAGAATATCGCCTATCAGCTGTTCCAGGTTATGGAGATTGCACTGCTGATCGCTGCCCATCGCTGCTGCTGCCTATCACCGCCTCCACACATCCCATTTTTGGCCTCCGCACATCTTGTTTTTGGCTTCCGCGCACCCCATTTTCGGCCTCCATGCGCACCATTTTCAGTCCATTCCAGGTGGAGGGGATTCCCCTCCCCCAAGCTAGTCTTCAGAAAGCATCCCTGTTGCTCACGTCTGGATTCCAAGCTCAGTACAGCAAGAGTCACTGGGTAACTGAATCCTATGGGCACATACGAAATCCAGGAAAGCAGGAGTCAAACAGGCCAGGATACACAGCACGAGCACACAAGGCACAGAACTGGGCACGTTGCTTCAGCAACACTCAAGTCCTCAGGCTGAGGTTAAGCAGGCAATGCCAGTGTAATCATTCATGAGAGGCGACGTTGAGTAGTATAGCTAACCTAGACTGTGCCTGTCTCCTCTCTGCTCTATGTGTCCTTAGATCAGGAAGAGGTGTGGACTCTACCTCCTCCTCATTGATAATAGGTGTTAGCTACTGTTGATCTTCACCTGGAACCTCCTGGCCAACTTGCTGCAGCTGTGGCTTGCCTCCCTCAGCTTCAGTCTGTCACTTGTCCGATCAACCCAGCTGAGGCTGCTCCATCAGGCTAGCCTTCTTTATTGAAATTCAATAAAGTTATAAAGTTATAAAAATAAATTAAAATACAGAAATTTAGTAAAATTAAGATGAGTCCAGATGTGTAAAATAAAATTATGTCTACAATAGAAATCCAATTGGTTTCTGTATGAAATAGTATTTAAAGTTTTACTGCAATGAAAAGACTAAATAAATATTCCTTAGGATAAGAGTTCCCTCTTGTGGCAACAAGTATAATATGTTCAAAAGGATTCTGCAAAGCAACCTAGAATGAATAATATCCACAGAAGTAAAACATGAAGTTAAATATAAGATAGTTAGTATATAATCTGAGCAAATGTAAGATACAACAAAATAACTGATGAAACATGTAAAATAATTCTATACTGAATCACCACCAAATTAGTATAGTCAAATATTTGTATAATTATTTAAGTCAGGAAAAGGAAATAACTACAACTATGGTAAATCTAAACTATTTTTTAACCAGTCTTTAGTTTCTCATTTGGATTTCCCACATGAACGCAAGCTAAAATATTTATGATTCCCACTTCAACTATTCCTTGACTTTTATTGACTTTTATAAACTGTAAAAGACCAAAATAATGGGAGGAAAAGATAAACAAAGTCTGTTTGTAGAGCCAAGAAAGCTGCTGTAGATCATAAATTGTAAATGTAAAGCCACTAAATTCCAAAGTTCGGGAAAAGGCATGGTGTAAAAAGAAGTTAATTGTTACTAAGAAGATGTAGTGTAATAAAAGCTCAATATAAGATATAATAAAACTCATATGTTTTTGTTTGGTGGCCTCTTGGGACCTAATGTCAATCCACCTTCTTTGGTCATCTGTAGAGAAGGATGTAAATCTTCTTGAAGATTTATAAATCCATCAGGTCCACTACCTCTACAGTGCCCCCCCAATTAATTCTTTCTTCTGTCTTGTACTCCTGACGGTTAGCTAAGAATACTCAATGCATAATTAGGGTACTAAGATAAAGATAACAAACTTTCTCCCAAGAGGAAGTTCCATTCCCTCTTTAGGGAGCTACCACGGACTCCCATCTTGACTTTTAAAAAACCCTACAGACAGCATTGATGTAATTTTTGGAATTAATCTATATATCTGAGGGCTGTGAAGGTTATACTCTGCTGTCATATTCTGCTTCTGAGTTTCTAATCTGAGCTAAGTAAGCCTTGAATTTCATTGAGAGCCATGCTACACTAGATCAAAGACCTTATTGGTACTGCATTTTGTTCCTACAGTGACCAGTCAGAACTCAATGGAAAGCTCAGTAGCATCCTCCATTTGTTGTCTAGCAACTGTCATTAAGAAGCATACTATTACTGATACTACTACTGATAGCCATCATGTCAATTGTCACTGAGAGCTATATCCTCCATGAATTTGTCTATTATCTTTTAGAGCTATCCAGTTTACTAGCCATTATTATGGTAGTGAATTTCACCAGTTATCTACACATTGTGTGATAGATTTCCTCTTATCTGTCTGAACCACTTTTTTTCATATCATATATACATTAAGCCCCCATCCCTACCTCCTGCATTGTGCATTAGTTAAAAATCTACAATTGTAATGTTTCCTCGTAGGAAATACCATAATTATAAAATGGGGAGAAATTATGAATGTTACTATTTCTTATTTCTCCAAATGAGGACCATTCTGAGGATGACCACTTGGAAAGCTATACAGAGAATGATTATTTAATAGCTAATTTTTCTTCTGAAATTATACATGAGCTATAATATATGGTATCATTCCAATCAGCTAAAGTCTCTTTCTTTAGTATAAATTTCTGACAATGAAGATGGAGAGTAAAACTAGAGGTGTTCCCACTGCCACAGTGCAGGGCTCCAAAGTGTAACGTCTAATTATATTATATTAGCTATGAGATTTATAAACTACCACACTGCAGAGATTCTAAGATATATTGAAAATTTGAAATAGGAAAAGTTGATGCTGTATTAATACCAATATTAGTTTGTTGGTAGAGCAGAGCATTGAGAGAGTTATTGATTCCCATACAGTAATTTCTAGAATATATTTCCATAAAACATAGTGATAGAGATTAATTTGATAACTTTTTAAGATACATGTAAATGATAGATTCATTATTTTATTCATCACAATAGGCGATGTGCATAAAAAGGAGTCCAGTGATAGACAATAGAAAGTTTATTCTAATTATACCAAGATTTTCTGTGAGGAAGGGTTAAGGGTTAAACTTCTGGTTAAGAAGTTTAATAAAAAATAAACGAATCTTGTAGCCATCCATTGCTGAAACATTGAGCTGAAATAAAGATCTTTTGATCTGACCCATAAGAAAATCCTCATATTCTTTTATCTTCATAAAAATGGACTTGGAAAGTAGTTTGCAGGATTTATGTTGCTAAAGTTTTAGATTCATGATTTTTCAGAGAGTACCATAAAAATATTTGACTATTTTCTCATTAGGAAATAGAAGCACTTGTAGCTAAACTTCACAAAGATGCGTTAGTTGTAGAGCAAGTTCGAACTTTGGTTAAAAAGGATGAAGAAACTATGGCTGCGGAAACAAAAATTGTGGAAGGGTATGCTAAGGTACACAGTTTTCAAAGTTACTTCTTTTGATGACATAACAAGCATGCCAACTATTCCAATCAAATGTAATTTTCCTCCCAAAAAACTAGGCTACTATGTCTGGAGTCCAAAAATCTGGAGGACCTCCACACGGTAGCAAGAGATTAATTTTTTCTATAAAAAGGGCTCATGTTTGTGTTAAATAATTTTGTATATAAAAATAGTATTTGTACATGTATATCCTGTGAATAAAAAATGAAATTCTCCCCTTTCTTCATTTTTGTAGCAAGTAACAGAAGAACTCAATACTGTATTGCCATCTTTGGAGAAGGCCCTTAGTGCTCTTGATGCACTTGACAAAAATCACATTGCAGAAGTTAGGTAAATATATTGCTTATTTCCAAGGATTTCTAAGCTGAGGATTTCTTGTCATCAAAAGGCATTAATTTAGTAAACACAATATTCATTAGTCATATTCAGTTTACATTGATATATCCTGATTCTTGCTAATGTAAGAAACTATTAGCAGGAATAGTAAGATACAGCCAAAGCAATAGATTCCCTAAAAATCAGTCATCTCAATAGAAAATTGCTCTTGGAATGTTTCATAATATTTGTCATTTTTATATTAAACTGCAATCTCCAAGGTCAGAAATATGCATTACATTCCTTGGGCAACATTTTCATGTTGATCACTAAAATTATTGTATCTTGATAACTGAATGTGAATCAGGTTGTTTTGGCAAAAAAAAAAAAATGATTTTGAATATAATATATTTTGTGTTCTTTTTCTATATAACTCAGAGTATATACTCATCCTCCTTCACTTGTTTTAACTGTTATGAATGCAGTCTGTATTCTTCTTCAAAAGAAACCAAACTGGGCAACAGCAAAATTATTACTTTCAGATCCAGGATTCCTTAAAAAATTGATTACAATTGACAAAGATAATTTACCAGAAAAGGTAAAAGAGTTCATTTGCAAATAGATTGAATGTTTTTCTGCTTTTGTATACATAAATCTTCAAATAAGAGATTTTAAAAATGAAACACATTTCCTGGAGTCTGCTTGGGGTTTCATTGCCACCAGAATCCAACTAATTTTTCCTTACCAGATTGTAAAATATCTTTTAAATGTAACAGATGTGAATAATACATTGTAGTCGAATTTTCTCAAATTCTGGAAAGTTTGGTTTAATCTTTCACAGTCTTAATTATCCTGTGAAAAACTGGCTCCTCATCTATTTACATTGCTTTTTGCTGTGTTATTCATCACAGGACAGCTGTTTTTCATTCCACTATATAGAGATTCAGTTGGTGGGAGTTTGAGACAAAGTCCTCAGTGGTAGAATTCTATCTGGAAATAGATAGTTCATATTTATGTCTATAGTTCATATCTAATGAACTATCTCTAATAGCTTTTAAATGCATAGTAAAATATTTCACTTTGATTGATTAATTCAAATATTGAAAAATAAACCATTATTTTGTTTTTGTGTCTTTAATCTTTATTGAAATATTATTCATTGTCTTATTTGCTTCTCTTCTCTTTTTCTTTTGTTGTTATTTGAAGATATATTGTTGTGCAGTTTATAATTTCCTTTTCTTGATAAATTCAGTGCAATTGAATTATTTTAAAAAACAAATAAATAGATATTAGTTATTGATTGAAGATATGGAAGAATTTTAGGTGTATCTGTTACACTTATTTATTTATAATTAATTATTTTGTATTCATTTTAGGTTTTTCTGCAGTTAAAAAAATATGTGAGGTCGCCTGATTTCAGCCCAGTGAAAGTGGGACTTGTGTCTGTTGCATGTTGCTCCATATGCCAGTGGATTTTAGCTCTGGATCACTATCATATTGTTAAAAGGGTATATTTACATAGGTTATTTCCAATAGTTTTTAAAACAATCCATCATATTGTTTCACATCAGCAACGTATTCCAGAATTAATAGAATATTTTCCCCTTATAAATACAATCTGTCAAATAAGGGGAAAATATTCTATTAATTCTGGAATACGTTGCTGATTTCTGTTAAAAGTCTTTTATTCAGAATGTCAGAGGTAGAACAATTCCAATTGTCTTCTTATTTTCTATTTACTTTTCTGCTATTTTAATTTTCTACCATAAAACAAATGTAGAAATGTACCTGGATTCAGGCAGCTCAGTGAAGGTAGGCCTGGAAGCAGACCTAAAATATACAGCAATCCTAATTTAATAGTTTATTAGGCAACTAATTGAATTGTTTTTCTCATTATCTCCATTTCTCATAACCAGAAGATAGTTTAAAGTAACCTTTTAGTCTCTAGAAGATTGATTTGACAAGAAATGGGTCAACTTATCTCTTCATTAAGAAAGTAGTGTTAAAGCAACTTTTCTCCTGTTCTAAGAGATTCATACATGTCAGTCTCAAAACTTGGTTTCAACTGTATGTCACTGCAACTATTAAAAGTGTTTAGTTGTTAATATAAATACAAGTAGTCCCTGACTTATGACCATAATTAAGTCCAGAATTATAGTTGTAAGTTGGAAATAAACACTGGAAACTGGCAAAAAATGTTATAAAATGTTCGCAGAATGCTGCAAACAGCTGTAAAGGTGAGTTGGTTGTCAAACACCCAAAATGCGCTCACACGACCATGTTGTGCGTGTGTGGTTATTGTAACTTCAAAATCAGATCATTAATGCTTTATGCAAATCTGTCATAACTTCGAACAGTCACTAAGTGACTGGTCATAAGTTAAGGACTCCCTGTATGTTCTTCTCTTCCACAGGGATCCTAGTGGAAAAGGATCTCTGGCATCATTTCAAGATTGCAGAGAACAGATAGTGATTCAGGAGCTGATCTTGATACCTCATTTAAAATAATTATATAGAATCTCTTCCTGGAATTTTCCATCTCCTGTCTGGATTTCTTCCCCCTAGTTTTCTAGGGTATTTTCTCTTTGCTTCTGTCCTGTCCCTGCAGAATTGTTATGAGGAGGATCGCAGGACGAGAACAGAAAGAAAGGTTGTGGAAGAGTTTCCAAGACTAAAGGGTCATTTCACCCTCAGGAAAAAAAAAAAAAACACCTTCCAAATTTTCCTTTTTGAAGCTCAACTGTAAAGAGTACCTACCTACTAGCTTAACATTGCAAGGTCATTTCTAAAGCAATCCTCATCCTTAAAAAATTCCTTTTCTAAAGCAATCTTCATCCTAAAAAAAATTCTTATAGATTTTCCTAAATTTAAGGGAGAAAAACTAGTCTGTCCTTCCTAACCCATTGGGACCTAGGTGTAGAGAATATAAAGTTACTCAGATTATATGGGTGGTGTAGAAATTTGATAAATAAATAAATAGAAGATGTCCTTGAAGGACCGAAGGAAGTTTCATTAGCAAGACAATGATCAGATAAATTATACAAGAAGAAAGAACCACATTCAGACTTGCAAGATTCTGTTACCATAGTTATTCTGATAAAAGTAGCTTTAGGTTTACACATTGTCTGTTTTTTAGTCTGGTCTACCTTCTAGGACTGACACTAGTTGATCAAAGTCTTTCCTCCAGGGTAAGTTGGTAAATGAAGTAATGACTGATCACAACTTCAGATTTATGGAAAGGGAGAAGGATTTCTGAAATAGGACAGCTTCACTTTTGGCCCCTATTCCATAAACAAAGACGACATAAATTGTTCTGAATTAGTCTTGGTTCCCATGTCCAGTAGGCATAATTGAAAACTAGCCAGATGAAACCACTCTGGATGCTCTGTGTAGACGAGTAAAACCTAGACAGACTTTCAATATCATTCACATTCTTTTGATTCAGAAGAATCAGAATATTGCCATACAGAGATGAGAAACACTCATTATATTATGAGCAATGTGAAATGATTAGGATTCCTACTACATGACAGATTATATACATTTACTATTCAAAGCCACCCCAGAATTTGTTCCTTTACCAAGGCTAATGAATAGTGAAATTATGTGCCAATAATTGTATTAATACATTATAATTACATTACAGATTTGCAGAGAAATATAAACAGCCAAATTATCATTGATGTTCAGCACAGACTGTCACAGAGAGTTATGATTATTTGGTCAGTTTGCTTGTGTTGTCATATCATCAGATTGTGAATTTCTTCAAGATGCATCACTGGCTAGTGGTCAGGACAGGAGAACATGCAATATAAAGATGTCACAATATAAATAAGTATGGTAGAAAATTAAACTGAACACTAAAAAGAAGTTCTCATAGAGATGCTGCTTTCAGGAAAATCGCTCAAGTGCAGTTAGAAATATCAGTATAATGATTATTACTTGGTCATATATAAATAAATGTGTCTATATCAAGACATTTGTAATAGTTATTTCATTTTCCTCTAAACTATTAACATTATCAATTTCATATTGAATTGTAAATATACCTTGTTTTTTTAGTTTGTAGATCCAAAGCAAGCAAAAGTAGTGGAAGCAGAAGAATTACTGAATCGTGCACTTAGTAAATTAGCTGAAAAACAAAGATGTTTAGCCCTGGTAAAATAGATGTCTTTAACATATGCCATCATATTTACATAATTTGTTAAATAATAGAAAATGTATATACATCTAAGTAATCCATATTTTTTTTAGTATAAATATTTGCTTTGCTGAAGATAAAGTCATCTTTATTAGCTAGAATAATATATTATCTCTCAGTGTTTATATATTGTATATTAATCACATCGTAGCTCTAAATGACATTTTCTCTCACCATTGTACTTGAAAGTGTTTCAGTTTGAGTAGAGAGAGTGAAGAAATAGTGATAGAAATAGTTTGTTTCTAGAATTATCTAAGAGTCCTAAATTATCCTAAATAGTTTATGATCAATTATTTTCAGTGATCTCTATACTTTATTTAAATGAATTCTCCACTAGAATAGAATAGAATAGAATAGAATAGAATAGAATAGAATAGAATAACAGAGTTGGAAGGGACCTTGGAGGTCTTCTAGTCCAACCCTCTGCCTAGGCAGGAAACCCTACACCACTTCAGACAAATGGTTATCCAACATCTTCTTAAAAATTTCCAGTGTTGGAGCATTCATAACTTCTTGCATAGAGACTCATTCAGAAGATGATGTAGAGCTGAGCTTTTGGTGGGAGATAGTCCCACCCTCTTTGCACATGCATAAAATAAATAGTTTTCACTGTGCTTCCTATTTCCTTTCGCTGCCACAGCAACAGAATTGCTTGGTGCATAGTGCATTCTGACATCTATTTAGAGGTACTTCTACTTTTATTCATGGCCCTCACTTCTTTTTGTTCAACACCAACAGTTTGTATTCCTCATTTTTCCACACCTTTTCCACCTTAATTTCACTTATCCTAATCTAAAATCTTAATTTCATTTATCCTAATCTAAAATAAAATTTAGCAGAAGCTAGTCAGTCTACTATTCCAGCTGTATATCTAATGACTAGAATTGCAATTTGGATTTTAAGGTCACTTTCACTCTACTGATGTATTCACTACTAATCTTCTTCTTGACTTCAGTGTGCTTGATGTTGCCTGAAGGATGCCCAGGTATTTGTAATGATCTTCTTCATCTTGATGTTATTTCGATAGGACCTCTTGATGCCTTCAATTTTCACTATTTTTCCACTGGTAATGATGTGTGGCACAAATGTGCAGTTCAAGTACATATGTTCCCTCCCCTTTTTTCTCACAGTAAAGTGAGAATAAACCATTTGGTTTATTGCACTTGCAATTTTTTTTTATCATATTGATTTTATTGTAATTCCTATGTTTGATTCTTGTGCGCTGCCCACAGTAGTTGGGAATCCTGCAACATACAACATACACCCAAAGTCCGACCATACCTCACTGTGGTGGTGGTAAAAAACTTTATGGATCAACTCAAAGATGTTGAAGATGCTACCGAAAAATGAGTCCCCTGTGGAGGAGGGGAGTTACAGGGGAAGAGCAAAGAGACTATCATAATAACAGGAGTATCCATGATGCAAATCTTAATACCCCCCTCAGCAATTGACACAACTTCTACTGAAAAGAGATCTCTCTGCTGTTCAAAGTTCTTCAAATTAGGAACATGGAACATCAATGGCTTAAATTTAGGAAAGCTGAACATTGTTAAAAAACAAAGTGAATAGGCTTAATCATGATATACTAGGCATCAGTGAAATTCATTGGACTGGCTATGACTTCCTCAACTCTGATGGTCATATTGAATACTACTCTGGCAATGATACCATCAGAAGAAGAGGAGTGGGTTTCATGCTGCATAAAAAGTGGGCAGAACCATAGAAAGTTTTTGAACAGTCAATGATAGGATAATGGCAATACATATCGCAACATGACAATTCTGCAAGTTTACGCTCCCACTGTGGACTCAGCATTAGAGAACATCAAAGAATTCTATGCTGAAATTCAGGAAACTGAAACAAACACCAAATAAAGTTGTTATTGGCAGAAATATAAGAAATAGAAATCACAGGTAAGTTTGGCTTTGGTGAACAAAATGAGGCAGGAGAACATCTGATTCGGCTATCCATGAACAACAGCTAAGAATAATGAACATGTTATTACAACCCAAGCAGTGATTATACACTTGGACTTCAACAAATGGAGAACTTCAAAACCAAATTGATTACATATTATGCCAAAAGAAGTGGAGAGGTTCCATCCTCACCATGAAAACATTCTCTGGTGCAGATTGTGGGTCAGACCATGAGCTGTTAGCTGCCACAGTAAAATTCAGATGCTGCAGTATCAAACAAACACCCATGATTCAGAAATTTGATGTTAAGATTTCCCTAGCATATGCAGTTGAAGTTAAGAACACATTTGAACTGCTCAACATTACATAAAGGCAAGAGATGACCTGTGGGAGGAAATAAAAACAACCATCACTGAAATAGCCCAAGAACATATTACATACAAGAACCAATGAAATTGGCTAGATGGATATCAGAAGCTACAACAGAGACTGTAGAAGAGAGAAGAAAAGCAAAAGCCATTGGTAACAGGGAAGAAATCAAAGACTAAATGCAATGTTCCAGAGGCAAGAAAATATGAAGAAAAGTATTGGGCTGATAAATGTAAGAAACTGGAGGACGAGGGTTTCACTTATGTGAAGAAGAAACACCTCTATGGCAAGAAAGGCTATGGTCAGGAGACGTGATGGGCAGGAATTGCATGACCACAAGCAATTAGAGAAAGATGGTGGGAATATGCAGACCAACTTTACACAAATAAAAAACAAGACCAAGCCATAAAAGGAGAAGCTGACCTACCAGAAATGGAACCAGATATCCTGGAGAAGGAGGAGGAGGAGGATTGTGGGCACTCAACCAGTTGCCTAATTGCAAAGCCACAGGAGTTGATGGAATTCCTGCAGAGTTGCTGCAAACAAAAACACTGACAGCACTTTGCCAAAGTGTATGAAGTGTATGGCCAAAAGAATAGAAAAGGTCAAATATTTATCCCAATATCAAAGAAAGGTGATATAAAAGATTGTTCCAACAACAGATCATAGCCTTGATACCACATGTGAGCAAAATTCTCTTGAAGATAATCCAGCAACATTTGAATCCAATCACCAACAGAGAACTGCTCATGTGGAAGCAGGATTTTGGAAAAGAAGAGAAATGCATGGTCATATTGCCAATCTACATTGGGTATGGAAAAAGCAAAGTAATACCAAAAAGACCTCTACATGTGTTTCATTGATTACACAAAAGCCTTCAACTGTGTTGACCATGACAAGCTCTGGAATTGCCTCAAAGAACTTGGAAAATCACCACATCACATCCAGCTCATTCAGTCATTGTACTCTGATCAAACAGCCACTGTAAGAATGGAATATGGAGACACAAAATGGTTCAGAATTGGAAAAGGCACTTGTCAAAGTTGCATCCTGTCATCTATACTATTCAACGTGCACAGAAATAGTTAATGATAAATGCAGATTTGGAGGAATCTACCATTGGGATTAAAATCAGTTGTAGGACTATCAACAACCTCTGATATGCAGATGATACAACATTGCTCGTGGAAAGCAAGGAGAATCTGGAATGGCTAAACCTGAGAGTCAAAGATGAAAATGAAAAATTTGGACTGCACCTTAACATCAAGAAAACAAAGATAATATAAATGCAGAAAACACATATCTCTCACATCTTGCCTATCAAAAAGCTCTGGAACACTCAAACACTTGGCAACTTTTCTGTCATTTTCTTAGTTTTAGATTGTAACTGCTTTGCTGTTTGTGGTGTTTATTTCTCATTATTTATTTATTTACCATATGGCATATCATACATGGCCTAGCAATATTTATTAATATTTACCCTAGGTTATTAAAACACAATAAATACAAATGTTAAAAAGATCTATATTCAGGGTTTGCCATCGCGTGCCAAAAGCTGGGGGAATGCGGGGTGGTTGCGTGCGTGTGTGCCCACACCCATAATTCTATGTGTCCTGCCCCCCCACGCATGCGTGCACGACCCACCCATGCTCCCCCCGCTTTTGGCATGTGATGGCACAGTGGGCCTAGTAGTCCTGGTTTTTTTGCCCTCCCCAGGCTCCAGAGGTTTTCTAGGAGCCTGGGAAGAGAAAAAAACAGTCTTCCCCACCTCCCTGGAGGCCCTCTGGAGGCCGGAAACGGCCCATTTGCCGACTTCCGTTGGGCCCAGAAGGGCCAAAAATCAGCTGGCCAGTGCACGCATGCATGCTGGAGCTGAGCTAGGGCAACGCTCGCGTGCCCACCAACATGGCTCCATGTGCCACCTGTGGCACGCATGCCATAGGTTCGCCATCACGGGTCTAGGCCATCTAACCATTGAAGTGCAACATTGTTTATATATGTGTGTGTGTGTGGGGAGGAGAATCAGATACTGGACCAGTATATGCCTTCAGCTTATAACAGTCAGGATGTGATCTACAGTTTAACATGGGATCCCACAGTCACACTGAGGGGAGGATACTATGCTAGTATGGCAGCTTAGTTCCTTATTTATTTATTTATCTAGCTATCTAGCTATCATGTTTACTTTGTTAAGACCTTTTAAAAAAAGACCCATCATCTTAAGAAGCAGTAACCACAATAGTATTTTACAAAATAAATTTATTCAGTTTCCTTGAACCTGAACACTAGCTTCTGTTATTTTCACTCCTCTTTTGATACTATTCAAAGCAGTTTTTTAAAAATTTGATTTGATTTATATGACGCCCTTCTCCGGAGACTCAGGGCGGCTTACAATGCGTTAAGCAATAGCCTTCATACTTTTGTATATTTTATACAAAGTCATCTTATTGCCCCCACAATCTAGGTCCTCATTCATTCATTCACTATCTGCAGAAAATCTTTCTATCTGCTTTGCACTGCCCCTTTTACAAGTACCAACAATTTTTGTGCTATCCGCTGATAATTTTTGGCAAACTAATATTTAAGCTAAAGCAAGGAATTCCTAGAAGTCTGGCATTCTGACAGATGAATTATTCACACACACACACATACACACATTGTTTTTATTCATTGTTAGAAACCAACCTTGATACAGATCCTGTGGAGATGCCTGGGGCACTGTCTTGCCCTTTTTGAGCCTGTTATACTTGAGGAAGTGGGCAGGCTCCTCATGACTCTGAGTTGGCTACCTGTTCATTAGGTGCTTGTTCCTCTTGGGTGGTTACAGTCACCCAGGAGGTGATGTGGTTGGGTTTTGATTGTGGTGAATTGTTCCTTGAATGAGGGGTTCACCCTTAAAAAGGGATTCATTTGCCCCCACATCCAGAAACCAACTTTAGATCTAATCTATTTTTAGGGAATATTGTTGAGAAGGTAGTCATGTAGCAGCTTCAGAGGAACCTGGGTGAAGCAGATTATATTGACCATTTTCAATCACATTTCAGGCTTGGGTATGTAACAGAAACAGCATTAGTCATACTTTTGGATGAATTTGGGTGTGAATGGGATGGAGGTAATGCATCCATCTTTGCTCTACTTGACCTCTACACAGCATTTAATACTGCCAACCACCATATCCTTCTGGACTGGCTTTGGGAGCTGGGAATGGGCAGCACTATATTGTGTTGAGTTTTTACTTCCTCCAAAACTAGTTCCATCAATGTTTCATTGGCAGCAAGAGGTCCTACCCTCAGTCCAGTGGTGGGTTTCAAAAATTTTTACTACTGGTTCTGTGGGTGTGGCTTGGTGGGCGTGGCATTGCTTGGTGGGTGTGGCAGGGGAAGGATACTGTAAAATCTCCATTCCCTCCCCACTCCAGGGGAAGGTTACTGCAAAATCCCCATTTCCTCCTAATCGGCTGGGACTTGGGAGGCAGAGAATAGATGGGGGCGGGGCCAGTCAGAATTTTTATTACTGGTTCTACGAACTACTCAAAATTTCCACTACCGGTTCTCCAGAGCTGGTCAGAACCTGCTGAAACCCACCTCTGCCTCAGTTCCTACTATGTGGGATTCCACATTGCTTGGTAGTCTCTCCACTCCTATTTAACATCTACATGAAGCCACTGGGTGACTTTATGCAACACCGTGAGTTCAGATGTCAATAATATGCTGATATACTCCGTTGTACATCTCTGCCATTGGCAAAATGATGCTGCTAATCTGATGCTGTCTCAGTGTCTGGAGACTGTCAGGGTTTGGATGGGGATCAATGGACTCTGGCTTAATCCTGACAAGACTGAGTTTGGGTTTGGAAGGCCTTCTGGATTCTGGAATTTGCCTCCAGGATGGGATGGGATGACAGTGCCCCATACAGAATCAGTATGCAATCTGGGGGTCCTTTTGGACTCACAACTCCTACTCAAGCAGGACACAAACATGATAAGGAGTTTCTTTCATGTTGTGTGCCAGTTGCTGTCAAGGTTCCGTCTAATTAATCCAATCAAGCAAGTATATTGAAGTATAGAATCCTCCCTCCCCCCGTTAATGTAGGTCACATTATCCAGTTAGGTGTCCAGGTGTTGTAGAAAGATTTGGTTCCCATGACAGTTTCCTGTTATCGTCTGGAATATACATTCCTAGCCCCCCCCCGCCCCCGCCCCCGTTTGTTGACAAGCTGTGAAGCAGTAAAAGTTAAAGCAAATATACTTCGAAGCTTGACAGTTGCATTTACTCAGATATTCTAAGTTACTCGTGCCCTGGTTACCTTCCAAATGGTTTATTGTAATGTTCTCTACATGGGACTATTCTTGAAGAATATCCAAAGCTCAGCTGGTCAAAAATGCAGTGGTACAGGCAGTTATGTCTCTTTCCAAAAGTACATGTCATGCCTTTGGTTTTATTGCTATGGTGCATGGCATCATTTGTAAGGGGACTCCATTTAAATTTTCTTGCATCATTCAGTAGGGTTTTTTAAATACAATATATTTCAACCTTTACAAGAAAAAATTAAGATCATCTTCAGAAAGGAACAGTAATTTATATGTGAAAGACAAGTTAGTGTAGTGTTAAAGAACTAGATTATAAACTGGAAAACCATTGCACAAAAAACAGCTGGGTGACTTTGGGCCAGGCAGTCTCTCTCTCAGCCCTAGGAAGAATTCAGTGACAAATCACTTCTGAAATCTTGCTGTCCAGGTAGCCATCTGGAGTCAATGCTAACTCAAAGGCCCACAAAAAAAAGAAACAATAGATAAAACTCTGAAGTATTTTAAGGTTATATTTAATTATCTCAATTAAAAAATAAATTAGTCTTTGCTAATATTGAGACTAAAATAGACAGAGTATTAATGCTTCTTGTTCTTTATAATACTGCACGAGTCAAAAAGAGGGCTGTGAAAATATTTACAAATATTTACCCCTTGCATCCTGGGCATAAATTGTAACAACTCCTACCCTCAAAAGGACGCTATAGAGCACTGCAAACCAAGACAACTAGACACAAGAACAGTATTTCCCCAAACATCATCACTCTGCTAAACAAATAATTCCCTCAAACTGTCGAACTATTTACTAAGGCTGCATTATTATTACTATTAGTCTTCTCACCATTCCTATCACCCATCTCCTCCCACTTATGACTGCATGGCTGTAACTTTGTTGCTGGTATCCTTACGATTTATATTGATATTGATTGTTTCCTGATTGCTTATTTGTACCCTATGACTATCATTAAGAGTTGTACCTTATGATTCTTGACAAATGTATCTTGTCTTTTTATGTACACCGAGAACATATGCACCAAAGTCAAATTGTGTGTGTGTTCAATCACACTTGGCCAATAAAGAATTCTATTCTATTCTATTCTATTCTATTCTATTCTAGTCTAGTCTAGTCTAGTCTAGTCTAGTCTACTCTACTCTACTCTACTCTACTCTACTCTACTCTACTCTACTCTACTACAGTTTAATTGGCAAACATCTGACTTTTTGGAGGCTAACATTTACAAAGCTCCTAGGACAAACACTGCCAGTTTTTAGTCAACTTCAGAAAGCATTCCTGTAAAAGACAGTATCAAGCCATTTATGTATTATTCCCAAGTAAAATGAAGGAATCCATGTAGCCCTAAGTTTCACTTAAGAGTGTCTTTGTAGATGATCATCATTTTGCCAACTCATGATTTTTTCATTACCTCCATACATCTACATGATTAGTATTCATGTCATCAACTGTCTGTTTTGTGATGTACTCCATATTTTTAAAATTATATAGTGTATTATGGTTCTCTTGATGTAACATGCTTATGAATACAATCTTATTTTCCTCTTTATAAAATGGTATCATCTCATTTGCAATTCCTATTCCTTTAGGCCATTCTTTGATGCTTTTTCATGTAACCTTAGAAGCAAACTTTCATCCTTTTCACTACAAAAAACCTCTGAGTAGAATTGAAGATTTGTAAGATCAGTTGCTATCTTGATTGATGGAGGGAAGCCCACCAGTGAAAACTTCTTTACTCAGTGAAAACTCCTTCTTTACTGTATTTATAGTTCCAGCAGTTAGAATCATAGAGGAGTACATACAGTATATGCTGTGTGCACCCATATATTAAGCTCCAATAGTAACTTGCCAATTAATTCATGTTTAAAATGAATTCTAAATAAACTTCTAGCTCTCAGCTAGAAGTTAAGAGTTCAGAGAAAAAATGTTCATTTGGTAAGGTTGTGTTAGATTATCATTTAGAATGGGAAATTAGTTGCAAAATAATGCAAACGATGCATAAGGGTGAAGTTGGGAAACAAAGTTGCTTGTCTGTTCTGATAAAGCATGGGTGAGATTCCCTCACCCATGCTTTTTAAGTGACTAAAAAAGGAGACAAATTGATAACTGATAAAAAGGGGAGGTAGAGATAGGTCTCTATTCAAACTACACAGTTGATTACTAAAAATACTTCAGCTATAGATAAGCAAGCAGACCTGCTGAATCTGCTCAGAAAACTCATGCATAATAATGTTTAAGTAGGCATAATTTTGTTCAGAGTCTGGATAGTAACTCTGTAAAAGCCTCATAGTAGATATTATTGAGTTTCTTTTTTAAAAAAATTATGCAAATATAGCAAGTAATATTGATTCAGTAGCATTTTTAAGTAGATTTTCTTATTTAGAATTTTAAAAAATTCTAAAATTTCAGATTGAACAACATCAACAAAATTTAGAAGCATTGTATGATGAAAGTATTGCTGAACAGGAAAAACTTGCAGCCCGAAAAATTCAAACGACTCGTCGTTTACATAGTGCATCTATATTAAGCACAGCTCTAAAGGATGAAATGGTATTACCTTTTTTATCTGTTCTAGTGCTTAAGTTAAAGTTTCATTCCTTATATTTTCAATTGCTTTTTCTCATTGAATCTTTCCTACATTTTACACTTAAGTGTTGGGTTATATTTTATACACAATTGTGATTTTCCTCACTGTTTTTATCTGAAATCTCATATCTGAGATTCCTATGACCAATATACTGCTAATTCGAAAATAAATACATTTCATCCTGTCTTCATTAATGATATAGCACCCTTGTGGTAGCTGGATGATGTTATGAGTTATTATTGCAGACATGATGTTTCACATATATACTGATACTGTCTGGCCTAGTAGGAACTGACCAAATAAATAGTCATGAGATTGTGACATACAGCTTAATAAAAACACAAAGCCATGTGTTTTTCAAAAATCCAATATTAATGCCCTTGTGGTTATAGTTGGTGTTACTACAATCAGAATAATTTCTATAGTACTGTGGTCATTGTGCTTCACAATGCTCACAAAAAAAACAGCAGAAAATGTGCAAAAAATAATATATAAAATCCCTTCTTTACTTCCCTGTGAAGAAAGACAAATTTGGCATGGGAAAAGTTCACTTATCATACTAGAACCCAGAAATATTACCAAGGTTTTATAAAGTATTCATACTTCATTGGATTTTGATTTATGAAGCATTGTAGAACTTGCTATGGCAAGAGTAATGATGGACATCAAATTGGATAGTTCTGAAAGAATATGGTCACATTCGTGGAGAATAAAGTATTACATATTGTAGCTACTTGTTTTGATGGCTACTTACTATTTCTAAGATAAAGGAATACCAGTGATCAGCAAATAATTGGTGTACTGCTTCTGAGCTCCTATTCACATCTAGTTGGAAGCCTTATAATCTTCTAATTGATATTTAGTTTGTATGGTGGATGAGATTAGATTACCAGATATCTGAACAGGCAAAGGAGGACATGAAATATTGGTAGTGATGACAATGAGGGAAAAAGAAGACACACTATTTATTTTTACACTTGCACTTTTCAATTTTTATCACAATAATATATGAGGAATCATGTGATCTACAGACTACAGTGATTATAGATTTGAAGGAGGTAGATTGAAGCCAATTGCTGGAATCAGGAAATAAATTTATCTGTTGAGCTTGTTGACAGTTGAGGAAAATAAAGAAGCAATTTGCAAGGTCACAGTACACAAAAGTTTGAATGACTACTGTTGTGAAAACAAAAAAACAAGATACTCAAAAGAGCTGGAAAAGGAGGATATGAAAACAAAAAGGAAGATATGTTGTCTATTTGCCCAGTGTCTGGTAATTGTAGATGAGGTGGGCCTTTGACCTTAATCAATATAACAATGGCAATTATTATTTTGCTCCTAATATAGCTGGGAGAATAAAATGTGTGCCTATTAGCCTCAGATACTAAGATTTAGTTCATATTTCAGTGGTTGTCAAGCTTTTCTTTGTTAAATAAATGGTTGTTATCCATTTGGTGAAAGAAGTAAAGCAAGCCAATGTTATAAATAATAGAATGGAATTCCTTTAGGATGATTGGATGACCTTTAGAAGTTAATAGCCTGGCTTTCTTTGTTTCTGTTTTCCATTAATGTTTTCTTGATTAGATAGAGTAAGAATGCACTGTCTCAGAACATTTCTGAACCCGCTTATGGCACTTTCAGGAGTGGGCAACAGGGGGCGGAGCTAGCTGGAATGGACGACAGATGCTGAATTTCTGCCTTCTCTGGGCCATCGCAGAGAATGAATTTAAAAAATATAGCACCCATCTAAAGATTATGAAATTTAAGAGATTATGAAATGTGAGTTATTTCCCTTGTTATTCTCCTGAAGATTGGACTGTATTTGACTTGGAATTGGACACTTTTCAGAGGAGCCTTGAGCTTGGATGTTTGGTTAAGAGACTTGAGAGGCCTTTGAAGGCAGACAGGAGAGGAAGGGCCCTATGATGGAAGACTGAAAAAGAATTTGGAAAGAGTTTAAAGGAATACAGCTGAGAAGATAATAGCTGATTTATGAGTATATAGTGTGAAGGCCCGTTACTCCCTTCTTTCAGTCGAAGTGTTGAGGTCTGGAGAAGGTGGAAGAACTAAATATTTTTTAAGACAGAGCCTTGATAAGGTGTGTGTAATAAAGTTAATTGCTGCCATTGGATCTATTTAGTTTTATTACGTTGCATTTACGGAGATAAGTTATAAGGACAAAATAAAGGAGGAAGTGACGTTTATGGACTATAGACTGTAAAATTCTTAAAAGATCAAGAGCTCTTTTTTGATGGTTGGATGTCAAAATTCAGGATGTCAAAGTGTGGAAAGTGCTTGGCAAAAACCCAAAGTAGACTTTTAGACCTTCAAAGTTACACCTGATTCGAGTAGAAAAAGCCTTAGAAATGGAAGCGAGAAAAAAATCGCCTGAGAAATCACTGACTCAATCAGATAAATTTGATGTTCTCTTACAAGAGTTAAAAGAAATGAAGATAAGTATAAAGGAAGATTTGAAGCAAATAAATTATAAAGTAGATAGTATTGATGTAAGAATAACAGATTTGGTGAAACAAAGTCAGGATATGACACAAAATATTACAGAAGTGAGGACTCAGATGGGAGAACATGATAGGGTGTTAAAAAGCCAGATAACTATGATGCATCAGGTGAAAAAGGATTTGATTGAGATACGGGATCGTCAGCGCTGCTCAAATTTACAGATACGTGTTTATCCGGAGAAAAGTGAAGAAAAGGAAACAAAGTTGATCCAAGAAGTATTGGACTGGGCTACCTCGATCCTCCCAGATGTCCCCTTTACAAGATACGATATTGATGTAATACAGAGAGTTGGTCCAAAAAGGTTGGAAAGAAAATTGCTGAGAGACATTGTGATACAATTCTAGTCTTACACAAAAAAGAACAATTGATGCATAAATTGGGAAATATGGCGTCTACCCCCCATGCCCAGCTGAGCCGCACAATCATAAGAGGCTTTTTTTTTTACTTTTAAAAGCATTTTTTCTACAACTTCCGCCGAAAAAATGCTTTTAAAAGTAAAAAAAAAAGCCTCTGATGATCGTGTGGCTCGTCAAAGGCATTTAAAAGAAAAAAACCCTTTTTTTCTTTTAAATGCTCTGACAATACCAACTGAGTTCCCTGATCAGCAGAGGCTTTCAGGGAACTCAGCTTGGATCGTCAGAACCTTTTGAAAGCATTTTTTTACAACCACTTCGCCGAAGAGGTTGTAGAAAAAATGGTTTTAAAAGTTAAAAAAAAAATGGCCACGCCCACCCATTCACATTACCCCCCACACACACCAAGCCACGCCCACAGAACTGGTAGTAACAAATTTTAGATGTCACCCCTGATATAAACGTATGTGGTGGGCAGTAGTGAGTTTCAATTTAGTTTGCTATCGGTTCGATCGTGCGTGCATGCACGCTCATGCTTTTGCACAACATTTCTGCGTATGTGCAGAAGCGTCTGGGCAGGTGGGCAGAGCCTCCTGCCACTGCTGCTACCAGTTTGCCCGATCCAGGGCAAACTGGTAGCAACCCACCACTGTTGGTGGAGTTGTGATACTGCACAAAAAAAATGGGAAGTGGTGTTCAGAGAAATTAGAGCACTTTTGAATGTAAATTTAGATATATCACCGAGGATTCCATTACTGTTGCTGGTGGAAAAACAGGATATAAATGAAACAAAAAAGGAATTGATTCTAAATTTGATAATGGCAGCTAAATTAGTGATGGCTAAACATTGGGGACGAAATTGGGATATTCAAAGTAATGAGCAGTATAATGAAATTTGGAGTATGGCAACAAATGATAAATTAACAGAAATTAAATTTTAAAAAAGGAAGATTAAAACAAACAATTATAATGAAAAAGGGAGGATTTTATAAAAACAGTGCTGGTGGAAGGCAAAAGAAATAAACCTACTCAGGAATGTATCTTGTTTTGGAGGGGATAAAAGCACAATTGGAATATATTGTATATCTTTTAGTTATAGAAGAAATTTAAAAAATGGTCTCCAGGGGAGGGGTGCACTGTAATATTTGTATTTTTTCCTCTTTTTTTTGTATTTAGATGTACAGTATATGTACTATGTTTGTATTATTTGTATTTAAAATAAAACATATTTTTTAAAAAAGGAGTGGGCAACTCAAAACTCCCAACTTTTGACTTCTCATTGAATTATGAGTTCTATACCATATAAATCAGTGGTGAAATTCAATTTTTTTTACTATGGGTTCTATGGGCGTGGCTTGATGGGCGTGGCTTTGTGGGTATGGCAGGGGAAGGATACTGCAAAATCTCCATTCCCACCCCACTCCAGGGAAAGGATACTGCAAAATCCCCATTCCTTCCCCACTCCTGGGGGAAGGATATTGCAAAATCTCCATTCCCACCCCACTCTGGGGCCAGCCAGAGGTGGTATTTGCTGGTTCTCTAAACTACTCAAAATTTCTGCTACTGGTTCTCCAGAACCTGTCAGAACCTGCTAAATTTCACCCCTGATATAAATTAAGCAAACTAGCAAGACTAATATTCAAATATATGATACATAGCTTTGTATTTTTCTTCCTTAGGAACGCTGGAAAGAATCTGTTAATAACCTCGATCAAAGATTGCAAGGAATTGTAGGTGATGTCCTTATATCAGCAGCTTGTATTGTCTACAGTGGAATGTTATCAGCGGGGTATCGTCAACAGCTAGTCAATGACAGTTTGAAACTCTGCAGTGATAACAATATTTTGGTCTCTCCAAATTACTCATTGGTTAACTGCATGACAGAAAAGAATGAGGTAACAAACAGAGAGAAAAAATAAGAATGAAATTGTTTTATTTATAATTTTATCTAAAAACTGTTCTCAAATTTAACATTTCTTTCTCAGATTACACTTTCTATCAGTTAAAATAATTAATAAATAGTTGTATTATTTATTAGAATTTCTTTGAGAAAATATACTTCATGATTTACAGGATTGTTCATTATTACTATAATTAGTGCATGGGGGGAGGGAATATTATAGCCAAGATAATAAATCTATAAAATCATTTTATAGGTCCGCAGATGGCAAAATGCAGGTTTGCCACATGATCAATACTCTACAGAAAATGCAATACTTGTTAAACATGGACAACGGTGGCCTTTACTAATTGATCCAGAAAGACAAGCTTACAAATGGATATGTCAAATGGAAGGCAGCAAATTGAGACAAATCAGTGCTACAGATGCCAATTACTTAAGAACAATTGAATATTCTTTGCAGTTTGGTGACTCAGTCCTTTTGCAGGTAATTCAAGTTCAACACAGACAGCCCATCCAACATACAAATGAAGAAAAATATAATGCAATCAGTGTAAAAGATGAGCACTTATACCAGTGGTTCCCAACCTTTTTTTGGGCATGCCCCACCTAAGCATCTCTAAAATCCTGATGTATGAAGGCTATTGCTTAACATATTGTAAGCCGCCCTGAGTCTCCGGAGAAGGGCGGCATATAAATCGAACCAATAAATAAATTAATAAATAAATATACATATTAAAATAAAGGTACCTAACAAATTCAAAATATAATTTGAGCTCACCTCAAGATTATATTTACAACACAATCCTATGCATGTGTACTCAGAAGTAAGTACCATTGTCTTCAATGTGGCTTACTCCCGGGGAAATGATGTAGGATTGCAGCTTTAGTCTACTTAAGTTAATGAGATACTTGAGCTTGATGCAGAGAGATTTTATATTAGACTCCAATTTAGTCAGCTTCATTCTCAAGTCTCCTTGTTCAGTGATATTCAGTTGATTTCTTTTCTTCAGTAGCAAATCATTTGCAGCACTAAAGCCACATTTAGCTAAATATGAAGATGGGAACAATAACAGCAGTTTTCTTGCAAAGTAGGTTGAATTTGGGTATTTAATTTCTGTCTCATCACAAAGCCATGCCATCTCTCCTTTTATATTGCATAAAGTTTTAAGTGACTCATCATTTTGCATTTCCGAGAAGGCGCAGAAAGAGGGAAGTTTAAAAAACATTCTTAGCTTAATTTATGAATAATAAGATTCTCATGAACGAAAGGGGGGGGTGTAACCTATGACCCCCCCCTACTCGCCCACTCAGTTTGAACCTGCAGCTTAGTGGGGAAATGCTTTGGTAGTTCAGTAGGTGGAGGTGAATCACACAGGCCTGGCAAAGCCTAAGCATGCATGGCCCAGCTCCAGATTGCTCTGAGAGGAAAAGTCTTGTTTTTGTGGTTTTTTTTAATCTTGGATTTTAGAACACTCATTTCAAACAGGATGGTTAGGAGAGACAACATCTAGCTTTTTGCTATGATGTGGTATGGACAGTCTTGCTTCTTCTTCTCCTCATATTAGACATTAATTTCATGGTTCTATATAATGTAGCTTTAGGTGAAAGCCAGCCAACTGATATCTTTTAGTTATTATTTGGACAATCAAATAAAACACTCCAGTTCCAATAATACAAGACAAGTTATCAAATCAGAAAATTAATTTATCATTGACATCATTTCCCTATCAATGCAATAGTTGAACAATAAAAACATTTCTAGTTTTCTGCTAAAGGCATTGAGAGCCAATCTGGCTAATGGTTAAGAGGTTAGACTGGAAATGGGGAATTGGATTTTATTTCTGGTCATGGTGAAATGTAAAATTTGTTACTACCGGTTCTGTGGGCGTGGCTTGGTGGGTGGGGTAATGTGACTGGGTGGGCGTGGCTGAAGAGGTTGTAGAACAAATGCTTTTAAAAGCCTCTGACGATCCCAGCTGAGCCGCACAATCATCGGAGGCTTTTTTTTTTTTTTTACTTTTAAAAGCATTTTTTTGGCTGAAGAGGTTGTAGAAAAAATGCTTTTAAAAATAAAAGTAAAAAGCCTCTGATGATTGCACAGCTCAGCTGGGCATGGGGGGATGCAGGGATTTTTGCTACTGGTTCTCTGAACCACCCACCACCATTGCTACCGGATCAGTCCGAACCGGGAGCATTTCACCCCTGGTTCTGGTCCTGTTTTCAACTTTTATTTTCAAGTTCTAGTCCTCCTTAGGTACAAAAACCCAGCAGGGTGATTTTAGGCAAGTCACTCTCGTCCTCATGTTTGAAAATGTTGCCAAAAATCCACATGTTCTATGTACCTGGCAAAAGCTAAGGAGGCTGATTTGAAGATATACTGACATGCATATAGACATCATTGAAGAATTGCATGAGAAAGACAAAGTGAGAAATAAAATATGAATTCTTGTTCATTCATGCCTCTTATATTGTGATCAATTTATAATGTTTTGTGTATTGTTAGTCTGTAACAATACATTAAACAATACATTAGTGTTCCGCACTGGAAGCAATTCCTCATCAAAAAAGAGCAAAGTATAGAGTATCTTAATTACTATAGGAAGTGCCTTTTTCAAAGAACAGGAAAGTTACTTACTTATAATATTGACTGTACTCTTGGTTTTTTTTAGGATTTTCCTGAAACATTGGATTCAAATATAAAATCAATCTTAAGCAAGGAGATCTACAAAAAAGGAGGACAAGAATTCATTAGAATAGCAGATTCTGAAATTCAGTACAATTCAGACTTTCGGTAATTGCTTGTATAAATTGAATAATTTTAAGCCTACACTTTATGTTCAACCTAACAAAAATTTGTACTTTGAAAGACAGAAAAAGGCTTCTAAATATTCCCAAGTCATGGGATATATTTAAACATTTGTTAGAATTTATTCATGTGGATTATTTGCAAGCAAATTCCCAATAAGGAAATATAATGGCCACTAGGTCAAAACTATATTACTGTACTAATATTTGCACTGTTATAACCAGAAATGCCATGACCAGATTTTACTACTGAATTGCTGAATGTTGTTATTTGGAAATTGTCTATTGCTAGATTAAAATTATTTTAAAAACAGTATCAAAGTATATAAAACCATGTGCAGCACAGAAAGCCATAATAAGTTATGCACTATTAAATCCAGTGCAGTTCACAAGCAACAGAGCTACTAAAAGTATCTAGCATCTTGGATTCCAGCAGAAAAGTTTATGTGTATGCATGTATAGTATCAATCAGTATCGATCAGTAATTCTTTATACCTAATGATTATGCATTTTATTATTATTTATGTGATTATATTACAGAAGAAAACGAATCTGGGAAAAGATGCAGCTATTTTAAGGGGTTAACAGTAGATACTGTGTGAGCACTCCTGTACATTCCAAAACACTTTTCTCTTCAGGTATCTTAATAGCTACCACAGTGGCCACTCATATATTATTTCTCTAGTGAGATTCATACTGTTGCGTTAGAACTAAGTATCAGTTGATGAAGATCATTAAATCATCTGAGCATATTTACCTGGAATATTTGGCCCTAGTGCTTACCTTTCCCTTTTATATTGAATAATATAAAAATACAAAAGGAGTATTTTTCTTAACAATTAAACTTAAGGCAAGACATATGTTTATCATATGTCTGTGTTCTTTTTGTCCTATAAAATTGAAAGCTTAGAGGATTTATAGATGTCCAAAAATAGCAGGGTGGAAAAGAAATCTGCCCTTTCTTTGCACCCCACAATTCATTAGTCAACTCTATTCTTCCAGACAATAGAGAAGAAGTTAGAGAAAGAGTGGAAACTACTTCCACATGCCATATTCTCAAAAGTATATGTTTTAATCCTGTGTTGTTTTATAATAGGGCATATGGATATCTAATTGGTCAATAATTAATTAGTGAGGGAGAATGATCATGGGACTAGAAACTAAACACGAGGAGACTGAGACATACAATAGTACAGAATAAAAAGAAGAAACCAAGTAGGAAAGTGCCTGAAAATGTATTATTCACAACACAGCCTAATTATTCCATCCAAGAACGTGCAAAATAATTGCTATGACTTAGAAAAAAGCAGATTGCAGATGCAATGTAAGAAAAAATAATGTTAGATCATTCTTTTTACCTTGTTAGAAGTTCCTAAAATACTATTATTATTATATAAATTTATATTAGAGATATTTTAATTTAGACTTCTATAGACTTAGTCACAGTCTTTCCGTTCTATACATTCAAACCACCCTGTTCATGAACATTTCTTAGATTCCTTAGTGATTCCTTATTGAGTCACTCCAGTTGAAATGTCCAGTTGTTCTACTCAAAATTTAAAAAGGAAAAAGAAAAATTAGAGAAAAAGAGGCCCTGAAAACATAATACAACTTTACAGATTTTTAAAATGCAGGTCAAGCAAAAGCCATGCCACATTATTATATAAATAATAAGCTTCCATATGCTGGAAAAGCTCCTCTGAAAGTGAGGGGTGGAACAAGCTTCCAAAGATGCAAATCTTAACAACCAGACAGTGTTATACTGGTATTCCCTTATATTAGATAGCCTGTTTTATGTCATTAAGGTCTTAATACACTAGCATTTTAGATAAAATGCAAGTAAGAAAATAAATAAAAATTTGGCTCTAGAAAAAAAATATTCAGGATGTTAGCAATAGCAATAGCACTTAGACTTATATACTGCTTCATAGTGCTTTTACAGCCCTCTCTAAGTGGTTTACAGAGTCAGCATATGGCCCCCAACAATCTGGGTTCTCATTTTACCCACCTCAGAAGGATGGAAGGCTGAGTCAACCTTGAGCCAGTGAGATTTGAACTGCCGAACTGCAGCTAGCAGTCAGCTGAAATAGCCTGCAGTATTGCACTCTAACACTGCACCACCTTGGCTCCATCATCATGTTGGATGATACTAGATGTTCTTTTTAATATAAAAAATATAATATTGTAATATTTTATGATATTACAAAATCTGAAATCATGTAACATATAAAAAAGTAATATTTACTTATTAGATCTGTGCAGAGGATTTTTTTTCCTAATGGATATGAGTTATAATTAAAGATTATGACATAGATTGCTTTTCTGTATGAAAAAGCTTTATAAATATTTGTGATTATTTCAGATTATATCTGACAACGCAGAAACCCAATCCTCATTTTTTGCCAGCAACATGCAATATTGTTACAATGATAAACTTCACTTTAACATTCCATGGTTTGCAAAATCAGCTTTTATCTGCGGTTGTAAATAAGGAAAAACCTGAACTTGAAAAACAGTACTGCAACTTGATGGAAAGTATATCAATTGATCTGGTAGCACTACATGAATATGAACAAAGATCACTTCAACTTTTGCAAAGAACAAGTGGTAAATAAAACTTCAAAAAATTTTATATATTCTATATCATTTTGCAGAAAGTATAAAATGTTATTAAATAGAATTCAAAGGCCAAAAACTTCATTTTTTTGAAAATAATGTTTCTGTTGCAATGTTTTCAGGATCAGACTCAATAAATCATTTAAGAATTAATAGTTCAAATATATCTCTCTTTATTTACGCAAGGCATTCTATTTTCACTGAATATTCACAGATAGAAGCAAAGAATGAGTGCGTGCAGCTTCTTATATATACAATGGGTGGAGCTAGATATGGGAGTGGTGAAGTATGAATACATTAAGAAGTGAAGAATAAATTAACCCCTGATATCCCGTTCATATACTATTTACATATTGGAGAATAAGGCATTTACTTGTGACAAATCCCCCTCTAAATGCCGATTCGATATGCTACACCAATTACATTCAGATTCAGAACAATACAAAACATATAACTTAGAAGTCAGGTATTTATGTTGCTTAGATGGCAAAGGTTTTGTTAATATGTCAGCTAGTTGTTCTGATGTCTCACAATGCACCGCTTTAATAAATCCATCCTGAGATAACTGTCTCACATGTTTAAATTTTATATCTATATGTCTGGACCTTTGTCCAATGGCGTCAGATCTAGATATTTCGATAGCCGCTTTATTATCCTCATGCATGACAAAAGGCAAGGCAGGTTTTTTCCAGATGTCAGAAATTAAGTCATTAAACCATACAAGGTTATTTGCTGCTTTAGATAGACAGACATATTCTGCTTCTGTTGTTGAAGTGGCCACTAAATCTTGTTTGCCAGTGTACCAGTAAACTGGACAACCGTTAAGGAGGAATATATAACCAGATGTACTTTTTCTGCATGAAGTGTCTCCAGCCCAATCTGCATCTGCGTAACATGTGAGGTTTGGCTCCTTGACATTATTAGGCTCTAATATCAAACAAAAATCTAAGGTATTCTTTAAATATCTTAATATCCTTTTGACAGCTTCCCAATGGTACATTGTTGGTTTGCTGACATGTCTGGACAATAAATTGAGGGGTAAAGCGATATCAGGTCTGGTCCAATTGGAAATGTAAAGAAGGGAGCCTATGATTGATCTATAGAATGTGTTATCTTTGAACTCAGGGGATGACTCATCTGCATTCCTTAGAAAGTCAGTCTGCATAGGAGTGTCACAGGGTTTGGCATCGCTTAGATTACATTTGTTCAAGAGCTCTATGATCTTATCTCTCTGAGAAAGCTTGAATCCCCTTCTAGTTTTACTAATTTGAACACCAAGATACTTATTTACTTTGCCTAAAGATTTCAGTGAAAAATGTTCATTTAGCTTTGTTACAAATGTTTCTCTTCTTTCTTTATGTTTACCTATGTACAAAATGTCATCCACATAGATCAATACAAATTCTATGTAATCATCACCCTTTTTAACAAAGAAACAGTTATCAGCAGTAGTAGCACTGAAATCCATAGTTTTAAGTACTTTTACTAAACAATCATACCATCATTTACCAGATTGTTTTAACCCGTATAAACTTTTGTTTAATAACCAAGTCTCATTCTTGTTTGTGTATTGACTGTGAGGTGCTCTTACATATATTTCCTTATCTAATTTTGCGTGTAAATACGCAGTCTGTATGTCATATTGGAATACATCGAGATTGAGTGCTGATGCTACAACTAGAGCTGTTTTGACACTCTCAGTTCTTACTGTGGGGGAGTATGTGTCAGTATAATCCTCGGGATATTTCTGTGCATAACCTTGTGCAACTAATCTAGCTTTGTATAGAGTATTGCCTCCCTCTAAATTTTTAATTTTATATATCCACCTAGTGCCAATAATAGTTTTGTCCTTTGGTGCAATTGCAGGTGTAAACACATCTAATCCTTGTAAACTTTCCATCTCTTTTGTCATTGCTAATTCCCATTTTTCTTTTTCTTTAGGAGGAAGTTTTAACACTTCCTCATATGTATTAGGTGTCGTTGATTCTCCGTTCATATGCATTATATAATCCTTGTACTTATTTGGCATTTGATTTCTGGTGTTTCTAATTGTTTTTTCAGGTTTACTATTATTATCATGCAAATATCTTGCTTCCTTTTTTGTTAATGTATCTGTCTTTATTTTGTGTTGACTGTTTGTCCATGTTTTGGTTTTGTTTCTATGTTTGTTGTCATTTTGCTTTTCTATAGTTCTTTTTTCTTGGGGCTTTGTATCTGTGTTGTTGCTTGGGAATATTTCATTAAGATGTATTTTAGACCAGTTGGCCTGTTCATGGAACACAGCTATTCTGGAAACTATAAATTTGTTATTATTATCAATGAATCTGTATCCTTTTGTACCCGTCTCATATCCCATAAATCTAAGTCTTCTAGACACATTTTCTCCTTTTCTTCTTAATTGTTTAGGCATGTGTACGTCTGCAGTGACTCCAAATATGTGCATGTGTGCTAATTTTGGTTTCCTATTATACATCACTTCATATGGTGTCTTATTTACAATGCTGGACCAAGTTCTATTTTGTGTGTAATTGGAATATTGTAGGGCTTCTGACCAGAATTGTTTGCTTAAGCCAGCATCTTCCAATGTGCATCTAATCATGGTTTGTAATGTTGAGTTCTTTCTCTCTACAATTCCGTTTTGGAATGCAGAAAATGGGCTAGATGTGTAATGTAACATTCCTTTGTCCTTCAGCCATTGGGAGAATTCCTTAGACATGAATTCACATCCCCTATCTGTCATGATTTGTTTTATTTTGATATTGTGTTGAGTTTCTACGCGTTTGTAAAATTCTTTAAATTTCTGAAAAGTTTCATCTTTATGTTTTAATGTGTAAACAAATCCATAACGACTATAATCGTCCACAATGGTTAAGAAGTAATGTTTTTTATAAGTGATTGATGGAGTTAGTGGACCAACCAGGTCCATGTGTACTAAATCAAAAATTTTGTTGGTTGACCTTGTTGATTTTCTAGGCCTGGGACTAGTTTTGAGTTTTGTAGACTTACATACTGAGCATTCCAAATAGTTTTCACAATTTTTTATTTTAACACCTTCTGCGTGTTCAGTCATTTTTTGTACTACAGGAAAACTGGCATGTCCTAACTTCCTATGTAAAATATGAGCACACTCATCATGAATTGGCTTACCTATTTTCGGTTTTTTCTCATTATGTGCATCCTTGTGATTATGAGTTACTTTACATTCATCATTGTCACTGTTACTAATGTTTCCATTATCTAGTTCAATACAATCTTCCATATTTGAATCAATGTTGTGTAACCATTTCTCCTTTGTTATTAAATAAGGTAGGCCTCCTTTAATCATTACTGTACCTATATCTATTTTATTTTTCTCCAAAGTCGCTTTTCCTTTTGAAAACACAATATTAATATCATAATCTCTGCTTAGTTTTATGGCACTTAGTATGTTATGAGGTATTTCAGGTATTAGTAATACCCCCTCTATTTTTCCTAGGCCAGGTAAGGTTACATTTCCTCTACCTATTACTTGGACCTTTTCTTGGTTAGCTACCTTTATTACAAATTTATCTTCTACAAATGAAGATAATATACTTTTATTATTAGTGGTATGATTAGTTGCTCCAGAATCAATAAGCCAATTATTGTTCTCAGTTTGCTGTATGTTAGTGTTGTCTTGTTTGTTTAGTCCATTCAGTGAACCAGATTTTCTATCCTTTGAATTATCTCTGCCCCCTCTATGCTCTTTATAATTTGGTGGGCTTCTATATCTATGTCTATCAATGGAAGACTGTCTATAGTTGTATTTATTTCTGTGTTCTGACCTATGTCTTTCTTTTGGAATTTTGGGGCAATCTCTCCTATTGTGTTCCTTGGATCCACAGTTGTGGCATTTAAATGTTTCATGATATCTTTCTTGAAAAGCTACCTTTCTATATGGTTTGTGTTCTATGTGGTTGTTAGAGCGGCTCCTCCTTGAATTGTCTTCAGCTATTAACTTATTGGATAGACTTTCTATGGATAAGTATCCTAGATTGATTGTGTCTAAATGTGACATATAATTATCCCATGATGGGTCAAGTGAGTTGATGATAACACTTTTCATCGTTTGGTCTGAAATCACCTCCCCCCTTAAATGCAGTTCAGCTCTAATTTTGTTTAAAGATATTAAATGTTCACTTATGGAAACCCCTGGTTTTATCCTAGAAGAAAAGAAATCTTTAGACATTCTTGTGGTAGTAGCTACACTATCACTGTGAAATAAATTGAACATGCATTGAATAATTTCTGAGACAGTCAGATTTTGCTTAATGCTGTGATACATTGCAGGAGATACACTAGAAATTAATAAGAAAAATGCTCTATGGTGTAAGCAGTCTAACTTTAGAGTCCAAGGTCTTTTTGGGGGATTAGTGATAAAAAAACAGTAAGTTTTCTTTCATAAAGACAACCTGGAGCTGCTGATACCACTCTTGTAAATTAATGCCATCTATTCTCAGCTTTGGGAAGTCACTGGGCAAGTTTCCGACATTATTGGGTCCATTACTTACAACCGGGGGTAGTCCGTGGTCTCGTAAATGCTGGAAATTACAAAACGGCGTGGGGATGCTCGCAACGAGTCTGCACGATCCTTTCAGCAACTCATGTCTTCCTGGAGCGTCTGCGTAGTCCTGCGCATGCGCGTTGCTCATTTCATTCCTGGAGTCGTCGTGAGAGGTTCTCGTCGTTGTGGCTCGCTCGCTCTGCTCCTCCTCAGATGAATTGGTCTCCGGCTCGATCTTGGGAGTCCTGATGATGGCGGTTGTTCTTTTTCTTCTCTTGAGAGCGTTGGTGCTTGCATCGATCTGCGGTGTGGGGCGGTATCTGCAGGGCTCTCTGGGTTCAGGCGTCAGTGCTCTCATCGTCAGGATGGGAGCGGGTAGATTTTGAGGCGTTGGTTTGCTCGCTTGCTTTCTAGTTGATTTTTTGGTAATCTTTAGTTTCGGTCCAAATGCAGCAAAAAGCGTTTTCATTGCTGACTTTATTTGTGTGTCTGTTGGATCATCTTCACTTTCCGATTCTGATCCTTCTGAGGTGTTTAGCTTTTCTTTTTCATTTTCGTTATCTAGTAATGTCTTTCGCGCCAGAAATTTTGAATCAAGTTTTCTGATTGGCTCTGCTTCGCTCACCCTGGGGTTCTGTTGAAACCAAAATGGCTGCCATTCGAAATTTTGCGCGGGATCACCGTTTTTCTTCTTCACAGCATTTTTCTCTGTAATCGTATCACTTACTATTTTTGCATCTTTTGGCTTTTCAGTAGTGATGTGCTTCTCTTTCGCTGCTCCGCTGTTTTTCAGCATATCTTGGAGGTTCGCGATGAGGCTTTCATCATTCTTCTGGCTTTTTAACAGTTTTAATATCTCTGACCTGAGTTCGTTGTTTTCTATTTTGTTTTCCTCTCGGTCATCATTTTCATTTATTATTATAAGTGAAACCCACTACTGTCATAGTCCCAGTGTATTCCCCTGGCAATTTTTATTTACAAGAACCCCAACAACAGGCATTTCCATAAGTAAAAATATGTGTTTCTCTGGGACCAGGCAGCTACAATGTGAGGCCAGGAAAAGATGCAGCCTTTTAAAAATGGTTCCAACAACTGCAGCAAGGTTTCCTTTTTCCCCCAGGAGTTTTCAGATCCAAATAGATACATAGTTCTAGTAATGTCACATAAAACTATCTTTTACTAGTTTCATAACTTTGCTAATAAGGCTCCCTTTTTATACTGCTTTCTGGTTTGTAAAGTAAATATTTAATTTAAAAAATATAATTATTTAATTTATTCTATTATATAATTCAATTACACTTTTTTACAGGGCACCTTTTAGATGACCAAGATCTCATTGAAAATTTGCAGCGAACAAAGATTACTTCGTCAGAGATTTTTCAGCGTGTAGCAGATTCAGCAGCAACAGAAATCACCATAGAAGGATTGCGTAAAGCGTATATTCCTATAGCAACTCGTGGTGCTGTGCTCTATTTTGTAATATCAGATCTTATACACATCAACCATGTCTATCAGTTTTCACTGAATTGGTTTCATAAGATCTTTGTAGACTCTATAGACATTGTGCAGAAAAGTGACATTTCTCTCAATGATGCTCTTTCAAGTACAAAAATAAGTGAATATAAGGTACAAAGCGAAGAAACATTAACGGAAAGTGAAACTGAGATAGATCAGTTCAAAATACATATTAATGACATAATTGAGACACTAACATATCATGTCTATGAGGTACTTAAATATTATAATACATAAATTATTTTCAGCTAATAGGATTTGCCTATGTATTTGCCAAATGTGGCAATGTTAATGTGTTTTTTTATTTTGCAGACAGTTTCTTCAGCTTTGTTCAATAAAAATAAGCTATGCTTTGCTTTCCTACTGTGCACAGCAATCATGAAAAATAATTGTGGTGAAAATGTGTTCACAAATAAGCTTGGATTTATATCAGAGAATGAGTGGAATTTCTTCCTGTACTCTAGCATGATAGCAAACATTAAACAACTATCAATCTCTGACTGTACTGGTAAACAAAAAATATTCATATTTTCAGTAAAGAAATGTATAAAGATAATAATGTGCTCTCAGGAATGGATTTCATCATCCTTGAGTAAATATGTAACATACATGTAAAATTATAATAAGAATTGGCCATAGAAAACTATAAGTAATCAATATACCATATTTCATTTGAGCTAAGCAATTACTTTTAGATTTTATAATGCTGTCCCTGAAATTTTTGTGAACTGGGTTGAAAATTGTCAAAATAAGAAACGTGAATACTGAGAAAAATTAATCAAAAATTTCCCAAAGCTTTATATATATTTTCTAATGTAGTGGGCATTATTAATAGTATAATTTTCTAAATGTAAGGGTTTGTGTATCTATATATGTATGTGTGCATATGTGTGTGTTTTATAAGTCTGAAAAATAATCATAAGTCACTTTTTTCAGTGCTGTTATAAATTCGAAGAGTCACTAAATGAAAGATTGTAAGTTGAGAACTACCGGTACCTCACATGACTTAAGATAAGAGAAAAAGGAACAATTAAATGAATAACAAACTTTTATTTTTTTCCTCTCTTTTCCTGACATTTCTCAGATCAGATATCTATTCCTACAGATGTTTCTTCCAAAGCGTAAGCAGATGTATTTAGCTTTTCTGGTCAAACCCATGCCATCAGACAACAGGGACTTGTATACATTCCTTTTCTCTTGGCTTTTAATTTTGTTGTTTTCCTTCAGTTGCTTTATTATTTTCTTATCTATTTTAACAGTGGAGACAGCAGAAGTACCTGCTATCTATTCCCAAGTAGATATTTGATTTCTTCTGTATTAAAATCATAGAATCGTAGCTTTAGAAAGCCACACAGGCTTTCAAGATCCACCAAGCACCTATTGAGTGCTAGAATCCAAATTATATTTTCCTATTTGACAATTCTGGGCACTTAACTGAAGCATATCAGACAGGTGAGTATCTAATCTTTACTTGAACACATTGATGAAGGGTAGAGGGAAAATGATTCTCTTGATAAATTGTTCTGATGTAGGATTGTTCTTATTTTTAGGAAGTTTTTTCTAATATTTTTTTAATATTCTGTCTTCCAATAACTTAAATCCAATAACTTAAATCTGTCTTCCAATAACTTAAATCCATTATTCCAGGTTCTTTCTTTTGGAATCAGAGAAAAACTATCTTGATCTTTTTCCCTGTGACATCCTTTCTGATATTTGAGGAGTGTTATCATATCCTATCTCAATAATCTCTTCTAAGACTAAAGCAACTCTTAGAGTCATTCTTCATAGGACTTAGTTTCTAATCTCCTTGTCCACTTTGTTGTCTTTTGCTGAACTAATTCCAGTTTCTTTGATTCTTTAAATTATGGTGCCAAAACCATCTACAGTTCTGAAGTTTTTTTGATCCAATAGAATAGACTAGAATAATTACGTCTCGTAATAGTCATCCTTTGTAGGATTTTATAGAGATTGGCATCTTGAATTCATGAGCAAAATTGCTTTGCTGAACTTTTTAGCTTTTGGCCTTAGTAAATATATGCAACACTGTCTGCTATTGTCACAGTTAGCATCCCTTTTTCTGGGTTATCTTGATATAACTCAATTGTGCATGAAGAACACACTACAAAGTACCATATAAGCATAATATATCTTTAAAAATAAAGTTTCACATATTAAAACAATATATATTATTGAAGAAATTAGGAAAACTTTATATCACTATAAAGCAATCAAATGCATGTCTAGGCAGAACAAAATTCCTCTTTGTTCAATATGTAACTGATGTGCTAGAGGAGGGTTGTGTTAGCCTTTTGTTAAATTTAGGGGGCATTACCCAAGCTATCAGTTAAAATGTGAAAGAAATATTCACTCACAGCAAACTTGATTAAACCAAGTTTAGGTGCTACCACAGGATACACCTTTATTCCACAGGATGGTTGAGAAGAGGAAAGGAAAGGAAAAACTGGGCATTTTGAATATGTTATGTCTAAAGATAAATTCTTTTCTAAATATCTTCTGTGTAAAGTCCTCTTTAGGGCAGTTCTGAAACTGATGGCAGTTTCTGCACATACTGTATATTATTTTTAGTCACAACTTCTAGGATCGTGATTGGTCAACTGACTGCCTCTCAGATTGGCTTTTCAATCCCCTAGTCAGGATGATCATGACAACATGGACATATTGCAGCCAAAATTAATAATTTGGTTATAATTTATGTATTGAATGAAAATCAGAATACTTACATCTGTCCTAATTAAATGTTTCATATTATTTTATTAGGTTCATGTGTATTTAACAAAACTGCTCCATTCCACTGGATAAGTGAAATGATGTGGAAAGAATGTCAGTACATGACTACTCAAATACCAGCATTCAGCCTATTGTGCAGTTCTCTGTCAACATATCCTCAACAGTGGAAAGATTTTCTAGATAGTGAGAATGTGTATGATTTGATTAGTACATGTTATAGACCATTATCACCAAAGCAAGGTAACTGCTAAAATATAATGATTTTTTAAAAAAGATTTTTTTAAAAGAGCCTTGCTGGTACAGTGGTCTAAGCACCCTGTTATTAACACAGCTGCCTGCAATTTACTGCTGGTTCGAATCTCTCCAAGGCTCAAGGTTGACTCAGCCTTCCATCCTTTCTAAGGTAGGTGAAATGAGGACCCAGTTTGTGGGGGCAATAAGCTGACTTTGTATAAATATACAAAAGTATGAAGGCTATTGCTTAACGCATTGTAAGCCACCCTGAGTCTCCGGAAAAGGGCGGCATATAAATCAAATTAAAAAAAAAAAATGATTTTCTTGGGCTTATACAATCTCAAGAAAATGCAATTTTGAAGTATCTGTACATCCCTTACCTCTTCCAAAACCACTTGGAAGAGGATTTGTGCTGATTGTTTTTTCTAACTAGATGTTAGAAATAAATTAATTAAATTGCGTATCTAAATGTAGATGGAAAATGTATAACTGTGCAAAAGTCAGCAAGTTGTATGCTTTGTGCATTTTATGTACTTTATGTAACTGTAATATACATACTAACATGCCTTCCATATGGCACTAACCAAGTCTAGATTGTTGATGTCCTAAGAGTAAACTAATAACGTGTTCTATATGCGGCCCATAGTAATTCCATACAAATGAAACTCAATATTTTATAGTGCATTTTATCAAGATATAAATATTCAAATACTTCTTCTGCAAATAATCTCTATTAGCAGTCTACCATCCTTTCCCCTAACTCTTATATTCAAATTAGCATTTCAACTCCCTCTTTAATGAACCCTGGACATCATGCATATTTTAAATAAATAATTACATTTAAATAATGTTTTTGTTTTTTAAAAAATAAACATGTCCCTAAATACAACGGTATAAAAAAACAATTTGCAATAAAATAATTCAAAAAGTTAAAATATTTAGATTACTGAAATCAAGGAGGGTGAAGAACTTGAAGTCACTTTAAAACATTAGTCAATGTTAGTCATATTGTCTGATCCTTTGAAGGCGAGAGATCAGTTGAATTGCTACAGGGCACTATACTTTCCCACATAAAATAAATCACATTCTCCATAGAATTTACCTATTAATGTGAAACAATGATTTGCTGACCAATGAGTAGGAGGAGAATGGTTAAATGTAAAAGTTTATTCAACAATTGTTTGATTTGTCTTGCAGTAACTCATAGTAAAATGAGATAATTACAGAACTTATAAACATGTATAGTAAATATTCCACATTATATGCTTTTTCCTGATATATTTTTGCACATATTGTGGCCTTTTTGTTCCTTATATTATGATTATTTTCTATAAAATACGATTTTGCCCATTTAAAAGTCATGAAAAGAATTTTAGTAAAGGACATCTTGTTTGATCAAGACAATAAGCTTGGGAAATTTAATTACATTACTTTAAACAAAGTTTATAATACTGAAGAAAGTACCAATTTGTTACAATGTTTATACGGTATAATTGTTAAACAGTTCAACATTTCAGTAATTATTTAATAATTACTTTAATCTGTTAGCAGATTCAGAATCACAGCTAGCAAGAGAAAGTGATGAGAAGGAGGAGAGTATATCTGTAATTTTTCCTTGGGAGAAGCTTTCTCCATTTGAAAGACTTATATTGGCAAGTAGTGAAAATATTACTGGTTTAAACTATTTTTTGGCATCTAGAAGAAGCATGCTTCTAGCTGATTTGAAAGATATCTGACAGTTAATGATCTTGGCATACAAAATTCAGAAACTGTATTGTATTGGGAGGGACAAACATTTTTGCTTGAATTAGATTGTCACCTCCTGCTATTTCTGAGGACTGTGAGGGCATGATTTTGACATCTCAAGTGTGGGAAAGGATGAACTTTTCCAATTTTTTGCTAGTTGTTTTCATGTTTGGAAAGAGGGCTAAGGGAGGGGCAAAAATTATGTATTTGTGTTGATCTGCTAAGCAAGACCCAGAACTAAATATCACAACACTTTGTGTAAAACAAGATGTTATCATTGTCAATTTTATTTTTTCTAGATAAAAGTTCTCCGTTCAGAAATGTTAAACCGTGCAGTACAAATATTTGTAACTGAGAAATTAGGAACTAGGTATTTTCAGAATGGAGGAATTAATTTAAAAGGAATGTATGAAGAATCTGATTCTACAACTCCACTAATTCTCATCCATACTCATGGTGAGCATTTTATGGAGTATATGTGTTCCTCTGTGTACAGCACATGTGTATATATGTATTAGTTTGTAAATTATTCTTTATTTACAGTATATAAATGCAAATAATACATTTATCATCGAACTAAGACTACTTATTACTAACAAGATCAGCACATTCTGATTGCTTCCACCCATCTTATCCAAACCAGCAGGAGAGGAATACTGTGGGTACCATTGGCCAATGAATATCTGTTGGTGGGGCCCTGTAGGAGAGTCATCCCTCCATAGTGCCCACCTTTGTATAATGTCATCCCTCCAGAGATTAGGTTAGGTCTCAATTGTATATTAAACAGATCAATATGTGTGTTTGAATTTAGAATTTTCCACCAAATCCACTAAATATCAAATATCCCTTCATTTTTTTCACATTTCCAACATAAACTTGAAGTGCCTTTATAGTTTCTGGACAATTTATCCAGTCTCCATTGTTCCATCTGTATATTACAACCATTATTTTAGCCCACTTCATCATATGTTCTTTCATTTGTTCTTTTGTTGTTATTGTTGTTGTTTTATAATGTTTTATATGTGTAAATTGCACAGAGTTTTATGACTGGGGCAGCAGAGAAATTATGCTAAAGAATTAAATAAATAAATAATAGACAAGTATAGTCAATCTGTTCTGAGTACATTGCAGAGAAGTTATACAACTTGTCCACAAATAGCCTAGATCAGTGATGGCTAACCTTTTTCTCTTTGTGTGCCAAAAGTGCATGTGTGTGTGCGCGTAACAGTCCATGCGCATGCTGGCACTCATAATGCAATGCCCCCTGCATGTGCGCATGGCACCCCTCACGCTCCCCTGCGCATGCTCATGCAACCCCCGTCCCCCCCATGCATGTGCGTGAGGTGTGGGATTCAAAAATTTTAGCAACCTGCACCACAGTGGGGGGGGGCATTTTTGCCTTCCCAGGCTCTGGAGGCTTTCCTCAAGCCTCCAGGAGGGCAAAAATGGGCTCCCCGGGCTCCGAAGGCCCTCCAGGGGCCAGAAATGGGCCTGTTTCCAGACTTCCAGAACTTCCGGGAGGCCTGTCTTTCACCTTCCCCAGGTTCTGGAGGTTTTTTCCAAGCCTCCCGGAGGGCAAAAACAGCCTCCTCTGGGCTCCGGAGGTCCTCCGGAGGCCGGAAATGTGACCCCGTGACCCCTACGCACCCGCACATCTCCCACATGCACCCCGCCCCCTGCACATCCCAAAAATCAGCTGGCTGCCAGGAGGTGTGCGCACACATGCACAGTGGAGCTGAGCTGGGCGACGGCTCGTGTGCCCACAGAGAGGGCTCAGCGTGCCAGCTGTGGCACGCATGCCATAAATTCGCCATCATGGGCCTAGATAGTTCTTTCCTAGGTATGCCATTCACATTCCAATTACTGATTAACAATCTCTTTAGCTTTCCTTTGCGAATACCTCCATTAGGTGTTCCTTGGATTCACTTGGTGCCAACTTTTTATATTCATCCAACATTACAGAAAGGACGTAAGTTTTCAAGTCAATGCAGCCAAATAATCAGGCAGTGCTTTTAGCCATATTGCACTGACTGACTGCTCTATTCCTAGATTATTTGAACAACTGTCTTTTTACTGGATTACATTTACCTGTCCCACCAGATCCATTAGAAACTGTATATTCTGGGTCCTGTCTGCTAGAGAATTTAATCTCTTGGGATCCAGAAAACAAGCCTTTTCTACTGTGACTCCCATTTTCTGGAACATCATTTCACCTTAGGTTAGGTTAGGCCCATTCCTGTTAGCCTTCCCAAAGGCCCGAAACATGTTTTTTTCCGATGATTATAAGGATCTCATGGGAGCTTGCAATGTGGTTGTAGAATGTTAGGTAATTGCTATCTCCTGCAATCTTGGTTTATTTATATTTTCATTTTTATTCATGTTTCAATGTTTCAAAATTGTTAAACTGTTTTACATGTTACTGTGCTTGAATGCCACCAGAATCACATTTTGTGAGAGGGATGGCTATATACATTTACTAAATAAATAAATAAAATTCCCTTTAGATATAGCTTGCTACTTAATCTTTTCTATAATACACAGAAAAAAAGGTAGGCTGGTTTCCTAACCTGTAGCTTCAAATGTCACAGTGATCATCTTACATTCACCCCCTCCCCCATTCCTTTTTTAAAAATTTTTTTATTGAAAATTATTAAAAATTACAGAAAAAAGCATAGCAATATGGATAGAATTGCAGAGAGTAATATAATACATATAGAGTTTTAAAGTATCAATTTTTGCCTAGAGATAGTACAAACCTCCATTAAACCAACTCATCAAAAGAAAGAAAAGTTTATCCAGAAGAAAAAGATTCTCAATTGCTATGCAATGCTCCTATAAATATTTACCCATGTTCACCCTAAGGTTAATATTTCCATTCTTCTTAAGATTTCTTTTTTTGCAGCCAAGCATACCACCTGTCCCAGCTCCTATATAACCTCGATTCTTGTCTATCTCGCAAAAGTCCAGTAAGCTTGTCTGCTTCTGCACAGTCCAAGATCTTTGCGGTTAACGTAGCCTCCAATGGTGTATTTTTGGATTTCCATTCTTACGCAAACGAGATCCTGGCTGCAATGATGATGTGAAGAGCGAGATACCAATTAGATTTGTTTAAGTTCTCTGGTTTCATGCCTAGTAAAAACATTTCCGGGTTCAATTCTATCCTACATCCTATGATTTCTAAAATCCATTTTTGAATTCTAGCCCAATATTCTTTTGCTGGGGGACAGGTCCCCGAGCAAAAGCACTTTTTGAAATCATTTAATTGAGCGATTGTTACAGTATTGCAGGGATATCATGTAATGGAAGAAAATGTGGTATGTGTTGACATTCTTTCTTTTATAAAATTATGAAAGTGCAGAAATCCTGTATTTTTCCACAAAGTTTTCTTCTAACATATATTATATGTTTTCTCATTCTGTTACTATATATATATGTATATAAGTTTATATATATATAATAATAAATGAAATAATAAAAGGTATTCTTTTATATGTTGTATAGGGATAGATATTATGGCAGTTGTCTTGCGCTTTGCCCAAGAAATAAAAAAAAGTACACAAAATGTGCAAATGCTATCTCTGGGACGTGGCCAAGGCAGCAAAGCAGAGGAATTGATATATAAAGCACAAATACTGGGTGAACAGTGGGCATTCCTTCAGAATTGCCATCTTGCAACTTCATTTATGCCAAGATTATGCAAAATTGTTGATTCGTAAGCACTTTTTAAATTTATTTCTATACATGATTTATTCTCTGTTGGTAAGGAACCAGAGTAGGCTTTAGTTCTGTTCAGTTCTTCATTGTTTTGTCTCTGAGCTTGGTTGTTTTCCTGGAGATGTTTCATTATCAGACTAAGTAAAATCATTGTTGTGTGAAAGAGTGGAATATACTGACTGGCCTACTAGTCTTGATGGGAATGTGGCTTCCCAGTTGAAACCGTGATTGAGCCTCTCCTGGCAAGGTTAGGTTTTGTTGTCTTGTTTGGTTAGTGTTCATGGAAACAGTTTGCCACTTATCTGTCTATCCAATGTAATCATAATTACAGTCCTTACATTGTATGTTATAGGTAATTCCACTTCCTGCTGCTATTTTCTATCCTGCTACATCTGTACCCAGCAGAATCTCTGGCAAAATCTCTTTATATCCTTAAATAATAACTTATAAAGAGTTAATTAAATATCTACGCCTAAGGTAGGCAGTATTAACATTAACATTATTTGTCTATAGAGATTCTCAGTCATCTAGGCCATGATTGTCCCAAAGGTGCTTTTCAGAAGGCAACTGGACTTTCTTTGTTTTTTCCTTGAAGATGTTTCACTTCTCATCAAAGAAGCTTCTTCAGTTCTGACTGAATGGTGGGAATGGACAGATTCATATTCTTTTCTTTGCAATCATCTGGTCACTAGCACTCTGAAGCTCAGTTGCTGGGGCCACTTGAGTGTTTATCTGTATCCTCAGGGTCACCTGAATCAGAATGCAAATAGATATTGAACCTTCCTGAAACTTCAGCAGTTCCAAGAAGGTTCCATACACACTTGCATTCTAATTCAGGTGACACTGAGCATACAGATAAACCCCCAAGTGGCATCAAAGACCAACTGTCAGAGTGCTAATGACCAGATGACTGCAAAGTAAAGAATATAAATCCTTCCATTCCCTACCATTCAGTCAGAAGTGAAAAAACGTTTTGGATGAAAAGGGAATTGTCTTCAAGGAAAAAACAATGAGAGTCCAGTTGCCTTTTGAAAAGCATCTATGGGATTAACATTATTTCTTCTAATTTTTATGCATTTTTTTTTTTGGTAAAATAGAATTGATGATTGGGCACTATAATGTTGTATTATGTTTCAAGTAGTAAAATTGTTATAAAATGATTACTTCCATAGCTTTATCCTACCTGAGACAACTATAAATCCAGGATTTAGACTATGGTTAAGTTCAACACCAGATACATCTTTACCCATACCTATCTTGAGAAGAGGGCTAAAGGTAAGATTTCAAACAATCTGAGATATTATTCAGTAGTTTATATAATTACTAATTGAGAGCATTATTTTTTACAAGGGATAAAATATAAGCTAATATGAGTTGAGCAATGGTAAATAAATTAATTTATAATGAAAATGTAGAGACAAATAATGTACATAATCAAACATTGACAGAATCCTGTTGCTTTGGGAGAAAATTGAGTGTTTCTGCTGGCCCAAAATTGCATACACATGGAGGAAAATAATTGATTTTAGCAAACTTGATGTAGAGAGCAAATAAGGTGGTCTTGTCAAACATATGAAGGAATTATTGCCAAGGCTAAGGGGTCTGAAGCATTTTTAAAGTCCAAAAAAGACAACATTCAAAAGCATCTCAGGCAGACACCTCCCTAATTCACTGAACTATAAGAAGAAGGAGGTATAAAATGACTGGATTTTAAAGATTCTGTTCAGGGGTGGGTTCTACTTACCTTTACTACTGGTTTGCAGCGGGGCCGCACGCATGCGCGAGAGAGAAACGAGTGTGCATGTGCACACTTCTGCGCATATGCAGAAGCATTTTGATTACGCCGGGGTCGGTGGGTGGAGCCTCCCACGGGTTTTACTATTGGTTCTATAGTACCGGTGCGAACCGGGGGCAACCCACCACTGATTCTGTTATTATAGACAATGTCAATAAAAGTTGTTTATGTGCTTATTTGTTTTATTGATAAGTTTCCTGCGGAATTTTTATTCATAATCTGTTTGTTTATTTCCTCAAGATAGTAATAGAAACTCCACAAGGATTAAAAGGAACATTACTTCAAACTTTTGGATTTAGTGACACTGCTGTAGTAACAGAAACTATATTTAATAAGACCAACTGTGGGCCATCATGGAAAAGATTGTTGTTTAGCCTATGTTTTTTCAATGCTGTCATTCAGGAAAGAAAGAAATATGGAGTTTTGGGCTGGAACATTCCATATGCTTTTAATTCTTCAGATTTAGAGGCAAGAGAAAATGTTATATAAAATTATATTTGCAAATTAACATGTATTTTGCTGTGTCTATGTCTCTATGGATCTTCTTTCAATTGGCTTTCCTCCTTTTTTACTATATTCAGTTTTTCCCCATATCCATTAATTCACTATAATTTATGTACTTTTCTTTGCCTTATTTAATATACTTTGTGTTTAACTTTGAATTGTGAGGTTGGAAACAGTATTTATTACTATTTTTAGCTTTGTAATTAGGAGAATTATATAGAATTATAAGAAATAGTTGTAGTAATTATTACCAGGCTATCAATAATCCCCACAATGCCTTGGATATGGAAATCACATTCTAGGTATTTTTGATATATAAATTATCTTCTCTGTCAAATATCTAGTCTCCTCCTCCTCCCTAAACATACCTAGGTCCAGTGATGGGCTGCTGCCCTTTCGGGATGGTTCAGGTGAACTGGTTGTTAAGATTCTGCGCAGTTCAGCGAACCAGCAAATCCCACCACTGGCTGGCCCTGCCCTGCCCACCCTGCCCTGTCCCTCCCAGTCACTCCTTGTCACCCAGCATAACTGCTGCTGCTCTCTATCTGGCTTCCTTTCTTACTTCAGCCAAACGTTCTCTGAGGGCTAGCCAGCTTGCCTGCCTTCGCCGGCACAGCTGCATCCCACGCAGCGCTCTCCTCACGGCCCAGCTGAGTCAGCGGCCCTGATCTGCCTGAGTGAGCCTGCGAGCAAGGCCTGAATTCCAGCCTAGCTGCCTCCCATGTGGTCCAACCAGCTTGCCTGCCTTTCGCCATTGCTGCATCCCATGCGGCGCTCTCCCCACAGCCCAGCTGAGCGGCCCTGATCTGCCTGGGTGAGCCTGCGAGCAAGGCCCAAATCCCGGCCTAGCTGCCTCCCACGTGGCACAGCCAGCTTGCCTGCCTTTCACATAGCGGGCACAGCCCAGCTCTTTGCCTCAACTACCTTCCTTCGCTGATCTCTGCTCCTTCTTGCTTGCCTAGACTAGATCACCCAGCTGCCTTCTTCTGCTCCCGCCTGCTCCACTTAAAAGAAAAATACAAAGAAAGAAAAGGTACAAAAAAGTACCCTAAAATAATATTAGTTATTTATCTCAATTCAAGCAAACTCTGGTATTTGGTGGTATTTGGACTTTTTTCCAGTCCAAATACCAGCAAATTTTAATTCAAAGTGCCATTCCTCCAAAATATCTCCAAACGCCATTATTATAAGTTGCTTATGGTATTATGTCTCCAAAATTAAAAATTTTCTTCCCCTTGAATGAACTTATTGTTTAAAATCAATTTTAAAGTTTTAATTTTCAAAATCAAATATTCTAATGTTTACTCACCCCTTAATCCATGTAAAACTTTTTACATCCAAAACCTTGTCTTATTTTTTGCTGTTTGTTTTGAATTCTTAAGCATTATAAATATAAAGCTTCATTTTCTTATGCCAACTAGTATTTCCAGCCTTGTCATTTCATTTAACTTGTTTAAAGCAGTTAATGGCAATTTCCAAAAGTGGTTGGCAAAGGAGTTGCAAAATTAGTGTTTTTTAAAAGTTCTGTTCTAGAATAATAATGGCAATTTCTCTCATTGCCTGATTCTCTCACCTTCTGGACACCACTGCCTGCAGTCTCCTCATGTGGAGCAGCCAGATGGGCAATCTTTCATTCTCTCATTTTCTAGAGAATGTCAGAAGAACCAATTTATTAATTGATGCCTTGTTCTTAGCCATAATTTTCAGCTCTGCTTTTTTGTCTTCAGTCCATTATTTCTTCCCCAGAAGTCTCCTATCATGAAAAAAAAAATCAAGTTACTCTAGCATGATATAAATTCAGTATAAATTCATATTGGCTCTTTTTAATTAATGAATTCTTACCTAATGCTCACAGATATCCTATTAATTATCTGCTCTTCTTTACAGAAGAACAAGTCTAAACATCCAGTCTTATTTTAATACATTTTAATTTTCTTACACATATCACACTTTCATTTCTAATTATTAATTGGCTTGGAAATATTACTACATTTAAAAAATGATTCCTCAGAGCAACCATTAAAGTTGTGTGTAAGAGCCTCATGAATCGAAAGTGTTATTCAGCTAATTATAGAATCTTTGAATTCCAGACTTTAACTCCAGATTATTTTTTTTTAAGTATTTTCTAATGATAACTTTTCTTTTCAGTTTTCTATCAAAATATTGGAAGTGCTCCTTGAGAAGCACGAAAAGATTCCTTGGACAGCATTGTGTTATTTGACTGGAGAAGTAACATACGGAGGCCATGTAACTGATAATTGGGACCGTCGATGCTTGCTTAACATTTTAGATAATTTTTATAATCCTTCTGTATTGCAAGAAGATTTTGTTTATACTGCTGATGAGGTATGAGAACTATTTTCATTATGTTGCTGTTTTAATATCACAAATTTACAACTGAGTGAGCAGAGTAGGTTTACTCGGAAGGAGAGATGGTTTGAGTCATAAAAATAATCTTCAACTATTTGTATTATTTATTTGGTTTGTCCTGCATTTATCTATCATCTATCTTTCTATCTTCCTTCCTTCCTTCTTTCCTTCCTTCCTTCCTTCCTTCCTTCCTTCCTTCCTATCTATCTATCTATCTATCTATCTATCTATCTATCTATCTATCTATCATCTATTGTCAAGGCAATGTATAATGCATGAAATCCAGCTGGATGGCTTTGAGCCAGTCACTCTTAGTTCAATTTACTTGCTATTATTCCCCCATACACAACCCTATAAGGTGAGTTAAGAGAGTGACTGGCTCAAGTCACCCAGCTGAATTTCATGCCTAAAACAGATCTAGAACATATAGTCTCTTTGTTGCTAGTCCAGCACCTTAGCTACTACAAATTTATCCGTAGAGTATCTATGCAGAAGGGAGAGGACAAATCAAAACTAGACTTTGGAAATCAAAAATAGACATTGGGAAGAAACAATTTCCATACACATGTACAAAAGGTACTGAGTTTGCATTGCAATGGTGTGATGCTGGTTTCATCATCATCCCATACCAGATTTTTCTGCTGAGAACTTATGTTTTTTTTTGTAACTTTGTTCTTTAAATTGTCACACCCACACCCACACAAACAGAGCCAAAATCATGTAAGCTCTCACACAGGGGCTTACACCTGTTTTAACAAACATAAATAATAGTAAATCAATAGGATTTGCATAGTTGAATGAGCATCATCAGGATTGCCAATGTACGGCTTAATTCTATAGTATTCAGGGAAAGTCTGGCAGGTGAGAGAAATTCGTATCTGTGAATGAAAAGACGGCCATTCGTAGAACAAAACTATAGGTGAGCAACACATGCTTTCTAAGCCCATGCTTTATCTTCTCTTACTCTATGACAATTCAGCTTTTCTACCATTCATAATTCGCTCTTTAAAAGAAACTGTCTGCAGGAAGGGTGAAAAAGGCAAGATGGTAGACTCAACCACAAGACTGAAGCCCTGCCCTAAAGGGACATCATACATATCACACACAATTTAAAAAGTAGTGAGGCTTCAATTGCAGAATTGCACCCACCATCTTGACTTCTTTTTCCTCTCCTCTATATATGTATTTGCTAGAAATAATGATACAATACTAGCAACAGTATTATATAAATCTTGGATTTCTGATCCCTGAAGTTTTCACTATGATTTTGGAGATGTCAAGTAGATCTACAGTACATATACTTGACTTACAAAATGTATGATGCATATTTTAGCCATTCTACTAATTTTATTTCAGATCTTCATTTTTTTCTTTTGAATGCTTATACCCATGTTTCATATTTAGGGAAAGATAGCAAAAATGGGGAGGGGGACTTGTGTGGAAAACCACCTTTGGACTAAGCCAATGGGCTAACTAGAAAACCCTGGTTAATGTAGATGAAGAACCTCATAATAGAAACTACTATTTCTTCTAGAATCCTTTATTTTCCAAAATTCAAATCTTCTGAGGACTATGGAATAGCAAATCCATTTTTCAGAAAATACCTGACCATAAATTATGAGTTTATTTGTTAGCTCTGAGCAGATTTGCATTCTTCAATATATCTGATCAATTTTAAATGTTAATTTGAAGTGAAGAAGCAGAAAGATGATTGCATTAATAAAATAATGTAGGCAAAATATATGTTGAGCATATATTGTATTTGAATGGCCAGAGACAATAAAACATTTAACAATAATTTTTTCAGGTCTATCGACCAATATCTGAAGTAGATAGTTTAAAAGACTGCAGAACCTATCTACAATCTCTTCCAGAAGTGGATTCTCCGGAACTTTTTGGAATGCATCGTTGTGCTGAAAGACAATATTTAAAAGTTCAGGCAGAATTATTTATTAATTCAATTGTCAGTACCCAACCAACATATAGCACAGATATTATCAGGTTATTATTTGAAACTTCCTCCTCCTCTTCCTTCCCCTCCTGCTCCTCCTCCTTCAATATAGCATAAGCTGAAACAATTAATAGTTGTTTAAAGCCTAAAGTATCAATATATATCTATGTATGTGTCAAGAGACATAGAGAAACTTTCACTGAACTTTTTGGGGCCTTGATAACTACCTGCTTTTCTCTACTGTACTGTGGGGAATAAATGTTTGTTTTCCAACTGCAAAGAGCAATGGGAAAGTACCACATTAAATAAGCTTGCTGGTAGGAGAGAAAACAATTTATGTTATTGGAGTAAAACAGATAGAATCAGTTACTTCAGCACCTCATGATTGCTGCAGAATTATACAAAAGATGAAAAGCTTCCTTTCTCCCTATGGCTTTTTCTAGAATGGACAAAATAAGTATGGGTATTTTGTAGGTATGATCCCATTAAATGCAAACCTTAAAGATTACTTGCTGGCATTTGTAGATAAGTATATGTGCATGAAAGATAAGGGAGAGAGACAGAATGTCCATATGTTGTCCAATAGTTAAATGTGATTGTTTGCATTTGATTATGTACATCAAAATATCAAAAACTGTATTTTCATTCAATGTAGTTGGGTTGTCTTCATTCAGAATGTTAACATTATCCAGATTGTGGATATGTGTTGTGACATGTATTTACCAAGTAAACAAATCCAGAAAGGCTCTAACACAGCATCTCCTTAACAGTAAAAACAGTGAGGAAAAGGTGATATACAGGTAGTCCTTGACTTACGATCACAATTGAACCCAAAATTTCTGATGTTAAGTGAGACATTTGTTAAGTGAGTTTTGCTTCATTTTACAACCCCCATTGCCACAGTTGTTAAGTGAATCGCTGCAGTTGATAAATTAGTAATCTGGTTGTTAAGTGAATCTGGCTTCCCCAATGACTGTGTCAGAAAGACACAAAAGGTAAGCAAATGACCTTGGGACACAGCAACAGTCATAAATGTGAACCAGTTGTCAAGCATCTTCATGGGGATGCTGCAAATGTCATAAGTGTGAAAAATGTCAAGTAACATTTTTCAATGCCATTGTAACTTTGAATGATCACTAAACAAACTATTGCAAGTTCAAGACTACCTGTATAAATAGTGGGATATTAACTTTGTTACTTTCCATAGATAATTTTAAGCCTATTTTTGATCTCCCTATTATCTTAGTGATAGAATGGGCCAGGATGAAATAGTACTGGAAATAATATCTGATATTCTAATAAGGCTACCAATGACTGTAGAGAATATGGAAGGGGCATCTACCAATGAATATGTGTCTACAGAAATTGTAACCCTGAGAAGTTTCATGTCTGGACCAATTTGGGCTGCACTTGCAAAAGCTACAGAAGGTCAGAACTTCATTTCATAGAATTTTCATATCATGTCATCATTTGTTTATATATAGAGAAAATGCTATATGTGCATATACACTTGTATTATATAATATATATAGTAGTTATACATTTGTATGCAAAGAACGAGAAACACACTTTGTGTTCATGCATGCATGTTATATATAATTACTAGCCTAAATCAATCCATTAGAAGAATAAATGCTTCTTTGTTGAAGGTTCTAGATCTCAAACTCCTTTGCAGACCAGCCACAATGCAGGTTGTTAGATGTATACCCACACTAGGCAGCATGTAGTTCACAGCCTTCAGTAAAGATTCACAACTTTCAATAAAGAGACCTTCATTCTACAGTAGCTTGTTTGAGGCAGTTAATGGTAAATATACAAATATGTCTATGTGTGTGTGTTTGCACATTTGTGTCCTATTAACAATTATTGAAAGAATGAGGAATAAAATAACAAATAGTATCAATAAATAGTAATTAAAATATAAAATTTGGGAAGCACTATGCATACAGTGGGGAATTTATAATTCTTTGTATATTGCTGATCTACAACGTCCAGCATCTTTCACCTTTTCCTAAATTGATTGATCTGGATACCCTGATTTAACTTCAGTTATATCTGGATACCCTGATTTTTCCATATTTATGCACCTTCCCACCCTGGGAGCAGCCACCCCAGGCCAGCCATGCACTGTGTTGCAGCAACCATATATCCACCTGCCAGCCTGTTTGCGAGCCACTGAGGATGGCCACAACTTCTGGATGGCTTCTCTATTGACTCTGCTTTTGGAAGCTAGCAGGAAGTCACAAAGAGGTCCTCAACTACCCACAATCTTCACTTAACAACAGCAAAAGAGACTGAAGAGGTTCCATTGCTAAATGATATCATCACATGATGTCATACTTTATAACTGCATTGCTTACTCACTAAATTTCAGCCCCAATTATTGTCATTAACCAAGATTACCTCTAATATTCCATATTTCAACCCTTTGCTCTACTTAACAGGAAGGTCTGTTATGATGTAAAGGTTTAAAGGCATGAAAATTATTTCTCCTAACTGATAAAAAGAAGAGCAGTTACTAAAACAATGACCAAATATAGATTATCCTGCATCCCAGAACAAGCAAGTATATTGAAAAGGCAGGAGAAAATGAGTAATTTTGCTACCATATTGCCTGCCTCTTATACAGATTATTCTTATTTGAAAGTAGCATACTTGCTGGAATTCCTACCTTGTAACCTTAGCTTTGTTAACCAGTTCTCTCTCTCTCTTTCTTTCACCATAGATTTTTATTCTATTACCAATTCACCTTTGCTACCTGTCTTGCGCCAGGAGATTGACCATTGTAATAATTTACTATACTTAATAATTCGGTCATTACAAGAGCTTCAGCAAGGAATCAAAGGAAAAATTATATTCACTAAAAGATTAGAAGAACTTTATAATTCAATATTGAAAGGAAGAGTAGCTGATCTATGGGAGGTATGTGAACAATCTCTTATTTTACTTTTGCTAAATAATAATAATAATAATAATAATAATAATAATAATAATAATAATAGATACTCTGCAGGAATAATTGACTGGACCCAGATGGAGTTAGACAATTTGGACAGAAAAACAAGGAAGCTTATGACAATGAATCATGCCTTGCACCCTAAAAGTGATGTTGACCGATTATATTTACCAAGAGCAGAGGGTGGTCGAGGACTCCTACAAGTAAAGCAGACTGTGGAAGAAGAAAAACGCAGCTTGAATGACTACATTCAGAAAAGTGAAGAACCAGTGATTAAGGAAGTAAATAAAGGAGGCCTTTTAAAGACAACTAAAACAAAAGCAGAATATAAGAAAGAAGTAATTGAGCAGCGAGCTGAAAATTGGAAAAGCAAAGCCGTGCATGACCAATACTTGAAAAGTATTGAAGGCAAAGCTGACCAGAAACTAACTTGGAACTGGTTAAGATCAGGAGTACTGAAAAAAGAAACAGAAAGCTTTATTTTGGCAGCTCAAGAACAAGCCCTAGCCACAAACTGCATGAAGGCAAAAATTCAACATGTTACCACCAACAGCAAATGCTGCCTCTGTAATGAGAAAGATGAGACAGTCGACAGTGGGTGCAGCAAAATTTCACAAACTGACTACCTACAACGCCATGACTGTGTTACTAAGATCATTCACTGGAAATTGTGCCAGAAGTTTGGATTTGAGTACAGCAAAAATCACTGGGAACATCAGGTTGAGAAAGTTTTAGAGAATGAGAAACTCAAGATCTCATGGGACTTTAGGATTCAGACTGACAGGCACTTGGTCCACAACACACCTGACATAACAATAGTTGAAAAGAAAAAAGTACGGTTCATTGATATTGCAATACCTGGTGATGCACGGATTGAAGATAAGCAGCAAGAAAAAATCACAAAGTACCGGGACTTGCAAATTGAAGTTGAGCGATTGTGGAAAAAGAAATTGTGTGTTGTCCCGATTGTAATTGGAGCCCTTGGAGCAATACCCAAAGGGCTATCCCGCTATTTAGAAATTCTAAATTTACCGGACTTGAACATTTTGACTTTCCAAAAAACCACCTTACTCAGAACAGTTTACATCCTTCAATGATACCTTAACAGTTCCTAGGTCCTTGGTTAGGACTCGAGCTGCTGAGTTATTAACCAGCCTCAAAGGCTGTGAATCTCACTAAAGATTAACCAATAATAATAATAGTAGTAGTAGTAATAGATTTGATAGATGGACAGAAATGCCAAATGCAATCTAAATATCTGGCTGACTGTGACAAACCATAGTAATTTATCAAATCAAACCAAGGAATTTCAATAAAATCAATAAAACATAAAAATAAAAATAAAATATACCAAGGATGATGAAGCATAGAAGTACAAAAGGAATTACAAAATTACAAATACAAAACATGTTTATGTTTAACTGGGTGTTTATAATAAATGGATTTGAATTTTTGTGTTTCAAATACGTGTGTGTGTGTTAGTCTTATCTTTCTGCTTATGTGAAATGGATTCTATAGAATATTTTTTCTATAACAATAGCTAATAATTAGTTTTAAGAAAATTCTACTCCAAAAATGCACATGAAATTTAGTAAATTATATATAATTCCTGTGGATATATTACTGTGGATCAAAAGAATAATGTATATGCTAAAATATTCATGTACATATTTGAATTCTCATATATTTAATGTAAGAAAGTTATAAACTATTTGGGGAAGATGTGGAATATTTAGTTTACTCTTATTTCAAAATGCATAAGAAGAATTAGATCTGGTTGGAACATGCCACGAGAAAATTCCAAGACTATAACATAGATTGCTGAACTGAAAGACATCATAAAAGAAGATAACAGAAAATCACAAAACAATATCCAATCACCCATCAGTTTAGCCTTACAAAAATCACAAAACCAGAACAAGACAAAACAACAATGATGGCAAATAAACAAACAAACCCAGAGAGGAACCAAAAAGACAAAAGTGGCATCAATTGTCTTCCCCAAAGGCCTTGGAGAATGTTTTTAACATCTTTTAAAATAGCAGTAGGATGGAAATCATTTGAATTTTGGGGAGAACCTCATTCCAGACAATGGGTACTACTACAAAGAAGTTGCTCTTTAGGGGGTTCCAATATGTGGCTTTGTTTAATTGATAGAACCTGAAGCACGCCAATCTTGCCAGATGGATTGTCAGGCAGATACAATTATATAGCTTTATAGCTAGCAACCAGCATCTTAAATTGGATCCAATAGCAAACTGGCAACCATTGCTACTTGCAAAGTTTATTTTCAGTTAGAGCTCATTAGATAGTTATGTTCAGTTGTTTTATCAAGGCTGCCATTTATATATTTTATTTTTGTTGTTGGCTGTATTTTTAATTTGCTGTTAGCCACCTAGAGAAACAATGGTGAGATGGATCCAACGATGTTTGTTTGTTATTGAAGTAGAACAGCTTGCTATTGTTTGTCTATATCATGTTTGCATATTAATGTACTTTTAAAAAACAACAACACAAGTATACTTTATCTTTTATTAATCCTTTTGTAAATCTGTACAGCAAAGTTCTTTTAAGACAAATAAACCTTTAGGATCCTGGATTGATGATCTCATTATACAAGTGAATTTCTTTGCCATGTGGGCTGATGGAATTATCGCCTTTATGCAAGCAAGGTAATAGAAACAACAATATAAACTCAACTTTGGGTATCAGTATCAAAGACATTATAGTTATTTAAAATGAAGACATTTTCCTTCTCCTCAAAATTCATTACCTTGAAGTGGATGGCACAGTCTTATACAGATAGACAAAAAGAATTGCTCTAAGGAAAAGGATGTAATAATTACTATTTGAAAATGAGATATTTCAGCTTCTCCACAATAAAAGTGAGTGTCCAAGGATGCAGAATCTCATTTTCTATTATTTTGAATTCTCACTCCAAGTGAAACAAAAGCACCTTCTCCTCCTAGACTCCCCTTCTAACATTGGGGGCCATTTTCCTTTCCCAGCATATTTACTATACATACTTTGCATTAGCTTCTTAGGTGTCATGGAGTCAGATTCAGCCCTGATGCTCACCATTTGGGGAAAGAGTTTAAAAAACAATCACATAGAATTGGGATTGTAAGGGCTATTTAGATCATCAAGACTAAACCCCACTCAGTGCAGGAAAGGAAAGCATCAGAGGCATCTGCTTGAATACATTCACATCCTATTTTTTTCTTCAATCAATCAATCAGAATAGAGCTGGAAGTTCTATTCTGAATTCTTGTTCTAAGTTCTTTTGAATTCTTGTTCTAAGTTCTTGAATTCTTTCATTCAAGTACCGGTCTCCAAGATTCTTTCTGCAAATATAATTCTTATTTTATAAATTCTTTACCACTGTGTAAAATTGTCTGCTAACATGAAGACAAATGAGATATACTCTAAATTATAGTATTATGTATCTTTTCTGTTGGACTTTTCTGTTTCAGAAAATCAGCATAAAATAGTATTCATTAGCCAAAGTCAGCAACTTTGTTGGGGAGGAGAAAATACTAAAAAAAAAAAAAAAAAGTCTACAGAGCCCACAATTTTTTGTTGCATGCTTTCACATATATTTCTCCTTCTCTTTAGAAAACTCTCAGCTGATTTTCAGTCATGGAGAGGGTTATCCTTGTTTTCGTCAAGCTAGAAGGGCATCTTGCCTTTTAAATGGAAGTTATATTTCAAAAATAATAAAATGCATAGTAACTTCTTTTCTCTTTCAGTTACTTTGTTTCCTGATGTTATTATTGCACTGTTCTCCCTCCTTCTCTTCCTTCCCAGTGTAGCGCATCATTAACACTCTATTTTTTCTACATTTTTTCTTTTTCATTTTCTTTTTTTTCTTTTTTTTGGTGGAATAAAAAGAAACAACGTTTACGAATTTTTATGTAAGAGACGATGGTTTGTGTGTGTGTGTGTGTGTGTATACATAATGAGGGGAAAATGAATTTTATACAGAGACTGGCCTGTTTTACAGATAATTAATTTTAATCATTATATATGTCTTATGCAACTTTTATTATGGGGAAAGTCTCCAGGAATGGTTTCAGCTAGAGTTAAAAGCTCCAGGAAGTTGATGGTTGTTTAACCATTCAGTTGTGTTTGAGTCTTGGTGACTTTATAGGCAAGTGCTCTCCATGCTACCCCTGTCAAGCACAGCTTTTTTCAGTTGTTCATCTTTGTATCGGTTTTGATGTTGTCAAGCCAGCATGTTCTTTGCTTGCCCCTTCTTCTTGTTGCACTAACCATCCCTAGTATCACTGACTTCTCCAATGAATTTGCATGCATGACATCGCCAAAGTAAATCAGATGTAGTCTTGTGATTTTAGCTTCTAGTAATGTGTTTAGTTTTATATGATTCAACACCTGTCTGTTAGTTACTCTGCTGTCCATGGTATAGGCAATAATTTACACCAGCACCGCAGCTCAAAGGTGTCAATTCTTTAATCAGCCATTCTTAGTGTCCAACTCTCCCACCAAGCATCATTATTATTAAGACAATTGCTCTAGTTGGCCAGCTTTTTGTAGTTATATCAATACATCTGCTTTTCCAGATCTTATTCATGTTAACCATTGCAGTCCAGCCTAAGGTTATCCTGCATTTGATTTCAGGAGAACTATTACGATGATAGTAAAATGTTGTATAAAAATTGGCATTTGCAAAATGAATTTTCTACTCATATCTGTTAGAATGTTCTATAAATTGAATGGCATTCTCAGGCATTTGGATCCTGCCTTAATATGATAGAACTTAGATATTATCTTGATTACAGCAGCAGATTTTTACTTTGTCCAAGGCACAATCCACAAGTGACTGCATTCATTAAGAAGCTGGTTGCAAGTTATGCCATTTTAATCATTCCTTTTTCTCTAGTAATCAGCTTACCATTTTGGATGTTAAAATCCATGGATACATATAATATACTATATGTGTATGCTTTTAAATTGATTGTATTAATTTTGCAGTTAATTTTCCAATTGGTTTCCATTTATTTAATAGAACTCAATGAATGTATGCCACATATAATAGGAGAACTGATTCAGAAGATTTTATTGGGGATTTTAATGATAGGCAGATCATCACCTGGATCTTTACCTTCTCCATCTGGGATTTTCTCTCTCTCTCTCTCTCTCTCTCTCTCACACACACACACACACACACACACACACACACACACACACACACATAACCTATACAATTATATATATCACAGTGAGAGTTGGGATGTATAACTGCAATCTCCTCTGTGGAATGAAAATCATAACAGTTGGGCTGGAGGTTTTCTGATCCTTCTAGTCCACGCTTTGAGATTATGAGCCACTTTGCAATGTAGGAATCAATTGTATTGTATCAATTGAGTATTCTCTTCCGGCTTGTCCCAAGATGGCGGCGGTCGGCTGAGCTCCGCGAGGAGATGGAGAGGTCGCTGGTGTCAGGGGTCTTTGGGAGCCGCTTTAACAATCTCCGGCTCCAGTCCCAATGAGGGGAATGCCCACCCTGCCTGCTGAGGGCTTTTTCGCCCTCCGGAATATCAGGGCAGGGCGGGACGCGCTGTTTGAAGCCGCCGCGGGAGATGGGGCGGCGGCCTGCTAAAAACAGCTGTTTCCGGCTTGTCAGTGCCGGGAGGAGTGGAAGCCGGAGCGTTTCGGCGGCGGGCGGCGTTACTATGCGGCGGCGGCTTGGAGGTGCCCTTCATCCCCTCGCCCCTCACGGATCTCTGGGACGCTCTCCGGACATTTTTCGGGGGTCCTGGAGGTGCCATGGGGAGCCCAGGGTGCCGGTTACGAGCCGGCCGTGGCGGTGGTGGCGGCGGCGCCGGCGCCGGCGGAAGGCAATGGCAGCCACGGATCATCCAGCTGTGGAAAGAACTTGTAGCAGGTGGATGGGGGAATACGGACAGCCTTGCCTTGCCCTCAGGATTACCATCTGCTCTTTTTTGAGCCTTGACCCCTGTTATCCGGGGTTTGTTTGTCATCAGAGCTGAGACTGGGGATTTGGGGAGTTTTGGGACAGGAGAGGCGGGAGGCTGACCAGGGCTCTATTGGTCGCCTCGGGTGGCTTTCTCTCCCCCCTTCTTCCCTCAGGTATGTGTGGGTGTTGGCCTTTGATGGCCACCCACCCTGGACTTGGACTGGGTTTTTTGTCTGCTATCCCTACTTTCGCCCCAGAGAAGAACTTGTGCCTGTGGGATTATCAACATTGTTTCTAATAACTTTACAAATTGCTGGCTTCTTGTGCGACCCCAAACTGGAGGAAAACTGGGCAAAATGGTGTGCAGGTGCTGAGGGGGCTGTTTGTCATCCGCCAGATGAAAGGATGGACTATTGTGACTTTATTGTCGGTGTCATCTGCCCCAGTCACTGTGAGAGGGTGACTGGGATAATTATCCTCCAGATGTGGGGGGATGTCACTGGCCCCTTTCACTGTCATGAGAGGGCAGTGAACCAGCTCCTGATATGAAGATCTACTTTGACCCAGTATTATTGGACGATCTGGTGAAGCCCTGACCAATTGACTCTCCATCTCTGTTTTTGTTCGATGTTTACGGCTGCTGACCTGCTTGCGCTGCGAGACTCCCCCCTCTCGCAGGTTTGGCCCTCCTCACTATCGAGGGCCTACCTTGATGACGGATTTTGGAATCCCGAGAGGTGGCATGCAGCGAGGAGGGGGTTGTGGGGTTTTTTAGGGAAATTTTTAGATAAGGTTTTAAAGGTTTCTGGGAGGGGGGTGGGTTCGGTGGGTTTGGGGGAGAACCTGTCGGGGAGGAGGCCAGAGCCGGCTGAAGAGCACGGCACTAGAGATGCGGGAACCGGGGTCAAGGTGGGGGTTAGAGCTTGTGTTATGGATGGTCATTACATCAGTACTGTGGGTGGGAGGGGCAGATATGGCGGGAGCAGGGGGCCACATCAGGTTGTGGGAGTACGCGCCCGCTGGCTCCAAGCGGTGGCGCGCTCCGGCCTCCAATGCTCCTCTCATTCCCCAGGTTGCACAGACCCTCAGGCCCTGGGCCTTCGGCTGATGCTGTGCAACGCCCGGTCCGTGGTAAATAAAGCCCCCCTCATTTGTGATCTTGTTCAGGAGGGGGGAGCGGACCTGGCGGGTATTACGGAGACCTGGTTGGGCCAGGAGGGGGGGGTTCCCCTCGTTGAGATGTGCCCACCCGGTTTCCGCGCATTCCATCAGCCGAGGACACAGGGGAGGGGCGGGGGGGTGGCGGTTGTCATTAGAGAAGGTCTTGGTCTGAGGGAGGTCACTGTTCCTCAGACGGCTGGTTGTGAGTCCCTCCTTGTGAAGTGGGGTCATGGGGTGCAGATGGGTGTGCTGGTTACGTACCTGGCTCCCTGCCACGTGACGGCAGCCCTGCCCGAGCTGCTCAACGTTATAGCCGCGGTGGCGGTTGACACCCCCAGGCTTATGGTCATGGGGGATTTTAACCTGCCATCCGTCGGTGAGGCGTCTGAGGTGGCTCGGGAGTTCATGGCTTCCATGACGGCCATGGACCTGACCCAGTTAGTTCATGGCCCTACTCACACAGGGGGAAACACGCTAGACCTGGTTTTTGTCTCTGGTCAGTGGTTGAGTGATCTTGAGATAGGGGATATAGTGATCGAGCCCTTGTCATGGTCAGATCACTCCCTCCTTCGCTTTGACCTTCGAACCACCGCACCCCGCCGCAGGGAGGCGGAACCACTGAGGTGGTACCGCCCCAGGCGCCTGATGGATCCTGATAGGTTCCAGACGGAGCTTGGGCCATTTCCTGAGGCTCTGGCACATGGCTCGACTGAGGAGCTGGTGGCCGCCTGGGATAGGGCGGCCGCTGGAGCTTTGGATCGGGTCGTGCCTTTGCGGCCTCTGACCCGGCGTCGATCTCGCCTGGCTCCTTGGTTCACCGAGGAGCTGAGGGAGATGAAGCACCGGAAAAGACGCCTGGAGAGTGGTTGGAGGGCCAGCCATTCTGAATCTGACCGAACACTGGTAAGGTCTCATATTAGGACCTACCTGGTGGCGATAAAAGTGGCGAAGTATAACTATTTTGCCACTCTTATTGCGTCATCAGATAATTGCCCGGCTGCCCTGTTTAGGGTGACCCGCTCCCTGCTCCACCAGGAAGCGCGGGAGGACCCCTTGGAGGGTAGAGCCGAGGATTTTGTACAGTATCTGTATGACAAAATCGCTCAGATTCGGGAACATCTGGACTCTGACTGGGTAGATTCAGCGGGGAGGACAGAGGCAGGTCTTGTGAGTATTATCTGGGAAGAGTTTGATTCTGTGACGCCCGAAGACGTGGACAGGATACTGGGCAGACTGAGCGCAGCCACATGTTTACTGGACCCGTGTCCCTCCTGGTTGGTGCTGGCCTCTCGGGAGGTTACACGAGGCTGGCTCCAGGGGATTATAAATGCTTCCTTGAGTAAGGGTGTCTTCCCTGCCGCCTTGAAAGAGGCGGTGGTGAGGCTTCTCCTCAAGAAACCTTCCCTGGAGCCGGCAGTGTTGGCAAATTATCGTCCAGTCTCCAACCTTCGCTTCATTGCGAAGGTTGTTGAGAGTGTGGTAGCGCGACAGCTCCCCCAGTACCTGGATGAATCGTCGTATCTGGATCCGTTCCAGTCGGGCTTCAGGCCTGGGTACAGCACGGAAACGGCATTGGTCGCGTTGGTTGATGATCTCTGGAGGGCTCGGGACAGGGGTTGTTCCTCTGTCCTGGTCCTATTAGACCTCTCAGCGGCTTTTGATACCATCGACCATGGTATCATGCTGCACCGGCTAGAGGAGTTAGGGGTGGGGGGCACCTTCCTACGGTGGTTCTCCTCCTTTCTCTCTGACCAGTCGCAGTCTGTGTTGACAGGGGGGCAGAGGTCGACCCCGAGGCCCCTTGTATGTGGGGTGCCACAAGGGTCGGTCCTCTCGCCCCTTCTGTTCAACATTTATGTGAAGCCGCTGGGTGAGATCATCCGTGGTTTCGGGGTGAAGTACCACCAGTACGCTGACGATACTCAGCTGTACATCTCCACCCCGGACCACCCCAATGATGCCCTTGAAGTGATGTCCCGGTGCCTGGAGGCCGTGCGGATCTGGATGGGGAGAAACAGACTCAGGCTCAACCCATCCAAGACCGAGTGGCTGTGGTTTCCGACATCCCGATATAGTCAGTTGGCGCCATCACTGACTATTGGGGGCGAGTCATTGCCCCCCACGGAGAGGGCTCGCAACTTGGGTGTCCTCCTGGACTCACGGCTGTCTTTAGAAGAGCATATGACGGCCGTGGCCAGGGGGACTTTTTATCAGGTCCGCCTGATTCGCCAGTTGCGTCCCTTTCTGGATCGGGACTCGTTAAATATGGTCACTCATGCTCTTGTCACTTCCCGCTTGGACTACTGCAATGCTCTCTACATGGGGCTCCCCTTGAGAAGCACCCGGAGGCTCCAGCTGGTCCAGAATGCGGCCGCGCGGGTGGTTATGGGAGCGACGTGGTGCTCCCATGTGACCCCCCTCCTGCACGAGCTGCACTGGCTCCCGGTGGTCTTCCGGGTGCGCTTCAAGGTTTTGGTTACCACCTTTAGAGCGCTCCATGGCATCGGACCGGGGTATCTACGAGACCGCCTTCTGCTACCAATAGCCTCTCACCGACCAGTACGCTCCCATAGAGAGGGGCTCCTCAGGGTGCCGTCGGCCAAACAGTGTCGACTGGCGGCCCCCAGGGGGAGAGCCTTCTCTGTGGGGGCACCTACCATCTGGAACGAGCTCCCCCCAGAGATACGGAAGATCCCGGACCTGTGCACGTTTCGCCGTGCTCTCAAAACTTTTCTATTTCAGCAAGCTGGCCTGGCCTAACTCCCCTCTTTTAAATTCTTAAATTTTAAATTTTTTAATTCATGATTTTATAAATTGGGTGTTTTAATCTGTGTTTCGGCCAAAATATTTAATAATTTTAAGGGATTTTTAATATTTGTATTGTCTGTATTTTATCTTGGCTGTTCACCGCCCTGAGTCCTTCGGGAGTAGGGCGGTATAGAAATTTGATTAATAAATAAATAAAATAAATAAATTGCATGTTGCTCTAGTTAAATGAGAAGGTCAGTTTCTGTTAAATTGAGAACTCCATTGTCTCCCTAGAGAGCCAAAAATTGCTAGAAGAAATTATACAGTTGAATTGTATCAAAATTACTGAATTTGATTAGCTACTTAGAAACATATAATAATACACTAATTTCATTTAGCTACTGAGAAATGTAATAGTCTTAAACTTACTAATGTTTTGAACAGGTTTAATGATTTACTGGTGTTTCAGAGACAAAGCAAAATACCACCCCATCTTGATGAATATCCTGACTTTCATGCCAGTTATCAAGGACATCCTAGCTGTTTTTGGCTTCCAGGTTTCTTTTTTCCACATGGTACATAATTTTGTTATTTATTTTATTCCTAGACATTTATCCATTATCTATTTTAATTTTTTAAAATTTGTGCTTCACATGCTTGAAATAGTTTGTAGTGCTGTAGCGTTTATATTATTTTATATTTTATAGTCCTTGCCTAGCGACCATTCATTCAATATCTGTTCAAAGTTACAACAATGCTGAATAAGGAGACGTACAACAAGTCCTTGAAGTTGCAGCTGCTGCAACGTCCCTGCAGCCATGTGATCACGATTTGGATACTTGACAACTGACAAGCAATTACAATGGTCATAGAATTCCACAATAATGTGATCATCATTTGTAACTGTAACTGGTGGCTTTGGACAAGTAAAGTCAGTGGGAAGTTGGCAGGAAGTCACAAGTTGTCTTCACATGACATCATTATTGCTGGAACTGTCATCATAAGTTGGCATGGTGACATGATTTTTCACTTTTTTTGCTTAGTAAAGCAGTTGTCAGTTTCAGTTATGATCATCAACTGAAGTCTACTTGTATTTCATTAAATTATAAAGAATGTCTATACTCTAGATAGTCTAGAGCAGGGCTGTCAAATTCCCAGCCCACGGGCTGGATACATCATGCACTGGCCATACCCATGTCCATTTTAGCGAAGGGGGGAAAAGTCCCAATATGTCATGTGATGCCACCATGATGACGTGAGTTTGACATCCCTGGTCTAGAGAATCCATAGAAGATTTTCCAGGTAAAATACGATAAATATATTGTTTTCAAGTGTATTAAGTGTGCTTAGAGGTTTATAAATTATGTCCTATGATAGATATGTAGAGTTAGGATTTACCTCTGACACTCATGTGATATAAACTGGGTTACAATATGATATAACCTGAATAATGCTATTACTGCTTCCCTTTTTCCATATTTTTTTTGATCTCTCTCTCTCTCCCTCTTCAGTTTTTCTTGTCCACATAATTCCTGCAGATGTGTTTTGAGTGGGATGGATGTCATTACAGATGAGGGAAATCTTGTATTACTTTGTAATTCTCTATATTAATAATTTGATGACTAAATAAGAAACTATATTTTGTTTATTTATATTTCATATTTCTTAACTGCCCATCTCCCTTGTATGGAAGTATATCAAATAACAAATGCATTCATTCTTTGCAAAGAATAAAATGATCTTCAAGTAATTTAAGAATAAATTTAATTAACTTCTTAATAGTGGTAAGAAGTAAAGTGCACAATCTGTGTATTTTGTTCTTGAAGGATTTCTTATTGCTGTGTGTCAGAATTATGCTCGGTTGAATAAAGTAACAGTGGATTCGCTTACTTTTACACATAAAGTGCTTCCTTTAACTCACGATGAAGATTTAAGCTTCAATAGAAAGGAAAGCATATTAAACAAAGCTTTTAAGGTAAGAATGGGATTGAAACCAGTTTCTTTATTCTGGTTGACTGTGGAAGATATGGAATATCTTTTGATATGTAGTCAAAATGCAGGCATCCATACGAATATCATGTATGATAGTTGTATATATGCCTAAACTTTGGCTACATATCAAAAGTGTATATAAATGCTACAATTAAAAAACATCAGGGATATATGAAATTATGTACAAAGAAATCAGATAAAGATATTGCAAGGAAAATTATAGGCAGGGAAACTCAGATAGTAAATGGATTTAACATACCATTTCTCTAAAGCAAATCATCATTTTATGAAGTAATGTGGTTTATCTTAAGTGGATTATATGGGCTTTATTTGCTTATTTATTACTGGAATTTATATGGCCACCTACTTAACATACTAATAGGTGCAGCAAGTAAATCCTCAAAATATTTATGTTTTTCCAGGCTGGCTATGCTTTAGGTCTCCTCTTTGCATCACATCATCTGTCCTAACCTAGGAAGCGGGTCTTTTCAGGGGCAGCACCCACCCTTTGGAATGATTCCCTTATTCACAGTCAGAATTGGATTGGTTCCCAACTCTGCCAGTTTATTAATAACCTAGTTTTTCCTTTGGGGATTTGGATCAAGATGTGTTTGATGACCAGAAGATGTGTTTTGTTTTTAATTCTTTTATTGTTAATTCTTTTTATTTTAACTGCCCAGGCTCACTCCAATGAGTTATGGAAGCCATACAAATTGGACAAATAAATAAACAAATTGTTTTTGCAACAAAATAAACAAGCCCGCAAGTATTTTTCCACACAAAAGGGACAGATAGTCCTCAAGCAGCAAAAATCTTCCACTTCTGTGATGATCCGATAGCATGTAATGTTAATATATATCTGTGTCCTTGAATCAGGAAAAGGGAAATGTGTCTATCCTGATTTTTTTGACATCACTGCCATGCAGTGGAGGAGGGGGAGGGGACTGTGAAATATTAAGATAGTGACTGTGACCACGTTCCCTTTTTTGCATCACTGTGCAGATGCCACCAATTTGTAATTCCTGTGCAACGAGCTTAGTCATCTTCACTTTTAGCTCTCTGAAAAAGACTAGTTTTTAATTTTTTTGTTGTTGTTGTTAAATCTTCCATTTGTTTGGAGCAATCCACAACAATGCTGAGTAGAAATACTATCTATCTTTTATTAGGAACATTCTCAGTATGAAACTGGAGTTAAAATTTACGGCTTGTACATAGATGGCGCATGCTGGAATCCCAATACACAGGCATTGGATGAACCTGAACTTCATAGAAGATATTATCCACTACCAGACATCCAATTTTTACCACAAAGTGTGAGTAATATAGTTTCGCTATCTTGGTAGGACATTTTTGTATTTTGATTACTCAGGTTTAAGTAAATGTTACAAGTCACTGCATTGTTATAATGTAGCACATGCTTGAATGCAAATAAATATTTTTTAAACAAGTGGGAATGTTGCTGTTTGGAATTATATTCAGCCAATTGCTTTCTCCTCTAAAATATTTCATTACTGTTTCTTTCTTCCATAATTTCTTCCATTGTTTTCTTTACCTATGGATTCTCAATGACCTAACCAATTATGCTGCTTTGAGCTGTTTTGGAATTTTGCCCCTTTTGTTTTAATTAAAATGACATATTTTGCATAAGTTATTTTCAACCGCATCCTAGGATGTCATAGTTATCTTTATTTTGTAGCACAAAAATATTATCTATATTTGAATTCTGGAATGAAGAGCTGAAATTATCTTTGTGGTTATGGGATGTGGGGGCAAGGTAGAACTTTTTCCAGGTTTCCATGGTGCTTATTATGTTATTCTTTTTTAGCCTGGAACAGAGGTTCTGCAAATACACTCTTATCTTTATTTTTTTCTTATACTCTTAAAGTATTGATTTGATTCAGAAGCTGAAGTATCCTCAGCATCAGTTTTTCTTTTATGTTTTTGCTGATATTTAATCAACATAACAATTATTTTAAGTTATTTTAGAGGTAGACCTATCTTTTTTTTCTAAATTGTAAAATATTCTGGTATCAAGCATCTTGAGCTGTGGTGGCGAAGTGTTTTTATAATGCAGTATTTTTTTTAAAAGGCATTCTTTCTGGGCCCTTACTGGGACTTATAAGATCTCTATGCTGCCAGATCACTCCAGATGGATAGTAACAGCCAGAAACTGGTGTTATAGATGATAATCAGCACCTTGACTTGCTGAGTTTATCCATAACCACTGCATCTCATGGAACAGTGGGGTCACATGGAAATTTGGCACTGCCCATGTCATTTTCCGGACTAGCTATAGCTTCTGAATAGTCTTGAAAGCAGTCCAATGTAGAGTACATTACAGACATCCATTTGTGATATTGTGATATTACTAAGGTGTGAATGACTATTTGATGCCATGCTGTGTTAGGCCTAGTATCAGTAATAATATTTTATACTATTGTTCTGTGTTTTGGAAGAATTATACTTGCTAGAAAGGCTGCTTTTTAAAATATATTTGTGATGGGAGCATCAACTGATTCCAAACAAAGTTCTTGCAAAAACCTTAAGTTTGAACCCCAACAGTCAATGAGCAATATATATTTAAATTGTTCCTTTATTAAAACACATGCTGATCCCAGATGACCACTGTAATTTGCTTCTTTACTGGTCCTTAGGCGTACAATTTATTTAATATGTAGAAACTGAGGTTATTAATATTTTAATTTCATTATTTTTTAGATTACCTTTTGCCCAAGTTACTGTGGTGAAGAAGACCAGCTTTTATACGAATGTCCTTTATACAAGACACCTCAAAGAACAGGAATGCTGTCTTCTATGGGTACATCTTCAAATTTTGTAACTGAAGTTAATCTGCCAAGTCTGGTAACTCCTAGCCACTGGATAATGAGAGGAGTTGCACTGTTATGTCAACTGGATGATTAGGAAATATAAAATATTATTGCCCCTTATTTGAAATGAATATTTCACTGTTTCACTCTAGGATCAGATACAACCTAGTTTTGTTTAATGTTTTAGATTAATTAATAAACTTGTTTCCATGCAATATGTGCAAACTCGATTTATATTATGGTTATGATTTTTTTGCCTTTTTTCCTTTATTTAATCATTATAAATTAAAATGAGTATATGCAGTGATCAAAGATGGCACATGGTAAATTGGCATTTTGTCTTAGAAATTTTTCTAAGAATGTTCTACATAGGTTCAATAATCCTTTAAAAATAGAAATGATTGATGGCTGCAGCCCAGTGGATTTGGATAGTGCCTGGAATAATGTAAAATTTAAACAAGGTTAAAAGCAGGTGACAGATAACTGGTACGCTTCCAAATTAATTCCCTATGCCTACTACTTTAATAAATGAACTGGGCAAGCTGCTAGGAGTAATTTTATAACAGGTCTTGTACATTCTCAAAATTTCATACATTCCTGCTAATCAGAAAAAAAAATAGCATTGCTACCTTAGTACATATAATTTTATACCTCTTCATATTAATATGAGCCAGCAGTGTGCTGCAGCTGCCAAAAAAGCCAACATACTTCTAGGCTGCATAAAGAGGGATAGAATCAAAATCACATGAAGTGTTAATACCACTTTATGCCTTGGTAAGATCACACTTGAGATACTGCATCCAGTTTTGGTCGCCACAATGTAAAAAAGATGTTGAGACTCTAGAAAAAGTGCAAAGAAGAGCAACAACAATGATTAGGGGACTCGAAGCTAAAACATATAAAGAATGGTTGCTGTAACTGGGTCTGTCTAGTCTTATGAAAAGAACTAGGGGGTGACACCATAGCAGTGTTCCAATATCTCAGGGGCTGCCACAAAGAAGAGGGAGTCAGGCTATTTTCCAAAGCATCGAAGGCAGGACAAGAAGCAATGGGTGAAAACTAATCAAGGAGAGAAGTAACCTAGAACTAAGGAGAAATTTCCTGACAATCAATCAGTGGAACAACTTGCATCCAGAAGTTGTAAATGCTCTAACACTGGATGTTTTAAAGAAGCAATTGGATAACCATTTATCTGAAGTGGTGTAGGATTTCCTGCCTAAGCAGGGGGTTGGACTAGAAGACCTCCAAGTTCACTTTCAACACTGTTAGATTCTAAATTCTAATCCTGTTTCAACCTAATCAGCCTCCACTGGCATTTTTAAAACGTGTGGCTTCAGTTTCCAAAGTTCTCAGCAGAGGTCATGCTGGCTATAGATTCTCAATAGTTTTAAGTCTATGGGATTTAATTTTACTTTAGCTAGTGTTATAATTTATAAATCATAGTTTTACCAGTTCCTTGATTGACTATATGCAATCAAGCCAGTACTGTTTCTTAGCAAAAACATAAGATTTTATTCATGTCAATTATGTCCCTAATCTTTCAGGTTTCCCAAAGCACTATCACCACTGTAACTGAGTCTATCTACCTTGCTGCTCTTTTTTCCTTCCACCTTTCCCAGCATTAAAGCCTTCTCCAGAGAGTTAGATCTTCATATAATGTATCCCGAGTAGGCTAATTTGAACCTGGCCACTTGTACTTGAGTGAGAAATGTGGGTTGATTTGATATCCATTGATTTGTTCTGAGTTGTCCATTGGATTCTCAGGAGTCTTCTCCAACACCAAGAGAAGAATGTCATCGCTTTTCAAGTGATTCTAGGTAATCATCCCTTAAATTATGTACCCACACCAGCTGATTTTTCTCTCTCTTAATTCTGTGCGCTTGCAGTAACAGGATAATTGTATTGGTCCCAGGTGAGATATTGAGAAAAGCAAAACAACATTCCCATTCTAATGTCTTGGTCTGGCATGGCTTATTTTTGGTAACTCATTATAGCCCCTGCCAAGCAGAAAATGTTCTAAATGCTTACAAAAAGGAATCTAAAATTTCCTTCTGTCTAGTTTTCCCTGGCATTATAGACACCATTCATGACTTTGTGAATACTAGATATCTGCCACTTTCCGTTATTACCATCGTAACAATTTTCTGTAAGTAGATCCATCCTATTTTTTCCCTTTCTCTGTTGCTATTTGCAAAAATCCTTTTTCACACCTTTTAGCTTCTCTTGTAAACAGGTATCTTTTGAAGAAGGAATGCAGTATTACAACTTCAGGAATGTTAAGGGAGATTCATTATGCAATGAACCCTTTTGACACTGAGCATTCAGCCAGTACTTTTTATCACATTCAATTCTCACAACGGGGATCTTCTGAGATGGGAGAGTTAACACTGTAGGGATGGCAGAAATCGGTTTTGCTGGGGATTGGTTTAAACAATTATTGTTGGACATAAGGCTATGCATGCAACCTTGTCTCTTATATTGCTCAAATTAACACAACTGAGATTTACTATCAATGAAGAATTGTGGCTCCCTCACTCCATCACATCTTTGAGATTTTCCAGTTTTTTGTTTTAGATTTCAAAGCCAAATTGAGAAACTCAGAAATTCCTATTGAATACACAGACTGCACATCCAAGATATGATACCCATCTTCCTTCTTATTGACTTAAATTTTCTAGGAAAGACTATTACAATTTTAGCAGGCATGTTTTTCTCCCTTATTAAGCAGTATTACTTAAAAATAGTAATTTGAAATAATTTGTAAGTTATGTTCAATTTCTCAATAGAGAAATTCTGAACGGGAAAAAGGAAACATAATTTTTATTACAGAAATCATGCCATTTTCTTAGAACTGACTGATTTGCTGCTTACAAAGTTATTTCTGCTCATTGTGATAACTTAAATCCTAACAACTTAGCTATCTCTACAATGTATGGCTACAAGAGAAATTTATTTTTATTTGTCAAACATGTATAAGATAACAGATATAAGTATAAACATGATTACGAATACAGAATAAGGATACGAATAAATGGGGACAGTAGGACAGGGACAGTAGGAACGTTGGTGCAGTTATGCACGCCCCTTACAGACCTCTTAGGAATGGGGTGAGGTTAACGGTAGACAGTCTAAAGTTAAAGTTTTGGGGGTTTAGGGAAGTAACCACAGAGTCAGGTAGAGCATTCCAGGCATTGACCACTTTGTTGCTGAAGTCATATTTTCTGCAATCGAGTTTGGATCTATTGTGTGCTCGTGTATTATTGCGGTTGAAGCGGAAGTAGTCATTGATAGGTAGGACGTTGTAGCAGATAATTGTGTACTATGCTTAAGTCAGACCAAAGGCGGCGTAGTTCTAATTGTCTAATCCCAAAATTTCAAACCTGATGGCATAAGGTATTCTGTTGTAAGCAGAGGAGTGGAGTACTCTTCTCATGAAATACCTCTGGACTTGCTCAATTATATTAAAATTCTAAATGCAAATTTTGAACCAGTGTGTTTCCTATTCCAGATCACCAGAAATCTGTAAGTTATTTTTGCTGAAGTTTTAAAGTTTGTAAAATCAGTCTTCCTCACCTATTTCTTAACCAAGGAAAGTGTGGCCACTGAATTCTATACCCTTAAAAATGGGAGGCAAAAAATGAAGAGAGGAGATGGTCTTAGCAAAGTAGTTATTTCCTCTCCAAATGATTTACATCTCCCTTGAAAACTATCTTCCTAATATCCCACCCTGATGCAACTCTTGAGAATTGCTAACTTCCCTATCTCAAAAGAATATCACTCGACAAGGCATATATCAAATAGTAGGCTTTAAGTGGCATCCTGTGAGGCACATGCCACAGAAGTATGCAAGGGGAGGGCAAAAAATTAAGTGAAAGCAGTTATTTTTATTCACTTTAACTTGGCTAGTATTATTATCATAACCATGCACTGGCTCATTAGAGAAATTTCACAAAGACACCCCCCCTCCAATTCTTGCAGACTACACTTTTCCAACTCTTAAAAATGTAGAAATAGCTAGTTAGCTAAAAAATCCAGGGTAATTCATTCCCTTGTGGATAATTCTAAACTGAGTACAAGTTTGGAAATTTTGCCAATGCAGTTAACAATCTAATTTGCTAAGCAAAACAGTGCCTTTTCTTCACTAAAGGTAACTGGGGATTATATGTCAAGTCTAACTACTGTAAGAAGATTGTAGTATCTATTTTTGTCCACTTCTTAAGATAAAACAAGAAAGAGAACAGTGAATGTATTCTTAATTGATTTCAGTGAAGAGTATGAAAGGAGAAGAATATTACTATCAAGCCAGCATGAATATAACCAGTCTTGGCCATAATTTAGTTTCTGTTGAAATTTAAGATTATGCAAGTTATTTTTTGATAAAAATGAACAGCAAACATCCATTTAATTAACAAATAAATATTAGAAGCCTGTCAAGAAAGCAATGCAATTTTTGGACTAATTTTTAATTATGCAAGTTATTTTTCATGAAATGAAATCTAAAAGTACATTCTAGATGTAAAAAGAAAAACAATAATCATGACAAATTGCTCTTTATTTTAATTGGAACTATACTCTTGGGGCAATATAGTTATCTTAAAAAAATCCTTTCGTCAGAAAGTTTGTGTAGAATACCTAAAAATCATGGAATGTCTATACTACCTACTGCTTAGTTAAAAGTGTTCAGGGCCACAGCCTCCATCAAATCTAGTCAGTCTGGTCAACAGAAATATGTAAAATGTAGTTCCAAAGTTCTGGAGAGTGTTTGGGGGTGAGAGCATAATCATCACAGAATCAAAAATGCCATTATCAAGTGTGGAAGTTACTGCCCCCAAACCCAAATGTAATTACTAAAATCTAATTTAAAAATGGTTCTGTTCAAAACTAAAACAGCCCTTATAAATATATAAGGAATAAAGATTACCAAATGCTACTCAAATGTGCTAAGTTCCTTCCATTTCAAAACTGGGCAACTTATTAGGTTAAATAGACTGAATCCACATTTGTCATAAAGGCACACAATGTCCAGCAAAAGCTAGTAGATACATAAAATATAGTAGACGGAAGAAAAGAGGTTCTGCTATATTGTGTAATATTTCACAGTAATTATTGCTGCACAATATTTTGAAAGTAGTATAAGCTGTATTAAAATTAAAAGCAAAAGTTATAAAGACTATGCTACATATTCATATATACAAACTATCGGTGCTTTACACAGATATTAAATGACTACTTTTTCTACCTGCTATAAAATTATGAAATCCACGGTTTGAAAAAAATTATTTCAATACCTCTGCCTTCAAACTTTATATATTAAAATAGCAATTGTTTTGTCAATTACAGCCATTTCAATAAAAACTTTAACAGTAAAATTACTATTGTTAAAGCTATGAATTTCTTATATTCCATAGCTATAGTTAAAAGATATGAATACAAAAATATAAAAAATGCATTAGTGCATATATACCATAGTTGATTTTAATTTCCATTTCTTATTAAAAAGCTAATTTAAAAAGCAATTTGAAGTATTGGCATCTTTTCCCTACGTAACAATATAAAAAGGCAAAATAACCTACTTTGAGGTAGTAATGCCAAGTTGTAAAAGTTGAATAGTTTCCTTTTTTCATAATGCATCACCATATTTAAATGAAGTCATTAACTCTTAAAATGTTTCACAATAATACAATACTTTACATTTTTTCAAAAATATGCAAATGGTTATAATTTAAAAAAATCTGAACCTTGAAAAACAATTCCATTTTACAGCCAAATATTGTAAAACAAACTCTTTCATGTTATAAAGGAAAGCTGCAGTGTAAAGCAATGGTTCATAGGGGGAAAAATACTTTTTTTCCAGTTTGTACAATATTTCACATTTTGCATTACTTTCTATTATCACTAAATAAAGCTCTAATGTTTTTTTACCACTAATATTTTCAAACCTGAGACATTCCATGAGAGTAGTACGGGACATTTTTATATATACCCCTACAACTGCACTGTGTACAACAACACTCAACTACAGACTTCAATATGTATGTTAGAATCTTGTCTAGAACTTAAATGGAGTCTGTTTTATCAGGCAGAAGAGTCATACAGTATATAATAACTCTGCTCTAACCTCTATCTGCCAAAATCCCCAAGGCAAGGGAATCAGGTCTGAGTAAGAACAAATATAATTTAGGAAGCAAGAAAATAGTAAAAGTTGCTTTCCACTGGTTCTTGGTATACTGCTAATTTATATGATGCTTTTTGACTAAGGTACTAAAATTATAAAGAAAATATTGGTAATTAAACCCTAAATTTGGTTTTCTTTTTTACAGGACAGAAAATGAACATTACTCATCAGATAACCAGTTTATAAAGCATACAAATTACTTAATACTTTTCATGCACTCTACAACTATTGTTTCTTTAAAAAAAAATACGTCACTTAAAATGGCAAGTGGTTAAAAGGTGATAAGGCTGCATCAATTAGATGGCTGGTAAAAAAATATGGAAATGCACTATCAAAATGTATTTTTAAGAACATCCAGGACAATTATTATATATTCCAAGTGCAAAGGTAGGAGGTATGATGTCTACACCAAAGGTTTCTTGCTGAGACTCTGTATCTTGCATCAGGAGTCGCTCAATAGATGTATGGAAATATGCGGTACGGTACACGTTGGCAGTATTTTTCCCATGCCAAACCGTATTTTTTCTTACATTGGTGTTCATCACGGGCTTCTCGGTGAATAAGCAAACCAGTAAAATATATGACATAGAAATATGGTAAAATATGATTGAATCCTATAAAAAAATATAAAGTATCATTACTTTTTCCTCATCCCATCAGTTGTAATATAATTGTAAGCGCAAAAATATATACAAAAATGTAATGCGAAGTATTAAAATATTTTAACTGCAATTAAAACTAGTTAATTAAATAATTAAGACATATAAAATATTAATGTAGGTGTTTTTTTTTTTAATTATTGAAAGTTTGAATCATTACAAATGTATTAAAAATGCATAATTTTTTTTCTTTTGGTATTATGTTTAATAAAAATATAGCAAAGGAATATTGCCATGAAAGACTATCACATCGTTTATTGTATAGCTCTTTATTTTTCAATTATATTCGTTTTCTATGAAAATTCTCTTATTTTCAAGCATTTTATTACGTATAAATCTTTGGTAGTGAGAATCGTATATTACAGTCAGTAACTATCACTCCACCAACAGAATAGAGATTCAAAAGAAACAGGAAAAGTGTAAGGTAAAATTACTTTATTAACTTACCACAAGGTAAGGACCAAGCCAGGGCCATAATGATATCACCTAAATAATTAGGATGACGCACAAAACCCCACCAGCCAGATACAAGGAGGTTTTTTCCCGTTGCAGTAGGAATAACATTCAAATCTGAATAATAGACATACAATATATATATATAAAATGCAGTAGAAAATATACCTATGAATAAATAGTATGTAGAGTATTGATAAAAAACCAGTAGGTCTAAACACTACTTACGAGCAATTTTTGGATCCTTTGGATTTCTTCTAAATAAATTCTTTTGTGAGTTGGCAGCACGGAAAATGTAATACCCAACAACTTGGAAAAAAAATAAAGTACTGATTATAAGATGATTTATTATTTATTGTCACTTCACAAGAATAATGATAAGGGTAACATTTATAAGATGCATATATTTTTCAATTCTATTATCTCTAAATTCAGTCTTTAGCAAACGAAGATTCTTTTACTAATACATCATCAATATTCTACACCATACCCTAGCAGGTAACACAATGCACAATTCTTAATTTATACAAAAGATGGAATCCATATTGGTTTTCCGTATATCTGTTCCCCCTTTACTGCATTTCCTTCCCTTTCCTTTTTCCTTCCCTTCCCTTGTTTAGAAATATTTTGAGGACGATGGGGGCCGCAGGAACTGAAAATTTCTATTGCAATTCTACACGATAAAAATGAAGTGATAAGTATTAAAATGTAAAGGTTAAAATTTGAATAATGGGATACTTGCATCTTTCTACATTCTTTATTGTATCATGTCAATTATATTCCCATTTTAGGATTGAGTATACTTCCAAGCTAATTATTATGACAAATGTTTTTATAAAAAAGTATTTATACAAAAATATTTCACTATCAATCTAAACAATTCTTTAAAATATGAATATTGTAATCACAGAATTTAGAAAATAACGTCATCTAAATCAAGGGTGGACTTTTATTATTGTTAGATTATAACTTCCACAATAATTTGCAACTGACATAAGGTAGAATTTGGATATATCATCTTCAAGTTCACAATTTCCTCAATCTCATAATATCTCATCTTTTGTTGACCCTTTGTATAGTATTATCATGATTATTCCATTTCTTTCTCAGTAGGGAGAAAGAAATCTTTTGTGCTGCTCTATGCAATAATGCAAAATAATACATTCCTATCATTAAATCATAACTTACTATTTAGAATTACAATGGCAGAAGCTGCAGGCCATGAAATCTCATTTGGATTATTCACTAAATAGAATGCTTGTAAACTGTAGAGAAAGGGAACCCATACTAAGTCTCCAAATGCTAGCATGAATCCAAACCCCTCGTTTGTGATGTCCATTGTTGTTAAAATTGCTTCCTAAAATATTAACAAAAGAATATTCAATTACTTAGTATTTAGATAAGAAACTTTCAAAGCAGCTATTACCAACTTTGCTTCTTTAAATACATGCCCCATTACACAGCACCTTTTACAAGGATACATTTTAAGCTATTGAGAAGAATTCTGAATTCACACTTCTCTAAATAAATACATTTATTTATAGTTCCCATTTAGTAGGTTATTACTGCCTTCCAAAAAAATCTGTCTCTGCTACAATGTATGTGTCTAAGGCAAAACAACTTTCTGATCATGTAACTTTTAAAAGATATATTATTATAGCCTTTTCTTGTAGAGTCAATTATTCTAATAGTGAACTCAAAGGACTTAGTGTAGAAATTTGAGACAAAATTGGGCTAATTAGCAAATAAAAGAGATATTTCAGTAAGTTTCAATTATTTTTGAGATGTCTGGAAAGTAAAGTTTTAAAACTTCCTAAACAAAGATAGTCAGCAATTGGGCAGCTTTCCAATGATGAATCCAAGTTCCCTAAAGGGTAAAGCAAAAATACCCCCTTTTAAATGGTTCTGGGTTATGAATAAAAGGAAGAATGGTAAACATTCATCTCTTAGAAGTCACACAATAGAAGAACTCCTATTCCCATCATTGTTTTCACAAATATGACTCCAAAATGATGCTGTTGAAATTCAGCCACAGCCTGGTTTGGGCATCAGTGTGCATGTCAGTGTGGGAATGGATATGGATTAACTCATTCATACTTGTTTAAAATAACAAAACAACAACCCCAAACAGAAACTAAACTTTCCCTCCTTAAAACAAAAACCCTACCCTCATCATTCATTTGCCTATTGCCTTTCAGCAATACAATCTCAAAACTCCTATAAGAACTAGTAATGGAACAATGAAGGGCTGCATATGGTCTCTGAGTTGCCCATCCCTGGCTAATAAACAGGAAACATTCTCAGTGCTTTCTGGGTGCCACAGAAATTTACCTCCAAGTGGAGTTATTGTATGTGACACGTACCTACAGTAGAAATAACGAAGTAATTCTTAAAGGAGCCTGCTTTGCAGTTTGAAAAAAAAGATGCTTCATCTGTGCTCTGGCTTGTTGTAAAATATTTTCTCTGAATGCATTGCGTAGCATAATTAACATAATTATGCTACGCAATACTTTGCGTAGCTAACATAATTTTTAAACTGAATTCCTAAAACTTGAATATATTCATCACTTTTTTTAGATGCTAAATTATGGCCATCTTGCCCAAAGACTTTGCCCAATTTGATTCATCTAGTTAAAAATGAAGCTCTATAAGGGTTTATAAAGAACAGCAAATATACAAAATATGGATAAGTGCATACTAATTCTTCAAGGTTTAAATTCTAGTAAAACTCGGTATCACTTCAGATTTTCACTAAGTTTTTAGTTCCTTGTAGTCTTCAAATCCATTTGTGGGCCTTGGGGTATCTATGGAATAGATTATGAATCTAGTTGTAGAAGGAAGAGAAAATTATTACCCCTTCTCTGTTAGTTTGTGTGGAGTAGCAGTTAAATGGTTGGATTACAATAAGGAAGATGAAATTTAAGCCCATGTTCATCTATGGAAGTTTGCTGAAAGATTCTACGTTAATCACTATCTACTTTACAAGCTTGTATATCATATTGAATTTTTGGAAAAAAGATATATAAACCTTATAACCACAGTTTTAAAAATTAACAATAATTCATTCAAGAACTATCAATTGCTAGATTACCTCATTCCAAAGAGCATCTACTACATAGATGAGCTGGAAACTATTAACAAGTATCATTGACAAAGAGGGCGTGTTCCGATCTTGCACTTTCATCTCAGCGAAAAGCATGGCCAAGTTAACAAGAGCCTTTGGAAAAATTAAATTGCATGTTACCCACTTTTATCCTTAAAAGTCTACAATGATCTAATTCAGCCGATATCATATAATGTAGACTGAATATTTCAAATGGCACCCTCCTCTTCACAGAAAACAATTCAATTATATTTTAGTACAATATTATGTATTACATGCCCATTTGTAGTTAGCTTATCTAGGAAAACTTCCAAAGTTATACATTTTTATCCTTGTTGCAACTATAATGCTGCCATAATATATTTTCCACTACTTTGCCCATTTCTTCCTTATCTCATTTTTTATTTTACTTATTATTGTGTAATGTGCAACAAGAGAGTAATACTCACCCAACCAATTAGCCCTGGTCGTAACTCACAGAAGTATTTCAGATCAAAATTTCCAATGCGAGGATTTAATTCATGTCCCATAAAAAAATCATAAAAGATATTCCCTACAAATAAGAATATATGCATGGTTCCTATGAATTTTCTGCCGATAGCCCCATAATAGGTTATAAAACAACAGAGGAATAACAAATAATTGGGGTTATTCTATTCTGAAATTTATTTTCCAATATTATTTTGACTTACCAGAATTTCCTCCATGGGATAATTCATACTCAGGTGCTTTCAGAGAACGGGCATAGAGATAAATGCTCAACAATAAACTAAAAATTGTAGCACTGACAGCAAATTGCAGGAAGTGGTCATATAAATAATAAAACTCCATTTCAAAATATAGAGAAATTCCAACAGCTATAGCTGTTAGGATAAAACTGTAGATTCCTTAAAAAAGAAAAGAAACAACAAATGAGACACGCTTTTTCAAAAATAGTAGGACAGGTACTATGATATAATAGCTTGCCACCAAATTTTCTACTGTAATTTTGATGTGGGGGAATCAGATCATTTCCAAAATCTGCTTGGAACTTTATGCAGTCCATTGTCCATCTGTGACATAGTGTCGTGTCTGAAATGACACCATTCTTTGTAACTGGCTAGAGAAATAAGAAATGCATGGCTGGAGAAATGAGTAAACATGGTTGCTCATACATCTCAGTTCAAACAAGATATCCAAAGAGCAATCATTATCTATCCCTCTTGTGATTACAGTAAACAAGCTGAAACAGGGCCTGTATATATCAAATCCCCAAACAATGGTTTGGAATAGCAATAGGACTCAACCAATTATTTCTCAGTTAAATCAGAGACAATGGATTATCATTGCAGGATGTATTGCAGCCTACCAGAAACATCCTAGACACTCCCACTACCATCAATACATATTAACAGGCTCTGTGTGACTGAATAGAGATTATTCATTCTGCAGTTGCAGAGAAAAAAATAAAATATTTTTTAAAAATAATTAACGGTTTGAGTACCATCATTTAGATTAGATTTTATAAGGACAATGTATGGCTCACTAATATCAAAATAATGTGATAAATAATAAAATCAATAGCCACAATTTATCTACTGTGTTTCCCCAAAAATAAGATCCTGTCTTATATTTTTTTAATGCTGAAATAAGCACTTGGCCTTATTTTCAGAGAGGTCTTATTATTTTGGGGCGCATGGAGCAAGACGGGGATCCTCTTGCCATCTTACCTGATTTCCAGCTCTGTCTCCCTAACCCTAACCTGAGGAAATGGCAGGGATCAGCTGTGCATGCATTTAAATATTTTTGGGGAGGGCTTATTTTTGGGGAGGGTTTATTTTTGGGGATGCGCTCAAAAGCCCAATTGGGCTTATTATCAGTGGATGTCTTGTTTTCAGGGAAACACGGTATTTATTTAGCATATGGCATATCATACATGGACTTGCAATTCACCTAGATTTTTAAAAAGCACAATAAAATATGAATGTTAAAAAGATATATATTTAGATACCAATGCCTAGGCAATCTAACCATTAAAGTGCAACATTGTTTATATGAGAAAAATCAGACAGATATAACACTCAGATTACATCTACAGTTTGATCTACAGTTTGACGTGGGACCCTGCAATCACACTGAGGAGAGGATACTATGCCCCATTGAGTCCCAGCATACAACATGTCAGATGCAAATTCTATTCAGGATTGTCCATTGCTGCCGGGAAAGTTCAAAGCCTGGCACCTTTTGCATGGGGTTATTTATATGTCCTCCTGTATCTGGACATTCAGTAACTCATTTGGCTTTCCATTGGGAATCAATGTCAAAGCTGTTGAGCAGAAGTTGTGCAAGTGCTAATAGCCACAACAGTTAACTTTTTAACAGTACATGTAATTTATTCATTGATAAATTAAAATAAATAAAAGATTAAAAATATATCTGCCTGCCACCAAAAAGCAACACAGTTGGCCATACATATTTCACCAGGGATACCATTTCAGAATTGGGACATTATAACTGAAAAGACCCATCCCTGAATAACTATTTGTTATACCTCAGCATGGGAGAAAACTCAGAATAAAAGTTCTGAAGATAATTTTAGATATGAATAGTAAAACATGGGAATATTCTGTAAGAGATTCTGGTAGCATCTTTTCAGATGAACAAATTTTATTAAAAAGTACTAACCCTTCATAAGGTATGACTTAATTCATTTAATGTGTGGATAATAAAATGATATAGGATTTAAATCTGTTAAGATATATTGATCCTAAGCAAGGCAGGGTTTTGTCATTTAATACAAGAATGTTGAGTTGAGATCAGGAGCTCGAGAGTAAAAATTGCAATATGTAACTGAAATACATGTACTAATTGTATCAACATCAGATTAGTAAATTCCAAAAAAACTGTAAATACAAATTTACCATTTATTCTATACTCCAGCCTAATTCCATTCCAAAGTGGTACCCCTTCCACAATCTGAAAAGAAAAATATATCTTCACCTAAAATATTCACATTTTCGTAGATCATGCAATAGTAAAAGAAATAATAGGATTGTTAAAACTCACCCATGACCCCCACCAACACACACTTGATATAGGAAGCAGAACTCTGAACAATACTATGAAATTTGTGCTTTCACCAATATAAAACAAAAAGTAACCACAAGTAGTCCTCAACTTACGACCAATCGCTGAGCCCCAACTTTTTTGTTGCTAAGTAAGTTAAGTGAGTTGTGCCTCATTTTACAACCATTTTTGTCACAGTTAACAAATCACTGCATCGTTAAGTGAATCATGCAGTTATTAAAGCAAATTGGGCTTCCCCCACTGAGTTTGCTTATCGGAGTTGGCTGGGAAGGTTACAGATGGTGATCACATGACCCTGGGACAGTGCAACTGCCATAAATACATGCCAGTTGCCAAACACCTGAATTCTGATCATGTGACCATGGGAATGCTGCAACGGTCGTATTTGTGAAAAAAGGTCATAAGTCACTTTCCCACTGCTATTGTAACTTCAAACAGTTCCTACCTAAACAAATGATTGTAAGTCAAGCACTACCTGCACTAGATCTTTCCATTCGGTTATAAAGACCATCTGAAAAAAGACTAGAACTACTGCATCCACCACATTCTGAAGGAAGAATGGCATTTTGTTTAGCATCCAATCCCTTGAATCTAGAGGTTTTATTCTACAGGAGTGTCCCCAAATAGAATTCCAACCAGAATTTGGTAGAAAAGAATGAAAGCCTTGCCTACTCCCTTTTCCTTCAGCTGACAGATCCATTCTATACATTGGATGATTTGTAGAATTCTATTCAATATTTCACAAGAAGAATCATTACCCTGGAAGAAAATGTGTAACAAAAGCAATCTATAAAACGCTCATTAAATAAGAAAGGCAAAATTAAAACAAGAACCCGCTACCAACATATACCCTTGGAACCTGAGACATTAGCTCTTCTTTTCATCTCATGTAACCATTTTATAATGGGAGAGTTATGTAGTATAACATTTATACTACATAAAACAGGGTTTTTAAAAATGCTAATTTAGAAGTATGAAGTTACAATGCTGTTTTATAAAATAGATTTTAAAAAATCAAATTTCTACTTCCAGAAGTTTTACCTTTCCTATTGGCAGTAAGTAAAATAGGGCTTGGAGAAAGAACCAAAGAAGAAAGACACCAAACACTCTCGTCTCCCATAAATTTTGGAAAGCTGGTAGTGGAGGAGGAAAATTCAGAAGGCTGGGGTCTTTCTGTGAGCACATTAGCAACAAGCAGAACACAGTTCCAGGCAGAAGAAATATCATAAAGAAGGCACCTTAAAAAAAAGTTATACAATTATTAGAATCAATTCAATTCCAAGGAAGCTTTCCAGCAAGAAAGATAACTGATATCAACTAAAACAGTAGCTGTATCTACTCTTATGTTCAAAATCATTTTCTCTATTGATGTGAATGGAGAGTTTAAAACTTTAGTTATGCATCAAAGGCTCCAGAGTATATGAATCTATAGTTTATGACTTTCAAAACTAGCATACCGATTTTTCCTCCAAATACCAGTTCTTTTGTCTTCCGGCATACTTTTTCAATACTTTTTGGTGTTTCAAAATTTTTCTCTTCTTCATATATCTCCTCTCTTTTCTTCTCCTCCTTTCTAGAATGCAAATTATATCGTTCCAGAATGCGTTCTCTTCTTCGCTCAGACTCAATTCTTTGCCGCTACACACAAACAGCATAAGGGGGAAAAACAAATTGTTATCATCATTAGTATGTACTAAAGAACCCTCCTCAGGTCAATCATCGCTCTCATTTGATTTTGTTGTTGGCCATTATTTCCAAGTCCATTTCTTGGATTGGGAGTCCCTGCACTCAGCCACTCAAGCAAGCCCCTGGTCATCTCATGCCCTCTACATGGAGCTATTCTTGAAGAGTATTTGGAAGCTAAAACTGGTGTAAAATGTGGTAGCAAGGTCAATTCTTGAGGCCCATGGGGTGTGTATGTCCATGTTACATTTTTCCAGCAAGCCGGGCTGGCTTAAGAAGAAATTTTTAAATGTTTTAATTGGTTTGTGATTTTTAATTTTTGGGCCAAATTTATATATATTTCAATTGTTTTTTTACTATTTGTATTTCATGTTCTTAATTCTGGCTGTACACCGCCCTGAGTCCTCAGGGAGAAGGACGGTATATAAATTGGAAATACAAATACATACATCATTGCTGCCAATTTGCTTCTGGGTACAATTCAAGGTGTTGGCTATCGCTTTTGAAGACCTTCATGGTATGGGCCCACACTATCTGAGGAACCGCTCAATGGGACTGACCAACCTCACCCATGCTGCCAGAAAAGGCATGCTGCAGATCCCATCAGTCAAAAAAATTCATCATATTTCATATTTTATACCTCTAAAGTGGCATGAGTAGAATAATTCACTTCTGTGATATCTGGCTCTCCATTATACTGATTTGTATTATTTTCATGCAGCCTCTGGATTGAGAAAAACAGGATATTTTAAAGAGAAATTATTTTATTAATCGTTACAATTAAACTTTGTAGTTATTTATATATTATTTATATTTATATTATATAAATATAATAAATATTAAGTATAGACATGAAAGGAAACCAGATTTATGGACGATGAATAAAGATTTGAATCATATTATTTTAAGCTTTTTTTGTACTAACAATTATAGAAAATACTCAAAAATGCACTAATAATAAATTCGATTACCCTTTGGTTGGTAACATTACTAACATGCAAAAACACAAATTAACATTCAATTTATTGGCAAAACATAAAATCCAAACTTCTATAACAACTTTTAACAGTTTGTTTTAAAATGTCTTAGATACCAAGATGCTTTTCCATGGGGGGAATGGTTCTGCAATTTCTGCAAGTAAATCCTCAAAACTGGAAGCAATTTGAAGTATTCTGTTAATATTCTAACCCTGAAACAAGCCTATTTCATCAGAAACATGTCCCAAACAATTTGATCTGATTCCATTTCTGAGAATATACTTCCAGAAACTTCAAACTACTCTCAGAACATTCTTTACTCTATAGATTGATCTGAGCTGGTGTTTTGTTTTGTATCTTAGTCTCTCTGCCTATATTGTATGTGTGCCTGATATGTACCTTGAAGATTTATAGCTAAAGTCTGAAGGAATCATAATAGTTTCTTGCCCCTCTCCATTGTTCTCAACACATTTAATTCTTTAACCTTAATAGACATGATAAATGTCTTAAGATTATTAATATAAAAAAAGTACTATAAAAAGTTTTATCTTTAAAATTATGTGATGCAGAGTATGTGCAACATTGGCAATCTGGGGCCAAGACATTTAGAGTATTACAGAGCATTCTATTTCTCTCCAAACCACTTAGCGATGGAAATTCTGGTCCCAATTGCTACTTAAGGACTACCTGTAAACCATTTCTGCTAATGAAAACTGGATCAATTAAAAGGTTTTTAAGATAAAAATATTGTACTGGTATCAAAGAGTGATACATGTCCAAATACACTGCTGCTCTGGTTAGAAGTCAATGCAGGAATCCAAAGTGTTTCAATAGCATAAGGGCATCCAATCTCTTCCTAGAATAGGATGCTGTCATTGATGGTACATCTCTTCCCTATGGAGATGATTGGTAGGAATCTCTGGCGTGTTACTGAGTCTTTTGTCGTTTCAGTGAAACCTGCATTTGCTTAAATAGTTTTGAAACCCTCAAAAACTTAAATTCAGATCTGGGGACAAATAGGGCTAAATGCAACCTTCTTGGAGGTTTTCAATAGAGCAGAACAGAATAGAAAACAGAATAATTTATCTCACCAAGTGTGGTTAAATACACAAGGAATTTGTCTCCAATATAGAAGCACAACTTGTTTTCAGTTAAAATTTCACATGCTTTGAAAAGACTTTTTTCCCTGATCACAGGCAAGCAATGACACAGTTGACATTCTAATTCTTATATTATCTCCTGTCTAGGACATATAAACCTCTAGCTGTAAATTGAACACTATCTAACCTAGAATCAGCCAGAGGACTGCAGCCTTTCCCTAATTATTGTTTCTTTGTCTGATCTCACCAAGAATGAAATCAAACAGCTGTTTCAAGTACAGAATGAAAACCTGGCAAAAGAGGTGGTATGGATGCTCTGCTATCTCCTGCAGAAGCTTTTCTGAGAAAGCTATCATCAAGCTTTTCTGAGAAAGCTATCATCAGATGACCAGCTGTCATCGGAGTGTTTTGAAATATCTTTTCCATCCTGAATAAATTTGCTATAGTCGCCAAGAATGCTAAGAGAGTGTTTATGAAGGGAACCTGAGAAAATCAAGGACCTTCAACTGGAAAATGCATAGATCCAAAGAATTGGACTTATCCATTCAAATATTAATATTTTACCAAAAACTTCCAAAAAGGAAAACAGAAAATCCCAAGCCATCTTAATGACTCAAGCTTTATTTTGAAGAAAGAAAACTAGCATTTTGGAACTGTATAATTGTATCTGGTCAATTGTCAATATCCTCCTTGGCCAGTGACTTTCTTCCTTTCTGCTTGCAGGAATGAGGAAGGCAGAACCATCACAAAATGAATGTGGGACATGAAAGCTAAGCAGACTTGTGCTCCAGAAGGGTGAAACCAGTGGATTTGTTTTTAAGAGACGGAGGAATATTGCTACTGTAATCATAAAGGTTGAGGAAGAAACCTGTGACACTTACATGCTGTTTATCTGTAAATCTGACCTCTGCACCCTGAACTAAAGAGTAATGCTAAAGCCAAAAAGAGAAATGGTAAATTTCCAGGATTTTTGCTACCAAGATGGAAATCATTAGAATTAACTTTTGATTCTCCTCCAACTTGAAAAGTGAAGTTTCACTTCACTTTTTTTTTGGGGGGGGGGGGGGCAGATTTTCCACAATTATATGCCTAATTATATGCCTAATGAGCCGAGGTGGTGCAGTGGTTAGGGTGCAGTACTGCAGTTACTTCAGCTGATTGCTAGTTCAGCAGATCAGCGGATCAAATCTCACCGGCTCAAGGTTGACTTAGCCTTCCATCCTTCCAAGGTGGGTAAAATGAGGACCCAGATTGTTGGGGGCAATATGCTATTTAGTATACTGTCTTTGGTGTAAGCCACCCAGAGTCCTCAGAGAGTGGGCGGCATAGAAATATGAATAATGAAATAATAAAAAATAAATAAACTCAATTTTAGTATTCCAGATGAAGCAGGTTGCTCCTGATCCTAAGTGATGAAGAGATAAGCTATCTAATCTGCCTAGGTTGTGTCCAATCAAGTTCCCTAGAGAAGCATTTGTTTCTGACTGAAAGAAGCATATGGTATGTAGCCAACATTTCTGCAATACAGCTAGTTAAATATTTTTGAGAAGAGAAAATACACCAAGGCAGGTGATTCTACCAATGCATTTGAATTCATTCCCTTTGGAGTTCTTTAGAAACAATATTTCTTTTTTCCAAGATTTCTATTTGTTAGAATGTTGCTCCACAGTGCTTAAATCAAATCTTTATCACAGTTACAAAGACCAGTAATGCTAAACGTTCTCTAGCCTTACTCTACTTAATGGAGCATTCTGATATAAATGAGAACATTAGAACAATAAAACATTCTTTTATTGCAACAATGCTTGAAGATTTTTCAGTAAAAAAGCCCTAAACTGAAGCATAGCTACTACTGAGCCATATTTTCCTGTACTTCTCATTAATGTCAATAGTAGTTGGACAATGTCCAAATATAATGACATATAAATACATACTTTTATGTTCAGCAACATGCTGTACTAAACTCCATCATCTTACTCTCATTTTGATGAACTTTTCAGGTACTAGTGAACTGCGACAAATTACTTGAGTTCTTCATAGGTATGCACAAAATCCATAATTTCAGAAATGGAACATCCTGGAAAGTTCTGAACTAATCTCTTCTAACCCATGCCAGTCCAGCCATCCCAGGAGTAATTAGGCAGTTTTCATGAATGGGAGGTTCTGTATATCCCAAGTTCTTATAGAATCTTATCATGTATTGCTTCTTTGGTTTAACCAAAGTAGAATGAACATATCACACAATCATCTAAGTAACTTAAGTATCAAATTTTAGTTAACATAGTTTACAGCTATTGTTAGTATTGATTAGGTATAACAATAGGTGCAACTGTAGAGCATGGATTGCCTTGTAACAAACACATGCAACAAAAACTGAGAAGTTGCAGGAAAGTGTAAGTTCCTGAAGTAATAATACCTTACCTCCCTTGGAAAACTACCAAGTAGTTCTTATCATTTTCACAGATGCATGCTCTATTCCAATTCATTCCAACCCTTTCATGTATTAAATTGAAATGTAAACAAATTACATTTCTAAATATCTTTACCATATTTTCCTTCAAAATAAGTATTTTCAATCAAAAACTACATCAGGACATTTGAAAAATACTGAAAGTCAACATGGTTACATATTTCAATCTGTATAAGTTTTAAGAGCCTATGTCTGAGTAGGTTTTTTTAAAGCAATTAAACTGATTTTAAAGGTATCCTTAAAGCTGCATGGCTTTATGACAAATAGATTTTACTAATTGACAACAGATTAATAAAATTGCTGTTATCTCCCATATTTTTTTAGTTCATCTTGATTTGGAAAGAAGTGTACCTAGATAAAGTTTCTACTTCATTACACCTAAGTTTTAGCAACATATAAATAACTAATGAACATAGTTTTTAGATCAAATTGATGAACGATTTAATTAAATCTAAAGGAATTCAAAGCAATAGAAAACAAAACATGAATACAGCTTTGTAATGCAACCTCCCCACCATAAGAATCAAGAGAGATCAAATCAAATACCAAAGGAGTCAGATTAGGTTCCACAATATTATTTTCATTTTTTGGTTCTCTGCTTCGTGAGGAAGAACGACGTTTGTGTTTTGCTGGTCGACCAGGTGAACGAGATCTAGAGCCTGATCTAGATCTGCTACCACTGCGTCTTGATGGAGAACCTGAGGAAGAGCTGCTTTTTCTAAATCGAAAAGATGACACAGACTAGAAAAAAACAATTAAATAAAATTATTCTATTACAGTTTAACCAGCTAACAATAAGAATTGATATCTATATTTTCATTTAAAAGTGGCACATTATTTTAAATAACTCAAGTTCCAGAAGCATTATCTAAAAGAATTAATATAATAAACTGATAGGAAAATGCAACAACTGATTCAGAAAACATGATTTCTAATAACTTTGGCAATATATAAATAATATATTGATTATACATCTAGAGTATAAGACGCTCCGGACTATAAGATGCACCTACCTTTTTTGGTGAGGAAAACAAGAAAAAGAAATCTGCCTCTGCCTCCCAGTAATTTTGCCTCATTGCAGCAAACAGTCTGCTTTACTTTCATTTTCATTTTCAGCATAGCTTGATTAGCACAAGAAAAAAAAATCTGCTCCCAGTAATTTACCTCCTTGCAGCAAGCAGCAGAGGCCCGCGCAGCAATAGGCAGTGGCAATCCCAGCAGCCTGAAACAGCCGAGAGTCAGAAGGCTGATCCAATGGACAATCAACTTGTGCTAATTAGGCTGTGCTGAAGCTGAAACAAAGTTTTATATTGTCATATTTCACTATGTGATTCCAATATTTAACAAAGATCTGGTATACAGTGGGGCAAAAAAGTATTTAATCAGCCACCAATTGTGCAAGTTCTCCCACTTAAAAAAACGAGAGAGGCCTGTAATTGTCATCTTAGGTAGACCTCAACTATGAGAGACAAAATGAGAAAACAAATCCAGACAATCACATTGTCTGATTTGGAAAGAATTTATTTGCAAATTATGGTGGAAAATAAGTATTTGGTCACCTACAAACAAGCAAGATTTCTGGCTCTCACAGACCTGTAACTTCTTCTTTAAGAGGCTCCTCTGTTCTCCACTCATTACCTGTATTAATGGCACCTGTCTGAACTTGTTATCAGTTCAACAACCTGTCCACAACCTCAAACAGTCACACTCCAAACTCCACTATGGTGAAGACCAAAGAGCTGTCGAAGGACACCAGAAACAAAATTGTAGATCTGCACCAGGCTGGGAAGACTGAATCTGCAATAGGCAAGCAGCTTGTCTGCAAGCAGCAGAAATCAACTGTGGGAGCAATAATTAGAAAATGGAAGACATACAAGACCACTGATAATCTCCCTCAATCTGGGGCTCCATGCAAGATCTCACCCCGTGGGGTCAAAATGATCACAAGAACGGTGAGCAAAAATCCCAGAACCACACAGGGGAACCTAGTGAATGACCTGCAGAGAGCTGGGACCAACGTAACAAAGGCTACCATCAGTAACACACTATGCCGCCAGGGACTCAGATCCTGCAGTGCCATACGTGTCCCCCTGCTTAAGCCAGTACACGTCCGGGCCCATCTGAAGTTTGCTAGAGAGCATTTGGATGATCCAGAAGAGGATTGGGAGAATGTCATATGGTCAGATGAAACACAAAGTAGAACTGTTTGGTAGAAACACAACTCGTTGTGTTTGGAGGAGAGAGAATGCTGAGTTGCATGCCAAGAACACCATACCGACTGTGAAGCATCATGCTTTGGGGCTCTTTCTCTGCAAAGGGACCAGGACGACTGATCTGTGTACAGGAAAGAATGAATGGGGCCATGTATCGTGAGATTTTGAGTGCAAACCTCCTTCCATCAGCAAGGGCATTGAAGATGAAACATGGCTGGGTCTTTCAGCATGACAATGATCCCAAACACACTGCCCGGGCAACGAAGGAGTGGCTTCGTAAGAAGCATTTCAAGGTCCTGGAGTGGCCTAGCCAGTCTCCAGATCTCAACCCCATAGAAAACCTTTGGAGGGAATTGAAAGTCCGTGTTGCCCAGCAACAGCCCCAAAACATCACTGCTCTAGAGGAGATCTGCATGGAGGAATGGGCCAACATACCAGCAACAGTGTGTGCCAACCTTGTGAAGACTTACAGAAAACATTTGACCTCTGTCATTGCCAACAAAGGATATATAACAAAGTATTGAGATGAACTTTTGATATTGACCAAATACTTATTTTCCACCATAATTTGCAGATAAATTCTTTCCAAATCAGGCAATATGATTGTCTGGATTTGTTTTCTCATTTTGTCTCTCATAGTTGAGGTCTACCTATGATGACAATTACAGGCCTCTCTCATCTTTTTAAGTGGGAGAACTTGCACAATTGGTGGCTGACTAAATACTTTTTTGCCCCACTCTCTTCATTTAATGACCCCCAATTGAACAGACTTTGGATTTTTTAGACCTATCAGATCTGGATAGCTGTTATATTTGGTACTGTGCGGCCCTAGTCAGTTGGTCTGTTTACTATCTCCAAGAGATTCTCTGATTTGTAGATTGGCCTAATCTATTAGGTTGGGTGACTGTTCTAGCTCTGAAGTTCCCAGCTTAGAAACTCATATTTCATTTGACTCCTTAACTCTGACATGTCTTATCAGCTACCAGATCAATTTTTTCCTCATATACAAAACATATTTTTCAAATCAAACATTCCATTTGTTGTGTTAGAGACATTTAACTTGAAAAGACACCCTTTTGTCTATCGGGATGTTAAATCTGGGTTTTGCTATACTGAACAGCTAAAATTCTTATATAAAAAAATAGAACTGATTAGAACATTAAATTTAATTTCCTTAGAGTTGCTAAATAGATTGAAAACCAAAAATAGCCATAAGATTTTTTCTCAACTGAAATTCTTTAGTTCATCAGTTTTGTGACACTAATCAACATACATTCAGAATCTAGTCCATTTGAGGGGGTGGGGGGTGGGGAGGGTGGGAAGGTGCTTCAAAACTTTGCAAGAATCAAATGCAAAGTCAGTAAACCTATATATAGTAACAATTACTAGACATCTGCAGATTTTAAAATGCCTCTGGAAAGCAACTGAACTAATCCCAAAATGATGTGCTTCAGATTTACAGTTAAAGCAACTGAACATCTGTAAACTTTCAAATACAGAGATTAACTCCCATCATATATGACTTCAAACAAACTTATAGAATACAACATTAACTATAGAATCAGAATTTGTCTACACTTTGCTTCACAAAAAAGAAACACTTTTAACATCGTGATACTTTAAAGAAATAATGCTTCCAGAAGAATGTACGTATGGTTAGTATTAGCAGGAGAAATTCTGATGAATTTAAACTTGGACAGAAGGAAGACAGCAGGCAACAGTCACAGAAGCTTGCTCCCTACGACTCTTCTTTCCCTGCACATAGGGCCATAACTACCAACTGCTTTGTTGGACTGATTCTAGAAATTTGTCAATATTTATTGTATTTTATAGCATGTTAGCTGTTTTGGGAGCATTATCATAAAATAGGGAAAGATAATAAATAAACAAAGAAACTTAATTTTGGGAAATGATGCAAAATTGTTTTATAAGTGACAAAAGCTTCACAAGAAAGTTAACCAAAATTTTATATATTTACTGATTCCGAAGGTTGCTTACCCTCATATCATTTTCTTTCAGACTAAGTTCAGTTCCATCTTCATATTTAACTGTATAAAGATGTGTATGTTCATCATAACTGATTACTTTTACTTCATAGTATAACACACTTCCAGGCCATCGGCCCATTACCACTTCTTCATCTGCAAATTTTCTCCTGGGCATTTTTCAACCAATACTAAAAAAAAAAAAAAAAAAAAGTATATGTATGCATGGAGTAATACATTAAATTTCTGTTTTAAAAACTGTGGACATTCAAGTTCTATCTTAACTTCTGTTTGGTAGTTTGGAAAAATAAAGTTATATTTTGAACAGTAGGCCACATAAAAATCAAGCAAATAAATCAGTATTCCCTCCGATTGAATGAGGGGAACAAAACAGACACGTGGATACTGATCAGATTTAGTAAGGTGTAGAGTAATTAAAGGATTGGATGCGAATTCCATTGTTCCTTCTTCAAATAATCATGTGAAATTATGAAATTAAACACAATGTGCACACTCTGATTTATATAATAACCTGAAACAGAAATTACAGATTTCTTCATTTGATTATGTTATGTTTTATTCCAAAATCATAGTAATTCAAGACATACACTAAACTCATCACCATCAATCTTTGTTTCAGTTGTTGACTAAGATTACAATCATCCTGGGAATAAAAATTAAGATTTAACATTTAAGGTAATTTAAATTTAAGTTAAGTAAAGTAACTTAAATTTAAATTTAAGGTAATTAACAGATTAATAGCAGTTATAGGGACTACTAACAAAATTCTGTAATCATATAAGAATTAAAAAATTACTAATTATTGATATTAAAACTATAAAGACTAAGATATAGCAATGCAGTACAATAAAACAGCAACATATCATAATTTAGAACAAAAAAATCATCACATCAAACAATATAGATCAGGAGTCCCCAACCCCAGCCGCACCCCATTCAGAACCGGGAGGGAGCATGTGTACATGTGCAGCCCTACTCACACGAGTGCTCACAAATGAAATTGTGTGTGTGCATGCATGCATGCCTGCCCCTCATGCAAAATCATCCCCTCCTTCCCCCACGCCTCCAAGAAAGAAAGGTTGGGGAACGCTGATCTGAACTATATGTTGTAATAAACTAATCTAATCAAATCAAACCTTTATTGTCAATGCACAACTTGTGTACAATGAAATTTAATAATTTACATTACTACCACTATGATGTAGAGTCAGTGTGTTTCAAGATAAGCACTAAACTTTGGATTGAAAGAAATGGTAGTCCTCCCTACTGAAATATTTTTAATCTCTTAAATTGACTTTTCCAGGCACAGTTAACACTAAGTGTACCATTCAAATGAACAAGTGTTATAATTACCAATAACACAGAGAGAGAAGTCATGCTAAAAACCAGAAAACTATGAATTCCAGTTCTATCTTAGGCCCAAAGCCAGCTCAGTGACATTGGGCCAGTCACTTTCTCTCAGCCCCAGAAAGGTGGTAATGGAAAAAAATCTTCCAAAAAATTGAAATAATTACCCAGTTGCTTTATGGTTCAGATTTTTATATATGGGAATGACAAAAGTTCTAAAAGAGCTCTAAAATCTGTCAAAGCAGATATATATATGAAATATGAAATATCATATTTCATATCAGTATGCCCTTTAGATAATTAATAAAAGATCTCTATTCTCCCTGCCTGACAAATATGACTTAATGACAGGTATCAGACAGCCTCCCTACTGACACTAAATGCTTTGCCCTTCAAGTTACTTAAAGGAAAATACCACAACATCCCCAAAATAAAGCACAGATGTCCATGTAGATTAGATTTGCAGAAATAATGGACATGTAGTATTCCATTGAGCTATGTATGCAAGTCTTCAAATTAATTTAATATAACTACATGTTGTTACATAACTCAAGTTAGAGACAGCATATATAAATTTATTACAGAATTATCAGTTCCATATGTATGAAATAAGATTGCAAAATTTTGTTCAATCACTATTTATAGTGAAATGGATGGAATTTCGTATCGCCAAGAATTTTCCTCTTTTAATAATGTAGAGCTATCTAATTTCAATGGGCAGAATCTTATCCCATAATAGCTTTGCAAATGATTTATTTTCAGAGTGTATTGCAAAAAATATTCATGACTCCTTGGCTTGAAAGAAGTGATTTTTAAAAGACCTTTTTATTATGTTCCATGTAAATCAGTTTTTCTTAGTGCAAAGGGCATATGCAGGAACCTGCTTTCTTCACCATCTGCTTTATATAGTAGTATTAGTAATAAGTGAAAGGCCTCTCAGTCCTAGTGTCTTTAGTTCAGCTTTGGGATGCAATAGGATTTTGAAGACAACAAATTTATCGTCACAATCAGTTTGCCAAGCAAACATGTCATCTGTCAGAATCACATTTTAACTGACTAGCTTGAAGATCTGCACTCTACAAATATTTGATTTTTTTTTCCCAAAAGGGACACATTATATAAAACAGTTCTTAAGCTATTATTTAATATATAAGCAAATACTTTAACTTCAAAAGGTAAGTGAGGAGAAGAATGTTTGACCTGGTGGAGTGGGAATCAGTCCTATGGCCTGGGAGGACCAGGTGGGAGTGAGAAAAGGCCTGTTGGGACTCAAGGCATCTACAGCTACATGGAAGGAAATATGCAGTGGGGTACCACAAGGTTCCATCTTAGTTCTAGTACTCTTCAATATCTTAATAAATGACTTAGATGCGAGAATAGACGGGGAACTCATCAAATTTGCAGACAACACTAAACTGGCAGGAATAGCCAATATCCCAGAAGACAAGCTCAGGATCCAAAAAGATCTTGATAGACTTAAACAATGGGCCCTATCCAACAACATGAAATTTAATGTGGAGAAAAGCAAGGATTTACACCTAAGCAGGAAAAACCAAGGGTACAAATACAAATGAGGTGAAACCTGGCTTAAAAACATTAACTGTGAAATGTCTATGGAGATTCTCAGTCATCCAGGTCATGGTTGTCCCAAAGGTGCTTTTTTAAGAGGCAACTGGACTTTCTGGTTTTTTTTTCTTTGAAGATATTTTGCTTCTCATCCAAAGAAGCTTCTTCAGCTCTTCAGTTTTGGGAGTATCTGTGACAGAGACCTTGGAGTCCTAGTGGATGATCACCTAACAGGAGCCAGCAACGTGCAGCACCAGTTAAAAAAGCTAATATAACCCTTAGTTGTATAAACAGAGGCATAGAATCAAAATCACGTGAAGTATTAGTTCCATTTTATAAATCCTTAGTAAGACCAACCTGAAATACTGCATCCAGTTTTGGTTATCACATTACAAAAAAGAACGTTGAGACTTTGGAAAAAGTGCAAAGAAGAAGAACATGATTAAGGGCCTGGAGACAAAAACATATGAAGAACGGTTGCAGGAATTGGGTATGGCCAGTCTAGAGAAAAGAAGGACTAGGGGTGACATGATAGCAGTATTCCAAGGGCTGCCACAAAGAGGGAGTCAACTTATTTTCTGAAATAACCCTATCTGAAAAGGTACAGGGTCTCCTGCTTGAGCAGAGTTGGACTAGACCTCCAAGTCCCTTCCAGCTCTATTCTGATTGATTGATTGGAAGGCGCACGAAGTGGAGCATGGGATTTCTTGGGGGTGGGAGACACCTTGGGAGGACCAGAACCAGCAGCCCTAGACCTGTACTAGGCCTCTAACGGCCTCCCCCACCCAAAAGGCACTCCACACTCTGCTTAATGATCCGCACATTCATTTAACATTTCATTGGGGAGAGCAAGGATGGGGTGCATTGGATGACACATTTCACCTAACGACTGCTGCAATATGTGACCATAATGGGCAGGCTTCGTTATGGTCGTATCTCAAGGACTACCTGCTCTGTTCATATTATATATTCTTAACTTGGTATGAATTTAAGAGCACCTAGAAAGGATCACTTAACTATAATAGTCAAGTCTTAGCCATATCTTAAAGAGTAAATTCTCAACTACCCTTTCCGATCTTTCCTGTGATGGTCCTTCAATGTTTCACTTTAATTATAAAATCAATCATGCATTTTGATTGATACAGCTTTTCCATGTGTGTGTGTTTATTCAAAACAAACAGAACTTTTTCTAAGCAGATATTCATCAGTCACTATTGTTTTATTCTTGGGTCTCTGAATAGTCTGTTCACTTATTCTGTATCTTCTTGACTTGTAACCACCCATCAGTATTATCTGACAGAATAACTTTCTCCACTAGATGGCATTTATTTGAAATTTTATTTTTTCCCAAAACTATTTTTGGTATTTTTATTATCAGCATTCATTGGAAAGTATACTGCAACTATTGATAGCCTATGGACATTCATTTTCATATGCACCCAATAATACTCTACGTGACACCAGTTCATATTTTAGCCCTTTCGCTCCTGATTAAAGCTACATCTTTACTTCTGTACAACCAGCCATCAATTCCTTAAGATCAGATTCTATCCTTCCTCTTTTTCTTAGTTTCACAACGTATCTATGTTCAGTGACACAAAGTATCTATTTTTGTTATAATTTGATACATTCATTCAGACACAAAATATTTTTGTTATAATTTGATACATTATTTCATGCTTTTCTTACAGAATGGCCCAAATCCCTATTATATTCAACCCAAATGTTAATTAACTAAGAGCACTGCAAAACAATAAGTGAAACCTAAGTTATGCTTACTTACATCTATGCCATATTCAACAAACCTAAGCGACTTTCCTAGTTGTGATGTCAAATTATAAATTACCTCCACCAAGTTTTCAGTTTATTTTGGTGCCACCTCACGCCTCTTTGGAGATATGTTTTATTATAAAAATATTTGATTTGATTTGATAGTAACTAAGTCACTTTGAACAATGTGTTTGTTCAGATGTATTTGTTCTATATTATTTACTGTACTAGAATTAACAGATACTGATCAAAGTTAAACATTGTAATAAAACTTCTACAATTCCACTATTTTTATCTTTCAGAAACTGTTCTGACAACCTCTTCAGGATCTGAAGGTTGGTTGTTTGAAATAGAAACTCGTAAAAGGTTGTCATTTATTTGCTTCTCGTTTAAAGCAATAAAACTATCCGACGCAATAAACCACATTCACATTTCAAGGACACGTGCGAACCTTTCCCAAGCATATTAATTTCGAAATGAGTATAAACTTTGATGGGATTATCCTCACTAATTGCCTCACTCGCTTTCATTATTAAGTCCCTCACGCTCGTCCCGCCTCTGAAAGGAGCGAGCGATCAACCTCATACAGAGAATACGGCTCCTTTCAACGGGCTCGGCGGCGCCCCCTCGCGGCCCCCACTGGAACGATTCTAAGGTTTCGTTCAAAAACGCTCGCTCGCTTGAACTTCCAGGATTAAATTCGAGCGAAAACTAACGTCAGCGGGAGTGAAAGTGCCGGAAGGAGCGAGAAGAGCGGCGCTCAACGAGAAAAGAGCCCGAAGACGACTACATGAAGTCCGCCGAGGCCTAAGAAAATGGAGGAGAAAGGGGGAAAGAAGGAACCGCAAGAGGCAAAGGAGGCGGCGACCGCCCGGTGCCCTCCCACCTTGGGAAAGGCGCTTGAAGGGGTGTGTCCCGGCCCGCATAATATGAACGCGCCCTCACCTGGCGGCTACTAGCCTCCCTGGTAGTTGGATACTGAGAGCGGGAGTCCTCGGAGACAAAAAAGGAGCGCAGAGCTCAACAGCGAGGCGAACTAACCGCTTTTAGCGACGGTTGCAGGCGGGAGGACACGGCGACGTTCCAAACCCCTCCCCCCCGTCCTGCTGGGAGGCGCGAAGGCCGAGGCGCCAACCGCCGCCATTGGGCAAGGCTAAGCATTTGAATCGCTCGTAGTGCCCGCTGATTGGCTGCAAGTCGGTGGCGCGTTCCTCCCTCTCATCCCTCCGACTTTCGCACCAAGTTCTGCCTCCGGTTTAGCCAATGACATCGTTCACTCGAGGGAAATAAAAAGGGAAGCCCCCGTGGCTTAAAGGGGTTCGAGTGCTCGCGCCTCTTCGGTTGGGCGAGCGCGTTAAAAACAATAACGAGTCCCCTTGTTTCTGTCGCCGCTGATCCAAGGACATGCAGGGATGACGGAGGATCAGAGTACAAACAGAGTAGATGCGGTGAAGGTTCCGCTTTTTACGCTCAGAATGTGTTCAACCGAAAACCAAATAGAAGTAGAATGTGTGAATGCAGAAACTGATTTACTGAAGAGGGGTTTTTGCGGGTCGGCAGGCAATCGTGATTAATTCTGAAAATGTAAAGAAATCCTTTGAGGGATGCATGAATGCCATTGGGACACATGCGAACAACACAGCCACTATGACTTTACCAATTGTGATTTTTAAAACCTGGTGTACTTTTTTATTTAAATGCAGCCATAGGTTAGAATGAGACCCAGTTTGGTGTAGTGATTAAGGCATTCGGCTAGAAACCTGGAGACTGACCTAAAGCTATCTGGGTGACTGGACCAGTTCCCACACTCAGTGGTAGGAGGAAGGTATTGACCAACAGTTTCTAAAACACTGCCAAGAAAAATGCAGTCCTTGTCCAGGCAAGAGTCAGTACTCACTTGAAAGTACTTTAAAAAACAACAACAACCCCCCTGAACCTTCCTTCTGAAACTGTTTAGTAGGAAGCATAACTGAAAACTATATAACCTAATTCCAAATGAAAAAAATGCTGGCCCAAAATGAGAGCCTTCTGATTTGCTGTTGCCATCTTTATGGTCCTTTTTAGCATGATTATTTAAAATTGTACTTTGTGTAAGTTTTCAAGAGTCTTTGAGATGCCTAGGAAATATTTAATAAATAAACAAATCGGGACTAGGCAAGATTCTGTGCTGGGTGTATGGTGTCCTTACTCTTCTGTGTACAGAAAGCAATAGTAGCAGCAGCTGAACCTTTTAGCAACAGTGATGAGTTAATATCCTCTATGCAGACCTGTCGAACTGGTGGCTCATGGGCCAGATACCTCACACACAGGCCACACCCACCCTGGCTCCGCAAAGGAAAAAAACGTTGCAATACATCACCGTCTGGCCTGTGACGAGATCAAGTTGACACCCGTGCCAGTCTATAGTATCTCACACTTAGTCCAATCATTCAGCAGAGGATGTCCAGAGAATGCAGAAAGAATAATTGGGAGGTTTCCACTGCTGCCCCAGGCAATTGCTCCCTCAAGCAATGCTTCACTTTGCCCCAAGAACAAGTTTAACTTAAATGACTCTCACAAATGATTTGTATGTATTGCAGAATTACTAGGGTTGACAATGGAAAGATTAGAAGGGAAGCCTGTTTGCTGACATATTTTATAGTCTTCAGGAGCATCTGTGCTGGCATGAGTTTCTACATGTTTTCAATAAAAAGTGTAGCAGGTCAACTTCTGGTTAGAGCAACTTTACCTCAGCAATGTCTGGAATTTAGTTTCTTAATAAACTTGTACTAAACCAGCAAAGCACAGAAAGACAATATTTGTTTATAGATGTTATTGCATTTTTGTGAATTTAGGAGGGATGGAAATAATCATATTTGAGCCCCTCCAAGAACATTCTTGACCAACAAGCTACAAAGATATTTTTCATATATTTGTAAGAAAAAAAAACTTGGCATAAAATTATCCCCTAAACTCAGCTGAAGATGTTACCTAGCCTGGTAATGAAATGTTCGGAAGCCAACCCACAAACCTTCACCCTCATCCTACACCAGAGCTACAGATATTTGCCACTATTGCAAATAAATTTATTGCAAAAGAAATGTAACAGTGTATTTAGACATCTTGGATATTCTACTTTAAAGTTCTCTCACAGGTACTGGGAGTAGAAAATTTGATTTATATATTCCAAGGAAATATCCATAAGAATATGGAATATAGAAATAATCAGTTTCAGCAAAATGACAAAAGGAATGATGTAATGCAAGCTTTGTTCCTTATATACAGGTATGCAATGTCTTGATGCACATGTTGAAATAATCCTCAACATATGATTAATTGTTCAACTGTTTGAAATTATAGTAGTACGGAATTATAATTCATGCCCAAAGTTACAGCTGTTGCAATTTCCCCACTCTGACTTAATCAAAATTGCAACCTGCTCATTCTAACAACCACAAGAGTAGTTCAATTTTCCCACTTGCCTGTCTATACCATCGTATCCCCATCTTTGCTTATTGACTCTGTTGCCAAGTCCTCTGCCATCCCAGTGGACTTTTGAGATCTTCTTGCTCCTGTTGTTGATGAGGCATGCTGGCTTGGTCTGGCCCTCATGCCAAGAAGTCCCACTGATTAAGTCTGGGGCTGCTTCTTGCTTATGCCCAGACCCATCTTGGGGCACCACAAGAAGCAGAAACCATCAAGTAAGAAGCATCTGTACCATTGCACCAAAAAGTGGGATGCTTTTTACTTTTTTTTTTTCTCAGCATGAAGCCCAGCCAAACCATCAGTCCAGGCATACATTGTCAGTAGTGAAAGCAAGGGACTGCAAAATCACCCGAGGCAGGAGTGCAGCAGGGGTCTCAGAGTGCAGCGTAGCAGGGGCAGATATGGCTGGGACTGGATTGGGGTAACTGCATCTTTCTGGAACCCTAGAGTTGTGCAGATTGGGATCTGCTTGCTGTCGTATAAGGCAGGGGGATTATGACCAAAAAGGGCAGAGAGGGGAGGAGATAGGTCAGTGGGAAAGTTGGAGGCAGCACCTTAATTTACTGAGGTTCAATGCTAAGCCTGGAATTGCTTGGATTGGATTGGGTATTTGCTTAACAACCCAAAATTCATGATTAACAACAGCAACTAAAAATGCCAGGATTGCCATTGTTAAGTGCTACAGGCACGTGACAACTTGCTCTATGACCTCATTGCTTAGCAATGGAAATTCAGGACCTAACTCTGGTCATAAGTCGAGGACTACCAGCACGATACAAAGATATCAGAACTTGTGCTATGATGGTATTTGCTCCCATGTCCCCACCAGCAGATGCCAATCTAGATGGAGATGTTTGTATAATAAAATTTCTAGACATGTAGTCCTCGAGCTACAATCACAATTGAGCCCAGAATTTCAGTTGCTAACTGAGACATTTGTTAAGTGAGTTTTGTCCCATTTTACCATCTTTCTTGCCACAGTTGTTCAGTGAATCACTGCAGTTGTTAAGTAATAAGGTTGTGAAGTGAATTTGGCTTCCCCATTGATTTTGCTCGTCAGAAAGTCGCAAAAGGTGATCACATGACCCCAGTACACTACAACCATCACAAATATGAGTCCATTCCCAAGCGTCTGAATTTTGATCACATGATCATAGGGATGTTGCAATGGTCATAAATTTGAAAAGTGGTCGTAAGTAAGGGAGAAGAAATCACTAAATGAACTGTTGTAAGTGAAGGATTAACTTTATATCTCATCTCTGATTATTCTTGAATTACTGATAAAATACAGTTTGCTACAATTTATTTGTGCTTAGTTGTGCCAAAGGAACTTTAGTATTTTGCTCTGAAAGGAAATGTTTGCTTTGAAGCAGAGCATTTCTCGTTTGCCTTCCTGTCACAGCTGCACACAGGCTTTTGAATATTTTTTTTGTTTCAAACTACATTTCCTCCCTTCATTTTTTTTTAAAAAAGGCTTTATTCTTGTAACCCCGGTTATTTTACAGACACTTAAAGCAGGTGTGGTTTTGTTCTCTGTGTGTGGTGTTTGTTCACACATGTTCATATATGTATGAATAGCATATACACTATGCTTGTGTGTATAACCCACATTCTTGTGTATTGTGTATACATGTTACCTTGTGTTCTTATTGCTCTTCTATATTGATCTTGCAAAAGGCTGTCAGATACTTTCAAGTTCCCTTCAATATGTGGAGAAGAAGACTATTGCTGTGGGCCTCCCTCAAATTTCCATCCCCACGTGGACTATGTCCTGTATAGTAACTGTGACAAGGTAAGGAGAGCGCTTTTCAATCACTTTACCAGCAACAGCCACGGAGGGGATCTGTATTTTTTTCTTTACAAGGAAGTAGCACATTGTGTCAAAGTTGATTCTCCCCAAGTGCTGTATCTATGTGCCATTATATATTTGCTATTACTACTCAAAAGAGCAGTAGTATTTTGTACAGACAGCGTACAAAGTTTATAGCAGTATTTTAGATTTTAGGGTATGTAATTTTATTTTTCAGGAATATGAAAAATTACATAAAGAAAACTAAGGAGCTGACTTGTGAAGTCACACAGTGATAAGCAGTACTTAACATTTTCAGATCATTTTTTAAAATTTACAGAGTATGTAAGGCTATTTTAACATTCTAGAGATTATCAGTGTGAATGTTTTCAGAACATGGAGAATCTATTTTCTTCTTTAGAAAGCTGCTGTAAAATCCATTTTATAGTCCAAGCCTATGTTGGAGGAGGAACACAGATGAAACAGCACATAACACAGAAATGGTCCATTTGAGATATTTGCTTTATTTCTTTACTTGCTATATTGCTTTATAGGCCAAGCCTATAAAACTGAGGAGTGTCTGCCAAGTATCCTCAAAGACAACTTCCGTGCTAAACACCTTTTATTTCAGCATGAGCAGTGGCCAGAGATGATGGGACCTCTAGTCTTAATTTCTGAAAGACCAATGATTCCTTGTATCTATTTTTTAAAAAAAGATTAACTTTAAAAACAGGAAATGGCCCAAACAAAATTTATGTGCACATTTTTGCTATTTGTCTCCTGTTTTTCAGATCAGCTCATTACTGAAGAATGAGATTTGCTTGTTTAAAACATTTGATACTCCA